CAATGATAAATTGATATACTTGTGAATGGGTTATAAATCACCAAAGAAACTACACAGACACTTGGATGTCACCTTATTAAAGATTGTAAATAATAGAAAGAAGATATAATGATTGTAAATAATAGAAAGAAGAAATAGAGTTGGCTTATTCCCATACTGTTGATCATGTAGTTTTCATCTATGTTAATGTAATTAACATTACATTATTCATTAATGAAGGATCATCCTTCCTGTGTCATACTTGAGTGAAGTGTTATAGTTCCGTCAAAATACGCCTAATCAGCTGGGACAGGGATTGTTTCATTTTGTACTTGTGAACTGGTTTACTGTAGGCTCCTGTACTTCTGATACTCTTTTGCACTGGAAAATCAACTTTCATTTTCTTATGCATAATTTGGAACATTTTTTTTTAAAGGAGGATACTTTCTTTTGAAATAATGGAATGAAGTTACGTTTTATTGATGAATTGGTGTCTGAACGGAATAAAACTGTTTATTTCTTATATTAAAGATATTTTTTAGAGAATTGATTAGTTTAAGACAGTATCAATGTCAGTGATGACTTGTGTGAAAGGATTTTTTAGAAGGAAAAAGTATAATTTAAGAAAGAAGAAGAAATGGAAAATCTGTAAGGATGAAATTCCTGGATATTTTGTGATTAGATTTTTATACCATGTTGATGGTATGTATAATAAAAAGCTGTTTGCTAGTTCTGTTACTTTGCTTATCTTTTTATCATTTGGTTTATTCATAATACTTCAGTATGGATTAGATGGCATCATCATGAGTGTCTGTCTGTACAGATCACTGAAGTTAGTCACCTCAAAATTGATTCAAACTGTCTGCTCTCTAAGAAATGATTCCTCTATATCATAAATTTCAGTGATTATTGTTGTCCTTTCTGAGAATTTGAGTTCACCCCAGTTTTCATTTATCCATATAGTATAAATGCATTGTTATGGTATTGTCTTTGGTTAGGGGATGGACTTATTTTAAAAATCTGTTACGGAGAATATTTTTTTATCATTCTTTATAATTTGTACCAATTCTCATAATTTTGATATCGCACAAGCTCAGATACAGACTCGCATTTTCACTACACTGATTCAAGTATGATTGAAAAAATATGTCACACTAACCTATATCTGAAATAGTAGAAATTGACTACTCTACAGATATACAATACGGTACTGATCAGATTATTATACGACCGCAAAAAATTTTTTGGGATCGTATATTGGTATGATGTGGTCGTTGTCTGCGTCGTCGTCTGAAGACACATTGGTTTCCGGACAATAACTTTAGTTTAAGTGAATGGATCTCTATGAAATTTTTTAAGAAGGTTCAATACCACAAAAGGAAGGTTGGGATTGATTTTTGGGATGATGGTCCGAACCGTTTAGGAATTACGGGCCCAAAAGGGGCCCAAAACAAGCATTTTTCTAGTTTCAGGATAATAACTTGCGTATAAGTATTTCGATTGCTCTGAAATTGTACCACAATGTTTAATACCACAAGTGAAAGGTTGGGATTCATATATGGGGTTATGGGGCCAACAGTTTAGGAATTAAGGGCCAAAAAGGGGCCAAAAAGAAGCATTTTTCCAATTTTTTAAAGAGATTCATATTTTTTTTTCAAAATTTTTCAAATATCGAATTTTTGAAAAGTTTCAAGAAGAAATCTTCAATTGCACAGTATTGCGCAATAGATTTGTAAGATCTTTGACCACATTTATTTTGTGTCAGAAACCTATATTATGTCAAAAATTTGATCACAATCCAAATTCAGACAGTATCAAGCTTGAATATTGTGTCCAAATTTGCCCAAACTGTTCAGGGTTCACCCTCTGCGGTCGTATCAGGCTGCGCTCAGCAAAGCATTTTATCTAAATTGTCATGGTTTAAGTCAGTGAAATTAGTAGGAACAGATCTTTCAAACTTCAATGAGTAATGCATGTGATATGGTCCTCAAATTGTGCTAGGTTTTGTGAATTACGTCAGATTCTGTTGTATAAAAATAGCATCGTTTTTTGTCGCTTTCAACATTTAATGCACTGAAGGTTAACAATAACTTGCAAATTATTCAATATTTCAAACCCTGTGAGATATCTGATATATTGCTATATAAATCTGTCCAGTTATACTCAGACATAATTAGATGACATAAAACATGAAATATAATGTCTATATACATTTTTGTTGTAACAGTAAAAGATCTATATTTGGTGAAAAATACAGATCGGCTCACTTTATATACTATATTGATATATTATCTGCATAAATATTAGATATAACATTAAATATGATAAATCAACAGCTGTTTTGTTTCAGGCAAAACATTTTAACCTTGTTGGAACATTTGCAAACCATGAACTCTTCTTTTGATGGGTATTTTAGGGACTGAAAAGGGGTTAGACATTTTATCAAGTATAGACGATGCTGAAATGTCATGTTTGGCTCCCTTTGCTAAGTATCTTTCCACTGTTACTAGGCGAATGCTTTATTTTAAGGTCATAAGGTCATTGGAAATTTGAATTGCAACCACCCACTAAGATAGATAAAATATTATGAAGATTAATAAGTCATGTGAGTGCACTTGCACTGCATTTTGAAATTATGGTTAACACATTGATGAATTGAAATATAGTAGTTACATGAAATCTTTCCTAATTTTATACATGTACCTGTGTACCTGTGTTTGTCTGTGTCGCAGGTATTTTAATAAATGGTTGTTGTTCTGTTGTCAGGCTGTTGCATGAAGTGTGATCACTATTTGCATATATTTATATTACTGTGTGCTGTTTATAGAAAAATACTGTAGAATACATGTGAAAGTATCATAGAGATTTGTATGGTACATATTGATATTTCTGTTCAAAAGTGCTGAACAGCGCAGTTTAAAAATAGTGAAGTTTTTTTGTTCAGAATATATTTTTTGGTGAATCGAAACACTTAAAAACCTGGAATTACTTTGATAAAGGTGTGTTCATTGTGATAAATCTTCTTAAATTAATTTATGAGTTTATTCATAGCAGTTGTTTTTAATTAACTGTATATGTTTGTATAATTAGGTGTCAGAAAAAAATTGATGTGCCAATTAAAAAGAAATAGCCACAGCTTACAGCTATTGTTATTAGAAGAATGCAGCTTTATTTTGCAAAGGTTATACAAAAATGTGCAGAAAAAGAACTCTTTGAAAAAAAAAGAGAAATAATTGTACCTTGCATATATTGGATTTGATTACATAGATAATTATTATAAATAAGTCAAACTAAGTTGAATATATCTCTGAACTTTATATGTTACGTAACTTTGGACTTGTTAAATATGTGAAAGTGATTAACATAAGAGTATTAACTGTTATAAAGGATGATTCTGTAGGTATTGTTTTCTCCACAACAAAGTAATAAACAAATATTTGTTTATTCTTATGAATAGACATCGTAGTTTTCAGACATGTAAAATTGTGACACTATTTAGGAGACAAGACATTCACATTTAAAAAAACAATTTTTGAGGAGACATTGTTATTATCTTGGAAATATTAAATAAGGTAAATATATATTTAATTTTACTGTTTTTCTTTTGTTAGATTTTGCTTTACTTTCAAGTTTTGCAAAAATAATTTGTATTTACTCAACCAATGTTACATGTAATACAGGAAAATCTTAAATAATTTAACTTCAAATAGGCTTGTAATCTGGAAGATCTTTTCTTATCAGATAAAATTGTGACAAGATATTTTAAAGTTCCAGTCGATTGGGTAATGATTTGTGATTTGTATTCTTGTCATAACTGAAGTAGTCTGGGAGATTCTTTAGAGGGTGAAGAGGAGTCAGCCCTCTCTTGGAGTTTCTTTGAGGGCAAAGAGGGGTTTATGTACTATTCTTTGTCCGTCTCTTCGTTATTTATGTCATTGGGTTACTGTGTCATAGATGTATCTTTCTTAATTGCAATTAAACAATAAAAATCATTAGTCCTCTGTAAATTTTATCTAATTTTTTTAGTTCTTTTCATGGATAATAAGTTCTGTTTGGTAAAATCTGTGAAGAACCATCAAACAACGACTTGTACAAATATGGTTACTTCACAAGGGAGAAACTGCTTAACAGGGATTACAGTCATTTTCTCACCTTTTATTTTCATTACGAAAAACCTTGTCTGAAACAAAATATGGCCTATTAACAACACTTTGGCATTTGTTAATATACCATAGGAGCCTCAATTTACATGCTTAGTCAAATTTCAACTGCTGTGAATGAAATTTAATTGATCCCTATGAAGTATCAATATTCTAGATAATAATGATGTTTTGAATAGCCCTCTAAGGTTTTATCCTATGCTTAGTTTCATATCATTGGACTTCAATTTTTTGGGTGAAAACTACACTTTTTTGGCTTGCAGGTATAGTTCTAAGCTTTTCTCTAAATGCAATTTGTTCAGTTGAAATTTTCGTTAGAAGAATAGTTTTCTGGACAGTCCGTTCCACAAACTGTCCTACCCTTTAGTTGTCAGAATGTAATATCTAAAGTTATATATCCCTTTATTTTTATTTTTCAAGATGTATATCTAATTTGGTTTAGTTGAACCTTTGGCAGTAACATCACATTGGTTTATTTAAGAAATATTGCATAAAAGTACTTTAAAACGGTAACAGTTCAAGAAAGTATTTAAGATTAAATATTGTTTGTTTGTTAAGTTTATTATGTAAAAACTGGCATTTGTTCAGAAAATCAGCATGCAAAATATTTCTTTAATTAAAAGATCTTAGAGTTAATTTTATTTCAAAACAGAAATGTATTCATTGAAGAATTTTTGTAAACAGTTTCTGCATCGTAATTAAAATTGAAATATGTGAGTGGGTAAAAGTTTTTATTGTTATTTACAAAAGTATGAATATAGACTTCACACTGAAGAAAACACAAGGAGGAAATATTTTTTACCTTCAAAGGTTTTGATCTTTTGTCAATATGATCAAATGTGTAATTTGATTTATTTATAGGAGGAAGCTCTCTAAGTCCAGATATGAAACCTTTTGGTAGTCAGAGCAGTCTGCAGTTGATGTACAGTTCCTTACAGAGTTTGGATTCATTACGGAAACATGATTCATATGAACAGAAACCAAATAAACGACGGGTAAGTTTTCTGATATATTGATGCTAAGAGTACTTGTCTCTGTTATTTGTTTATAAATATGGTTTTATTATGATGACAAAGACAAGTAGTCAGAGAGATTTGGGTCTACTCAGGATTGATGCAGTGAACTGATGGGCACAATGGGAAATTTAACAAATTTTTTAGTAATTTCATTTGAAAAAATTAAAAAAAATGTTCCAATTTCTTTTGAAATAAAGATTCAGGACAAAAGAACGCTTCCGGTTGAATAACTGCCTTACTTCCCTTATATAAACTTTAATGTGGAGAGTGGGCTTGTAAAGATCATTGTCTCTAAAATGACTAAAGAGTTTAAACTCTCTGAAGGAAACTTTGGATTTCAAAAAAATGTCAATAATTTTAAGGGAGTCTTGAATTTTATTATAGCATGATAAGACGCATGTTTTACCACTATGTTAAAAAAAAGTCTAAATATTATAGGAGAATTCCACAATTTAAATGGGTTACAATAGTCCTTAACTAACTTAATGTAACCCCCAAATGGTGTTTAATTGTAATCCAGTTGATTACTATATGAAAGTTAGATTTTTAATTAAAGATAGGTTTTGAAACATATGTGTTAATTAAAACTGATGTACAGCTTGGAGGCTTACTAAGATTAGATGAAAAATAGAAATTAAAAATCTTTAACTTGAATATCCGACATGTATCGGTGGATGTGAAGTAAGTTTATTAAATGTTGACTAAGGATAAATAAAGGCAGTTATTTAAGATTGACAGCAAATTACAGGTAAGGATTTTTTGGTTAAATAAAAAAATGCATGTTTATATTCTTATGTTTATTTAACACTGTCACTGCAATAATGTTCTCCACTTATTTGGCAATCTTGCATTGTTCAGTCCTGAAGTCGCAGTGACGTAGTCGAAGGGGACTTTAGGTTTGCACTCCGTCCGTCCGTCCGTCCGTCAGTCAGTCAGTCAAATCAGTTTTCCTTATTGATTTATCATGACAAGTTACAGGTCAAGTTCAATTTTCATGATTTTAGCTAAACCATCCTGGCTACTGTTTATAAAATTTGTTATTTTCTTTTATATTTATTCTCATTTTTAAAGGCCTTTTTTTTTTTTTATTTGAGATTTAAAAAATTCTAATGCATTTTGGATAAGCATGACTGTGCATTAAAGTCTTAATGCAGCATTGCATCACTACCTTTGCATCTAAAAATTAGAAAAAAGAAAATAAACATTATTTTTGACTACCTGAATGACTTTGAACAAGTAAAGCTTGAATATAAATGATAACACTTAAAATTCTTCTGAGCAACTTTCCTTTACAGTAAGTAGACAGGATTGATCCATATCTGAAATCTGTGAAGGGGTAACAGGTTAGATTCGAACATGATTTTAATAGTGTTCGATGAAGCGCTTCACCTACAGGGCATTATTTTTTAAATTGATTGAACCAGGGATCAAAGTTGTAAAAATAAGACCAACTGTAAACAATAACATTCTTTTTCCAATCTATTGAGATAAAGTAAAGCCTCCCCAGGAACATAGGTGTGAATCATCTTCACAGTTTATATACTTCCTATAGTGGAAACCCTGTGTTATATATCTATGTCATATGTGGAGATTATAATGTTGAGTGTGTTACCTAAATGTTATATTTGAAAACACCATGAAGGGATTTCCAAAAACAAGAAATTGGATCGTCATGGATAATAATAAAAATTGTGCTTTCACTTTTGATGAAAATAAGAATATTGCAATAATGAAGCTTAAAAAACTTAGTGAAATGATAGTGGATGAACTGTTGGAGCCTGTACAACTTAGACACGACTTGAAAAACAAGGAAAATCGCTATAGATTGGTAGGTCATTTTAAATGTTTTAAACTAAGACTCTGTTGACCTTGAACAGTTAATATTGAAACTAGGAATTTTATCTATTTATCAAAGTAAATAGCCAAAAGTTTTTGCAATTTGTTTATTTTATAGGCACAAACCAAATACAATTCCTTGAACAAACTCATCATATAGGTATTCTACCATAGTTTCAATAAAATAATAACTAATTTTGTAAAGGGACTGATGTCATGATTTTAAGGTACATTGTATCTAGTTCCTGAAACAATGTCCCTTTTGAAGGCACAATCTAGTTCTTTTTTTGTCCTTTTTTTTATCCTTTCCTCATAGACCCTTGCAAGGGTGGACTTGGGTAAAGAAATATGGTCATCTTTTGGACTTCTCCTGTTCTGGCATTAAAATCCTTGCTAAGGTTGGGCATTTGTTTGGATGTGGGGTATGTATGAATAGGTCGCCACTTCCAGTCAGAATGAGAACTTAATAAATCCAATGCCACATGCAGGAAAAGTGCCATGCTCTCTGCATGTTCAAGAATCCTTGCAACAACTCTGAGGGGTCTGTTACAAGGCAAAATTTCTGTCCTATTCCAACATACCCTTATTTTCCAGTTGCAGTCCAAATTTGCTGCCTGTCATCCCAATCCACTCTTAACTTACTGATCTTACCAATTATATTTATTGTTGGTTTGTTCTTGCCGTGAACATGCATGAAATATTTGCAACTGGACATTAAGCAAACAACAATCAATCAATCATTCTTCATAGCTGTGGGTACTTGGTTCCATACATTTTACCCTAATAATGCTACACAGGCAATGCCAAACATATACTTTTAACCTACTGCCAATGGGGTTGATTTTTAACTTAGAAAAATAGGATGTACTACTTACTTTTAGAGATTAAAAAAAAAATCAACATCAATATTTGCTGAACAATTTCAAGACAAATCTTTTCAAAGTATGAAGAGTGATGATTGTCTGTCATATTCCTGACTTGGAACAGGAAGAAGGAGAGTGGGTGCAACCAAGCTTTATGGCATGTAAAACCATCCATTTGTGTGCTCTGGTTAAATATGATTATTACATTGGTTGCAATGAATTACTGTGATTTCCCAGTGAAATAAAAACCGATAATTTCACATGTGAAATAAACGTGGTTATTTCACTCCTTTGATGTCATACAACAATAGGTATTGTCGATGACGTTGCTTCAAAGCAAATTGTGAATGCGTAAAAAAAGATATAGTTCCTTATATTTCGACTTTAATTCCATTAATAGGCCCATTGTCAATGTAATAAAAAGAATAACTAATCAAAGAATTCAAATATCTAAAAAATATTCAACTCATGATCGAACAACGCTGATAATTAAATTGTCCTCATTTGTGAATTAATGTGTTTTTCGGTCACTTGTTGAATATTATTCTATACTTGAATTCTTCAATTTGTTATTCTATAAATCTTGGAGTAAACATTGCCAAAGGAATTTCAGAAACAGACCCCACATGCATCACACTTAATGAGGGGATAAAAAATGTGTATTTCTTACTTCATAAAACTTTCATTTTTTGGCAAACTAGATTGACTAAATAAAGGATGGCCATATTAGCCTATTTATAAATAATATGCAATAAAAAATACTTAATATTATTATTCAAAGTTATTTATACTCTGAAATTTTTCTGTTGGTAATTTAGTTAAAATTGTCATTTTCTTTTGTGGAGTGATATGTTAAATGTCAGTTTTTATTTGAATTCCTATTGATTATAATTTGGCATTGTTAACATCTTTCTTGACAATACACTGTCCAGGTGCCCTTTTCTTTTTACCTGTTTCTGCAATTAATCAGGTGAAGGATTAGCACCTTTGTACAGGTCCAACATCTGCTACAGGTAGGCTGCAATGATAGCATCTCTGAAAATGATATTCTATTGGTTTATTTGAATTCAAAATTTGCGAAATGAATTATGAATATTGTGGTTGGATTTATTTACTATTGTTTGGAATATTGTCAAACAGATGTTGTAGGTCAGCTTGTTATTTATTTATGTTATTTTTTTTTCATAAAAAAATACAGAAATTTTAAGTTAAGAAAATAAATAAATCTTTGACCTCTAACACATGATTAATTTAATGAATAAATAAACATCAATCTATATTTTTCTTTAGGCTTAAGATTATCTAATATCAACAGATCGTAATGATAATGTACATAATTGTTGTGACATCACAATAATATCCTATTATCATATCTTATCTTGATTACAGGATTATTGTTATGATGTCAGTGAACTTGTGTCATAAATTTTTCATGGTTATTTACATGTCATCATAAAAATATTAATATCCACATTATTTGAAATGAAAATAAATATTTTTTTCTTCTGTTTCATTGATTAATTGTGGTTTGATATTAAATCCAAGTTAAATGTGAACCAAATTCCTAAAACTATTTCAACAAATGCAGTTTTTTTTAAGATTTCATTGAGATGATTCCAATCATTTCACCTTCAGGTGTTTCAATTACAACAGAACAAACAGAAACTCAGGAACAAAATGCACCAAACAGGCCTCTATTTTTCCAAAGGATTTCTTTAAATATTGTTACCTCCATATTAAAGATTTATAAATTTAATTCACTTTGAATGAGTTTAATGCACCCAATTCTAAAAGTTGATACATAAGTTCTTTGTTACTTTTTTGTATGACTTAGAAGTAATTTGTCCTCTTAGTGCAATTTTATTAAAACATTTGAAAAAGGAATAAATTGTCAAAAGAAAATAAGTAGATAAATTCACAGTTGCTTATAGTTACCTAATCAAATCTTCCTAGGTAAAGTATATAATAATAAGGAAGTACTTTATTAGTTCCATTGAGTTTGATTGGTCAGGAAATTATAACTGTGTCATTGTAAATAATTGAGTCTTGACAATTTAATTTGTAGACAGATTAGACTCTGTAATTGCTAATTAAATCATTGAAGCAAGCTGTGGGTGTCTAGTTACTTTGTCTGGAGTAGTACTGGATACATATATATATACTGTTAACATGTGATAATTTAATCAATTAAATAAAAAGGGATGCTTGTTATGATTTCTTACATTTTTGCAAAAGATTTTTAAAATTAGAAAGCACCTGTAGTGATAAAAAATGAAATTACAACAAGATTTTTCTGTTATTCCCATGATGATAATTTGTACACCAAGTATAACAAAGAAGAGGAAACTAGCAGAGTACATACAAACTGAAAATATTTTAAAGAAGAGAAAGTTAGCAGATCATGAAATTGACAAACCCATGACAAGAAGAAAAATGATATATTCATATTCATGTGCTGAAAATGTTTTCTCATCAAATTTGGTTATTATGGTATTACATTTTGTTTTCTTTTACTAATTATAGATAATATTTCTAGAATCTTTTGTTTAGACAGTGTTCATTGATATGACTTTTATGAATTTTTTTCAGACAGTGTTCAATGATTTATTTAAGACTTCAAACAAAATATTGCAGACATTTAACAAGGTTAATATTAATCATTAGAAAACTTTATCTTCATCTATTCTGATTGCTTAATATTCTTGTTTTTATTTACAGATGTCCACACCTCATCCAATCAAAACAAGATTATCAAGAGTACCTCCTAAACAACAGAAACGTGTGCCCCTCGTCAGATCTCACAGTATGCCAGAAAGTCTCGACAAACTCCACCGCAGGAAGAAACTTCATAGTGCAATAGGTATCCATCATGTGTGGTAGCTGTAAATGTTAACACTTATTTTTAAAAAAATAAATAAACATCTCTGATTTACATATGTATTTGAGTGTCAGTCATTTCCTTGTAAGGGAGGATTTGTGGCTTTCTATACTTCAAGTAGAATTCTCGTTTCAGTAAAAATATAAGTCTTTTTGCACTTTATAATTGGTATTAAATAAACCAGTAAAATAAACATGGCAATCATATATAATAGTTAAATCAAATTAACATGTTATTGTAATGAATGTCACATTCTTTGACAAATGGTATCAAAACATGTATAGACAAGGAAATGTTAAAAAAATATTCATTTGTAAATGCTGATAGTTCTTATAAGATGGATTTAACTTTCTAAATGTAAGTTTGATAAAAGTTTAAGAACATATTTTTATGCAATTTAATGTAACTTTATTGGAATCTTTGATAGAGAAGTGCATTTCTATCAACTTTTTAAGAGGAAAATCATAGAAAGTTTCATTCTTCAACAGATTCATGGTTTAATCCAAATTCTGATTAACTAATTTTTCTGAACTGTAATTCAGTAATTTAAATAGAATTTATCAGATTTATGATCAAGCCTAACTTCTTTCTTTAGTTATCAATTCAACTTTACACATTGACTAAAAATCAAAATTTCACATTCATATAATTAAAATTCAGATAATTTGTAGAATAATGTTTTTTTTTTGCACAGAGTTCATTTTGCTATCTTTTTTCAGGTTCAAGTAATCTTCATGATATATACCTCAGACACTTTGACGATGACAGTAGTTCTGATGATGGTTCAGATATATCAGTCGATCACATTGTTCTCAATGAGAAAAGTTTAAGTGCAAGGTCATCAAGAGCAGGATTATCTACCCTTGACGAGGTAAGGAAATGATCCAAATACAATATAGAACCTTTCTTAGCTTTATAATAGTAAGACTCAAGGGAGAACTGAGGCAAAAGTCAATGATAGCAGTCTGTTTAAATATTTGGTAAGCTGGTCAAATATGCATAGAGGGGAGATTTAAGATTAAATAGCTTTTACCCTTCTGTATCTTCTTAAAGTTTTATAAGAAATTGTTACCAGTCAACTAATCAACTTGAGTTAGACCATACAAAAATCTGCTTCAGGAATATATTCTGATGAAGACATTTCATGCATGTTAATTATGATGAACCAATCAGAAAGAGTTTTGTGGCTGTCTCAGGCTCTCAAATTAATTTGAAATTAAGCAGTTTTGCACAATTTTATAAAAACTTAGAAAACGATCCTCATATCTATGGAATAAAACCTCTTAAGGCTAGGAAAATATTATATTGTTGGAGAACTGGCAGAGTTCAGTCTTTTTTTCTTCCTTAATTTAGACACAATTATTACTAAGTACAGGATAAACTAAGATACACACTTTAAAACAAACCACATCTTTAAACTGTAATCACGAAATACTTTACTGAAACAATAAATGAGACACACTTATTGCAAAGTACACTTGTTCAGGGTAAACTTAGATACACACTTTAAACAGACCACATCATTAAACTGTAATCACGAAATACTTTACTAAAAGAACATTTAAAATAGAATCTATTGAAGATAAATAATAAACAATAGTTAACATTAAGTTTTCTAAGAACAAATACATTTCTGTAAATGAAGTTATGTTGTTTTTGTAAACTCTTGTCTAAGCAATCCTAGCCCATATTTTAAAAGCGAAATAGATAAGTATCACTCCCACATAATGGCTGGGAATGATTTCCTCAGCGTGGAACTTAAGGCAAAACATGAAATAAATAACAGTAAAGTGTGTTACTTTAATTAAGACTGTAATATAATGTTCTGTCGCTGTTACGTAATATGAGGACAGCTGCTGAGTAATTTATCTTTTCAATAGCAGTGTCTGATATTTGATCAAGATTGCTTATTTGTGGTTAGAACTGGAACTTTGTTAAATAATTCATGAGGTATATCAGTAGCAAAGCATAAAGTGAAAAAAAAGTTTACTGTATATTCAGAAATTATTTATTTTTAATGAGGTTTTTATTCATTTGAATAATGCGACTTGATGCATATCCCAATGATAAGAACTCACATTCTTACAATGAATACATATATCTCATAATCTGTATGCAGATTTTAATAAATGCAGATTTTAATAAAATCGCAATAATTAATCTTAAATTTTTGTCTGTTCTTCATAAATTGCAATAATAAATGCACACAATAATTTCTAAATTTACAGTAGTTCCTATAAGTATTTTTAATTTGTGTGAATAGTGATATTTATTCTTATATATAAAAATTGAATATCAGAGTTTTGTCTGTTTGATGATATGGAAACAGATCAAAATAAGCAAAATGAAGAATTTTAATAGGTCATTGCATATAGGCCAGAAGTCTGCTTGGTGGGTATCATTTCCTTAAAGTTTTCATGTCATCTACAAGAGTCATCTGGAAGACAAGGCAACTTAATTCCTGACTTCCTAAAATTAAGGAAGTAGCTTTGCTTTATTAGTGGACTAGAAAGTTAAAAGAAAGCATCTTAATTAAATAAAAACTAAGAACTAATAATTTCTTTGATAAGATTAAAGTAACTTGGTAATTTGGCATGCCATCAAGTTCGATAAAATATTTAAAAAAAGATATATGTGAAGATACTGTGTTATCATGTAAGATGTCTTAATTACTCCACAGTCAGATAGTGTCATTACTTGCATACTAACACCTTGTATCTGAATATTGTTAAACCCAAGAAAAAAAAGAAAAAAAGTTTGTGTAAAATTCTCTTGACTAGGTCAGTAAATCGCAAGTAGTTCCCATGAGTACCTCATATAGAGATCCCCTAGTCCAAAGTAGCCAGTACTTTCATTGACAATTAGACAATGATTTTATGGTATATACCTTTTCATAACTTCTTATATTTAAGTAGAAAACTTCTAAAACAAACCCTGACGAAACCAAACTTCACTCTTAATCCTAAGTAATTCACAGTACCTTTGCACTTCCATTTTTTGTGTATTGTAAATTACTCTGCGTAAACCAAACCGTGCCTACAACAAATAATGAACTTTTGTTGAATTCCCAGACTCTGAATCTGCTTTAATTCTTAATATTGCTATCCAGTTTTATGTTTTAAAAACAGATTTAAGAATGAGTTCTCAAGTAGTTATTAGACATAAATAGTATTAAGGATATCCTTATTTCTAATAAAAGAAGGAAAAATTTAAGTTTGTAACCTCAATCATTTAAAAAGGATCTGTAGCTGAATAAAGTTTGTGCTGTACTAGATTCTGTGTAAAATGTACAAATTAACTTGGTCTTCAAATGGTTGGTGAATTCTAGAACATGAATTGTTTAGACAAAAACTATATATAAAATTTCTAGTGAAATTAACAAGTGCATTAATGCAGTCCTTGAAACATGTTATTCTCAGTGCAGTTGAGAATAAAGTATTGGGAGTGTTCTTACGAGTGTTTCATATTGTGTCATAATGACAGATTGACAGCTGTTTTTAGAATTACTTCTGGATACATGTTTTAAATTGCTTCAAGTTTACTTTTGGAGTTCAAGGATTTATCAGTTCATCTGACTTTTTTGACATAAAAATAACCTGATGAGGTGTGGTTCTTGTGTGATAAGGAAATGCTAGTATTTCAAGACATAGGACAAGGAAAAGCCTTAATTTCATAATTTTCCAGTGCGAAAAGTTGGAAATACTATTTCTTTATCGTCTATTCTGGGATATACTAATTTATGAGTGTTCTCACAAAATCATATAAACATTTGAATATGTACAAGATTATGTATGGATTTTATGAAATGGAAGATTTCTATCCAAAACATAAACATCCATCAAAAATGAAGAAATCAAAGGTAAATATAGGCGTGCAAAATTAGAGAACTTTATATCAACTCCAGGGTTATTACAAAATATCAATGTGTCTAATGTTTTTTTATATTTGACCTCTAAATTTTTACAGGTTTTGTTGTAGTTGGAAACAGAATTGTCTTCCCATTGGTACAAATGTTAAAATGCTTGCAATATTCAGTCTTTTTATTATTTTTAATTTGTTGAGCTTGGAATACAATGTATTTTGTAAAAATGACTAATTTGTTGAGATTGGAATACAATGTATTTTGTAGATATGACTACTGTTACAGACTTTCATAATTTCTTGATTAATTTCTCCTGGTTAAAGTTTTTAAACGACATATATGAAGTATTTTAATAGGTTTTGACCAATGTTTAAGGTGAAGCTTTATACCATTTAAAGGGAAGTTCAGTTATAAGTAATACTGTCGCATGTATATTTCAAGTAGTTCAAGTAGCGGTAGAATTATAGGACTTTAGACCATTGAGGGTTTGAAAAAATACACGAATTATTAACTTACGTGTTTCTGATCGGAAAAGAAACCTTTTGAAGTGTCAAGCCTCATTTTTATTTAAATAGATATATTTCGCTTTCAGTGAATAGGAAAGAAGAAAAACACCAATTAGTTGACTTGAATATTCCACATCTTTGCTCAATGTATGTGCCTCTAAATATAACTTGTTTCTTTGTTTTGAAAATCGGTCACCATTGAAGTCTAGACAGTTGTTTTGTTGAAAATTTCGACAGAGGTAAAAAATCTTAATTATTTGACAGGCTCTTTTAAAACATACTAGCAAGAACTGAAAAAATTATGACTATAACAGCGTATCAGTTTTTGGGAGGATTTAGAACAGGAAAATGTTCTTGCCAATTTCTTAAAGAGTTTAGATATTGTAAATAGTTATACACAGATTTGTTTTTAACCATAAGAAAATATAATGTTTTTTACATTTCAATTGCATGTAAGCATATTAGGTGTTATGGCACAGAACTGCATCCAAGTATTCAAGTCCTGTTCTACATGTCACTTTAACCCACATAAAAAATATTGCTAAGAAAAGGTAAAGAATTTTTTTTGTTTTTTTGTTGTTGTCAATAATCAAAACTGTCTTATTTTGCAGATGCCAGAGAGTGAAAACCGCACATATGCTGAAGCATTATGGGACCACATTACAATGGACCAAGAAGAGTTACGATTCCGTGCTGGTGATCTGTTAGAGATTATAGACATGAATGACAAAGACTGGTGGTATGGTGCTTTAGATGACCACCAAGAAGGATGGTTACCTGCCACCTTTGTTAGGGTACGGTTTCAGATCTAACTTTGTTTCCTTTATGAATAACTATAAGTAATAACAACATTCCAAACAAAATGTGTTCTTATATTTGCTCATGCAAGTTTTGAATTTTTTTTCTAGTCTTTAGTATAGATGCGTCATAAAGCATTAAACAGTGTGAATAAAGTACTTGCAGTTTTATTGAATTTGTACATGTATTGCATTTCATTTTTTAAATGTTATATTGTTTGATTGATTACTACAATAATTTTTTGCTTTACAAAGTGTTCAGATATATGCTTATTGATGATTTTTTTTTTTCAATAGTTGCGTGTAAACCAAGACCATTTTGAGGAGGATTTTATTGGCCGCTTCTCAGAAATACCAGAACACACTAGTCCCAACCTAAGACGGATCAGTATGATTAATCCAGACCAAGGACGGATCAATGTCATCAATGAAATCTTACAAGCTGAACAAGACTATGTTAAGCATATGAAAGATGTAGTTGAGGTGAGTCTTTTTAGTTTTATACACTTCCATTATTTTTTAGAAATGTTCTCAGCTTTTTGAAAAAAGAAGTTTTTAATTGGTACAAATTTAAGGATTTGCAGTCACTTATGATTGCCCCAACTGCACTGTTTTGTTTTGGAAAGTGAATCAAGAAAGTGTTTGTAAAAAAAGTTGCTCTTGGTTCATATTACTGATGAAATTATTTGAACTAAAGGAAAATAACTGTAATAAATAGAAGACTTTAATCTTCCATCATCTTCTAAAATATTGACTTTTCATCATTTCAGGGATATATAAGACATGCTCGTAAAAGAGTAGATATGTTTACTGAGGAGAAGATATCTGTGATATTTGGAAATATAGAGGAAATATTTAAATTTTCCACCCAGTTTCTAGAGACTTTAGAAAGTGCCTATTGTAAAGAACAGCCTCATCAAAGTGAACTTGGAAAATGCTTTCTTAAACATGTAAGTATTGATATAAACATAATATAAATTTAGATAAAAAAGAACCAAGATTCCTTTTTAAGTTTTTAGAATGTACATATTGCATTTCTTTCCATATAAAATATTGCTATAATAGTATATATTTTTTCATGAACTTGGATAAAAGGTAGGGTAATATATTGCAACTATGTTCTGTAATACATAAAGTAATTTAAACTTAAAAGAAAAGATCATTTTAATGTTTATTTTCAAATAATGATGTAAATTTACCTGATATATTAAGTATGAAAATATAACACTAATAACAATACAGTGTTAATTTGCTGATTTTTAAACTACCAATGAAAAATGCTGAATTTCTTTTGATAAATGTTCATCTGAAATATGAAATAGGAAAATAAAAGCAGAATGAAAAAGAAATTGGACTGGTTACATCAAATATTTTTAAGCAGGGCCTATACAAAAATAATTTCTGTTTTTTAGAGCAAAGGATTTGAAATATATTCAGACTATTGCAATAACCACCCATCAGGTTCAGCAGAACTTAAAGATTTATATAGAAAACAAAAATACAGACATTTCTTTGAGGTAAGTAAAGCACTTATTGTGTTTAGCATAAAACAGTATGTTATAAAATTATTGTCAACTGCCTAAGTGATTTAATGATGGCATACTCATTTCATTTATAACTGAAAAATATCATGAAAATCACAACAAGTTAATACATTGTATTTAAAAAGTAAGTTTATTGAGATATTCTAATAATCAATACATTATATTACAGGCTTGTCGTCTTTTACAAGAAATGATAGAAATCCCATTAGAAGGCTTCCTTTTAAATCCCGTCCAGAAAATCTGTAAATATCCACTACAGTTAGCTGAGCTTCTCAAATATACCCCACAAACACATCCAGACTACGTCAATATACAGCAAGCTTTAGAAGCCATGAAAAAGATTGCAGCTCTCATCAATGAAAGAAAGAGAAAAATGGAGAGTATTGAAAAACTAGCCAGATGGCAGCATACTGTGGAAGATTGGCAGGTTAGTATAGTCTTGTTAGTTTGTGTAAATACCCCTTGTAATACATTGATATTTTACTGTATGACAGTCAGTTTTATTAATGGAGAAAACAGGAATGTTAACAGTGAACTACCACCACGGTTACTATCTGTGAGATTATTGTTTTTGACAGTGAATGGACTCTGAAAGAAGGTTATATGCTTACTATGAAGGTGAAAGTTTGCAGTCATCTGTATAGGTGTACATCTTGGCCACATATAACTATTTTAACAGTCTGTAGCATACACATTTGTTTAACAAGATAAACACTTAGATGTCTACTCTAAATGAATTTGTTTTTCGTTTAACATCCTGTTTAAGTTTGAAAAAAAATGTTACATAAACTTATAGGTTGTTGGCATTTCCAAATTTAAATTATTAAAGTAAACAAAAACATGTTTGTAAAATTCAAAACAATTTTTTTTGAAAGGTTTTAAATATAGGTTACATAGGTAGATAAAATAATGATAACAGTGTCCTTTACTGGTATGTATTCTGATATATCTTTATATTTGATCAAATAAGGATGAAGGAACTAACTTAAAGTGAAAAATGGAAATAGATCAAAATAAATGTAGAACTAATGCATACCTTTGTTGTTAGCAATCTCTGGTCCTTTTTTAAAAAGAGTTGTGATAGTTATGTTATTTCAGTGCATGTTTGAAATAGAATTTATTAGCAAATGACATTTGTTAAGATTTATAAGTGTATTTTTCCAATGGTTTGTATTTTCGCTAAAAATAAAAACACTGAAGTTATTTATAAATATGCAATGTTGAGTATTATTTCTGTCTTTAAATATATGTTAACATGCCTATGTACTTGTAGATATATTGAACATTTCTTGAAAATTTTAACAATTAAAAACATTTCATCTTCAGGGTAAAGATTTATTAGAACGGAGTTCTGAGTTAATATACTCATCAGAAATCAACAAAATTAACTCTGCAGGCTGGTCACAAGAAAGATGGTTTTATTTGTTTGATCACCAACTTGTGTATTGTAAAAAGGTTAGTAATTATTTTTTAGATGGAAGAAATTTAGATAAATGTAAAAAAGCACCAGAGTTTAAATTTGATGAAAGAAAGTTGAAAATACATTTTTTTGTACCGGTATTTGTGCTTAAATAAGTAGAAAACAAAGTATGCAATTATTAAAATTTATGTTTATCATCGGTTCAAAAGAAATTGTTAGTGAGAAAAATCTGTTGTTGGGTTATTTTCTTCACATATATTCCTACATTCAAAGGAAAACAACACTTATCAAACTATGGCGAACCAAATGAAACTTTACCCCAGAGTCATTTTTAACCTGATTTTCGAAGGAAAAATCGGTTATTGATTTGGGGATGTACAGCAGGCGGGCGGGAGGGCGGCTGCCAAACAGTGTCCGTTCATTAACATGAAAACACTTTGACGAAATTTTTTCAAATTTAGATATGTTGTTTCCTGTGACTAAATGAAGGTCAAGTTCAATTTTAACGATTTTAGCTTTTCTGGTTGTTGAATTATAGCCCTTTCCCAAGAATTCAATTTTTGATGAATTATTCCATTTCTGTACAAAGGGAAATAACTCATTTTTTAAAAGAGTTTTAAAAAACATTGTAAAAAATGATAAATGACATTTTGGATTTTTTTTTCTTTTCTTTGGTAAATTGTTTGAAGAATTTTGTGGTAGGTTTGTTTGTTATTCTATATAAACTAATTTTCTGAATGCTATGTATATAATTTTTTTTTATGAAGTGAACTCCTTTAATTAGATAATAATCTATTTTTATTAAAGGATATATTTCATTACATTACATTGTGTAGATAAAGTTGTTGACATTGATAGACACGTTGCATATCTATATTAGTTTGTTACAAATGAAAGAAAAAATATTTGGAACTATTAATTATATTTGATTATAATTTGAAAATAGATATACATTGTGTAACATCATATCTAATTTTAGAGAGTTAAATCATATCTAATTTTAGAGAACTATGTTTGCTTTATTAGTTAAACCATATTTCTGTTCAAAGGGAAATAACTCAAACTTATTCCATAAACCAGTAATGATAAAATAAGTATATGGATTCTGTTCAATTAATTTTAGTCATTAGTTGTCAAAATTTCTTTATAACTATTTTCTTTAAGTCATGTGTGTTATGAAGGTAGATGTCACAGTTGTTATGTGGTATTTTATTTTTGTTGTGTGTGTTAATGTTTAATTTTTACATGATCCTGTTTGGGGTTCAGATTTGCAAATATCATTTTCATTATTAATTAGATAATATTCAATCACAATCCAAATTCAGAGCTGTTTTAAGCTTTAATGTTGTGTCCATAGTTGCTCAACTGTTCAGGGTTCGACCTCTGCAGGAAAATCCAGTTTGCTGTCACACGACAGCCTCTTGTCTATTGTTCAATCTATTTAAACTATTGTCAGTTCTATTGTCCCATTCAATAAATACAATAGATATTGTTCTCTGTGTAGTTTATTCACTGGAACCTTTAAATTTCTTCTAAGAGAAATCCATCACTCATTGTACTATAGTATATTTTCAATCTGTTCGATATAAACACTGATTTAATCATAAAAAGTTAATTTCTGACAAAATTTTTGAGCATTGTTCCTATTGGAATTTGATTTTTTTTGCTTAGTTACAGAATACATTTAAGAAGGCCTTAAATTAAACACCGTCATTTTCCAGTTTTAATTTGTCAAACACACAAAAAAAAAAAGTCAATAGGAACAATGCTCAAAATTTTTGTCAGAAATCAACTTTTTATGATTAAATCAGTGTTTATATTGAACAGATTGAAAATATATTATTGATATTAATAAATACAACATCACATGCAGTTTTTTGAGTGAAAACATGTATTTTCATATATTTAGAAGATATTTTTTTTATTTAGGTAAATTAATCATTGAATGATGGATTTCTCTTAGAAGAAATTTAAAGGTCCCAGTGAATATACTACACAGATAACAATAGCCATTGTATTTATTGAATGGGACAATAGAACTGACAAAAGTTTAAATAGATTGAACAATAGGAGATGAATCTGTGGAAAATTTTCATTTGGTTCCAATAAATATTTACAAAAACAAATTAATGCAAGTTGGATTGAATTAAGTTTTAGTGGTTGCAGAAGACTTCATCAGTGAGACAAGCAGACATGTCCAATGAATTTGTTTTGAAAATGAAAGATATGGAGTGGATGTATATAATAAATAACAAAATAAGGAATAATACTTTTGTTGTTGTTCTTCATCTTGACAGTTGCTGAAAGGTCTTCATTTCCTTTGGTATGTTTGAGGTTAATTGCATCTTATGTTATTAAATATTTATTTGAAGGATTTGTTAAAGAGGAATGGTTTTAGTTATAAAGGCAGAATAGATATTGACGAGTGTGATATTGAAGACATTGAAGATGGAAAAGGTATGTCATTAAATTTCAGATGTTTGTTTTGATTTAATTTTTGGAGTACATATTGTAGTCACAAACATGAAGGTTCTTACAAATTAATATCATATATATTTAATGCAAATAAAATATCTCAAAACATTACTGGGAAAAAACAATGTGACCCAAATTGTCATTTGCTTCATTTACACATTTGGATGTTGTTTTTTTTTTATTTGAATAGAGATATTTAAACACTGATTATTACCAGTATAGATATGGCTAAATCTTAACATAAACATTGATATATAAAGCCCGCAAAATTTAATCCAGATGCACAATTAATAAAAAATATAAAAATAAAGTACAAATAAAAAGTACAAATTTTACAAAAGTAAACTGGTTTACAATGAATCATGCATTTATGTATGATACTTTATAATGCTCAAAATGTCTTCTGATCAGTAAATCTGCTTTTCGTTTAATCTGTTTACATTAACTCATCATCATAATGTTTAACAAAAATAAAGAATATTTGATTTATATAAATAACCGTAATTTTCTTCATTAATTCTGAAGTAAACAATAAATCTTTAAAGCCATTCAATCATGCTGCTACAATCAAAATAGACAAAAACAACAAAAAATCATTAACTGTTTTATTTATATTGAGGTATTGCATAATAGATTTAACATTAAATGTTATTTTATTTTATCAGATGTGCAGTATAATGTAACAGTGAAAAATGCATGGAAGATTCACGAGGTAGATAAAGATAAGTGGTACTTATTGTATGCAAAAACACCAGCTGAGAAACAGAGATGGTTAAAAGCATTCCAGAAAGAAAGAGAGAGAGTTAAAGAGGACCAAGAAAATAGTAAGCAGTTTTTAATAAAAGTTAAAATATGATTTAACTATAAATGCGTCATTGCCTTGAGAAAAAATTACACTTGAACTTCATGTATGCACCAGTTTATTTTAAGTTGTTGATTCCATATTATTTTGTCAAGGGCTAATTCATACATACAAACCAAACTTGCTGAGGTAATTTTAAGTGTAGGCATAAAAATATCTATATCCTTAAACAGTATTGATTTCAGTACTTAACAACTGTTTTAAAAGCTTCAGAAAGTCAAATTAAACTGACCTTTGACAAGAAAAAAATGTTAACAACATAATATGTATGGTTTGGTTTGAACGTTTTCCTGAATCAGCAGTATTCTCTGACAGTACACAATCATGCTTGTCACATAAGAATAATCTTTGAGACATCTACAGACTTATCTAGTTTGGATCTTCATTCTTCAACTTCAGTCTGACTTCATAGATTGATGGGAATTTTGTTGTTTAAAACATAAGAATAAAAAAATAAGACTACTATTTTTTCTATAAAAGTTATGGAAGTTGTGATTAATTTGCAAAATTCATTTCTTATAACTCTTTGGGGCAGATAATGAAGAATGATAAGGTTCTTGTACATTGAAATATTTTAACCTCTGAAAACAACATCTATGTAACAGTTTCTTATTTATATATTTTATTTTTCAGATTTCATGCCAGACCATTGGAAAAATAAAATATTAAACAGAATAAAAGCTTCTCAGGGTAAGTTCCATTAATATGCAGTCTATAGATATCTATTATTTATAAACAGGTTGTTTGGTTGCTGTCTGATTGATGTTTACTTGCAACAACTTTTTTATTTATTAAAATGCATTTTTGCCAATTATTAAAGACTGATCTTAATTAGCCATTGCAAATCATTTAAGATATATTTGTTAAAAGAAGTACTTCAAACACAAAGAGCAATCTCACTGGACCTAAGTACATTTGTACTTGTAATTCAATTTTATCTTGAAGATTACGAGTGCAGGTTTTGTTAAACAAAGCCTATTATAATTGGATGAAATTCTTAATAAAAATCAGAATAAGTAATTTGTGAGAAATGAGTACTTGTTTTTGTGGAAAACAAATGTTATAACTCGGAAGAGAAAATAAAGATCACAAATTTTGTGCAATAAGTGCAAGAAAATTGTTTCCTAGAGATTTATATGCAGTCAGTTTGATAATAACAATTACGATTTCTACCTTTGATTATAAAGTAGATGCATCATTTTTTGTGGGGTAATAATTTTCATGAATTTGTGAATATAGGTTAACAACAAATTTAAATGTTCAACAAAGTACTAATTTTCTATAGGCTTGTATGCTGACTTTGGCAAAACCATGAAAACAAATATACATGAAAAATACATTTTTTTCTCAATCCTTGAAAATTGGTACCTACAAAAATACATGAATCCACAGTACATTGTAATAAGTTATACCTTTCTCTGATTTTGTTATTTATTTGATATGTTTTCTTTTGCAGAAAAACAGAACTCCAGAACACAGTCTGAAATACAGTACAAACAGGAGTTCATAAGAGGAATTCCATCTCATGCTACTCTTCCTAGGTCCTATAGTAAAAAACAAAACAAAAGAAGAGGATGGTTTCCATTTGGTGGGAAGCAGAAATCCAAAACATGATCATGATAGATCTCTTTCTAAGGATGATAAAATCAGAATCATGATTCACTATATGGATTATGAATAAGATCAGCTGACAAGACAGATCGAACTACTGAACAGGACTTGTATGATGGAAAATGTGACCAAAGGGAGATAAATCAAATATTATACATTTAAGTGATCAAAGCATAGAATGTGTGATAGAACACGACTTGTGACATACCATTTTTGTGTAAAGATCTGATACCTCTGTTTTTCCATAACCAAATACTAACAAATATTTTCTAACAATTTATAGTATATAATGATGATAATTTTCTTTAAAGATATGTCACATTTCATATGGTGCTCTTGATATATTCGTCATCAATCATTATTCCATTTTATGAAAAGTTATCATCAAAGTGCTAATTCATGTCAGAAATCAAATAATTGTAGGATTAATTTATTGTTGTAAATGACCAAGTCATGTTATTTTTTGTGTCACTGCTATAAATTTTGTCTTTGTGAAGTCATTAATACTTTTTTCTGTATCTAATTGACTCCAAGAGTAAATTTTTGTATAATCATTCTATAAATGAAAATAAAAGGTAGATAGATACTTCATCATTTTCGCTCATTTTCGAATACATATTCATTTTAGTGTTGAAGTTTTATCCTCTTTTATTTTTGTACCTTCGATTGCTGACCTATTGATAGATTTAAATGGAAAATATTAATTGTCTTATTTTACTGTAAAATAAGCTTTTGATTGTAATCCTTTATTTAAATGTTTAGCCTTTGACCAAAATGATAATATTTCTTGCTATCAAACCAAAGTGATAACATTTCCAACTAGTACAATACATCAGATTAAACAAATTAGAAAATTCCAAATGAGTGAGAATGTATCTCAGGCACATTCTATCTATTGTGTAGTTCATTAACATTATGATCTCATATTCATTTATTTCCATATATTTGCTCATGATAATTACTTTGCACAGGCTGAGGAAGAATGTCACAAAATCAAATCACCAAATTTTCAATTTATTTCAGCACTAAAAAAAAATGGAAATGTTAGTTGGTAATATATTGCTTTTACAGAGGAAACAATATTTTTTTTTATGAAAGTAAAACACATCTCATGAAACTGAAAGATTTTTTTAATCTTAGCCTGTGCAAATTTAATAAGTTATAACTCTAGTCTTGAGTTCCAGTTTTATGTGATTAATTATATTTGTAAATTTTAGAGCTTTGTATATATAATGAATTAGTGCTTTGTAGTGACCCTGAGATTGACTCTCAATAGAAAATTTAAGCGAGTATATTATATTTGAAGATGTATAAATTGATTGATAGAAATATTATATATTACTGCTGTTAATAGGCAGAAGCAAGATAGAAAATGTAATGAAAGAAAAGTAAAAAATCACAAAATTAAAGTTGTGTTATTGTTCATTTATACCCCCTGTTAGCAAAGTGGGAAGTGTATAGTAATCATAGAGTCTGTTCATTATCTGTTTGTTTGCTCATCCCTCCACACTTGGTACAGGTAACTCATCCTAAGGTGCTGACTGGATTTCCCTAAACAACAATGAAACATTGGAAGAACTCTTTTTAGCTCACCTGGCCCAAAGGGCCAAGTGAGCTTTTCTCATCACTTGGCGTCTGTCGTCAGGCGTCCTGTGTCCTGCGTCCGTCGTCCGTAAACTTTTACAAGAATCTTCTCCTCTGAAACTACTGGGCCAAATTTGACCAAACTTGGCCACAATCATCATTAGGGTATCGAGTTTAAAAAATGTGTCCGGTGACCCGGCCAACCAACCAAGATGGCCACCATGGCTAAAAATAGAACATAGGGGTAAAATGTAGATTTTGGCTTATATCTCTGAAACCAAAGCATTTAGAGCAAATCTGACATGAGGTAAAATTGTTTATCAGGTCAAGATCTATCTGCCCTGAAATTTTCAGATGAATCTGACAACCCATTGTTGGGTTGCTGCCCCTGAATTGGTAATTTTAAGGAAATTTTACCGTTTTTATACGACCGCAAAAATCTGGCGTCGTCCGAAGACACATTGGTTTTCGCACTCTAGCTTTAGTTTAAGTGAATGGATCTCCATGAAATTTTACCATAAGGTTCAATACCACGAAAGGAAGGTTGGGATTGATTTTGGGGGTTATGGTACCAACAGTTAAGGAATTAGGGGCCAAAAAGGGGCCAAAAATAAGCATTTTTGTAACTTTCAGACAATAACTTGTGTGTAAGTGTATGGATCGCTCTGACATTGTACCACAAGGTTCCATAACACAAAGGGAAGGCTGTAATTGATTTTGGGGGTAATTGCCTCAAAATTTTAGGAATTAGGGGCCAAAAAAGGGGCAAAAAACAAGCATTTTTCTAGTTTCATGACAATAACTTGTGTGTAAGTGTTTGGATATTTCTGAAATTGTACTACAAGGTTTCATATCACAAAGGGAAAGCTGGAATTGAGTTCGGGGGTAATTGCCTGAAACGTTTAGGAATTGGGGGCCAAAAATAAGCATTTTTCTAGTTTCAAGACAATGACATGTGTTCAAGTGTAAGGATCTCTCTGAAATTGTACTGCAAGGTACCATACCACAAAGGGAAGGCTGGGATTGAGTTTGGGGGTGATGAATCATAAGGGGGTTCAAAAAATTTGGGGGGGGGGATTTTTTTTTTAATTTTTTTTTCTTTTTTTCCTTTTTTTTTTCTTTTAAAATTTTCCATTTTAAGTTGGTTATTTCTGTTTTATATTTAAAAGCAAATAATAATGATATGGTAGGAGATACACACCAAACAGGATGTGTAAATTTTTATATAATAAGTATTGTGCAATAGCAAGAAATTTTCAATTGCACAGTATTGCACAATAGCAAGAAATCTTCAATTGCACAGTATTGCGCAATCGCAAGAAATCTTCAATTGCACAGTATTGCGCAATAGCAAGAAATATCCAATAGCACAATATTGCGCAATAGCAAGAAATTGTCAATTGTACAGTATTGCGCAATAGCAAGAAATATTCAATTGCACAGTATTGTGCAAAAGAAGATACTTCTTATAAATTGCTTATTTCTTGATCAATTTCAATGGGGTTTTATTCTTGAATTCTTGGGGTTCTTTAATATGCTGAATATAACCGTGTATTAAGTTTTTGGATTTTGGGCCCCGTTTTTAAATTGGTCCACATTGAGGTCCAAAGGGTCCAAAATTTAACTTTGTTTGATTTCATCAAAAATTGAATTATTGGGGTTCTTTGATATGCCGAATCTAACCGTGTATTTAGATTCTTAATTTTTGGTTCCGTTTTCAAATTGGTCTACATTAAGGTCCAAAGGGTCCAAAATTAAACTTAGTTTGATTTTAACAAAAATTGAATTTTTAGTGTTCTTTGATATGCTGAATCTAAACATGTATTTAGATTTTTGATTATGGGCCCAGTTTTCAAGTTTGTCCAAGTTGGGGTCCAAAATTAAACTTTGTTTGATTTCAACAAAAATTGAATATATGGGGTTCTTTGATATGCTGAATCTAACCATGTATTTAGATTTTTGGGCCCCATTATCAACTTTGTCCACATTGAGGTCAAAAGGGTCCAAAATTAAACTTTGTTTGATTTCATCAAAAATTGAATTCTTGGGGTTCTTTGATATGCTGAATCTAACCATGTATTTAGATTTTGGATATTGGACCATAATAGGTGAATGTCCAATTTAAAATTTTTAAGTTCTTAGACCACATTTATTCTGTGTCAGAAACCTATGCTGTGTCAAATATTTAATCACAATCCAAATTCAGACCTGTATCAAGCTTGAATGTTGTGTCCATACTTGCCCCAACTGTTCAGGGTTCGACCTCTGCGGTCGTATCAAGCTGCGCCCTGCGGAGCATTTTATTGGTTATTATCTTGAATATTATTATAGATAGAGATAAACTGTAAACAGCAATAATGTTCAGCAAAGTAAGATTTACAAATAAGTCAACTTGACCAAAATGGTCAGTTGACCCCTTAAGGAGTTATTGCCCTTTATAGTCAATTTTTAACCATTTTTCGTAAATTTTTGTAATCTTTTACAAAAATCTTCTCCTCTGAAACTACTAAGACAAATTTAACCAAACTTGTCAATAATCATCATTAGGGTATCTAGTTTAAAAAATGTGTCCGATGACCCTGCTCGCGAACCAAGATGGCCAACATGGCTAAAAAATAGTACATAGGGTAAAATGCAGTTTTTTGGCTCATATCTCTGAAATCAAAGCATTTAGAGCAAATCTGACAGGTTAAAATTGTTCATTAGGTCGAGATCTATCTGCCCTGAAATTTTCAGACCAATCAGGCAACACGTTGGGTTGCTGCCCCTGAATTGGTAATTTTAAGAAAATTTTGCAGCTTTTGGTTATTATCTTGAATATTATTATAGATAGAGATAAACTGTAAACAGCAATAATGTACAGCAAAGTAAGATCTACAAATAAGTCAACTTGACCAAAATGGTCAGTTGACCCCTTAAGGAGTTATTGCCCTTTATAGTCAATTTTTAACCATTTTTCGTAAATTTTTGTAATCTTTTACAAAAATCTTCTCCTCTGAAACTACTAAAACAAAATTTAACCAAACTTGTCCACAATCATCATTAAGGTATCTAGTTTAAAAAATGTGTCCGATGACCCTGCCCGTGAACCAAGATGGCCGACATGGCTAAAAAAAGAACATAGGGTAAAATGCAGTTTTTGGCTCATATCTCTGAAACCAAAGCATTTAGAGCAAATCAGACAAGGATAAAATTGTTCATTAGGTCAAGATCTATCTGCCCTGAAATTTTCAGACCAATCAGGCAACACGTTGTTGGGTTGCTGCCCCTGAATTGGTAATTTTAAGAAAAATTTTCAGCTTTTGGTTATTATCTTGAATATTATTATAGATAGAGATAAACTGTAAACAGCAATAATGTACGGCAAAGTAAGATCTACAAATAAGTCAACATGACCAAAATTGTCAATTGACCCCTTAAGGAGTTATTGCCCTTTATAGTCAATTTTTTACAATTTTCATAAATTTTATAAATTTTTGTAAATTTTTACAAAATATTTTCCACTGTAACTACTGGGCCAAGTTCATTAAAGATAGAGATAATTGTAAGCAGCAAGAATGTTCAGTAAATTAAGATCTACAAACACATCAACATCACCAAAACACAATTTTGTCATGAATCCATCTGTGTCCTTTGTTTAATATGCACATAGATCAAGGTGAGCGACACAGGCTCTTTAGAGCCTCTAGTTTCATAACACCATTGTACATTTCTTTTTTTATTTGAAACTGATTTTGTTTGGGGTGGGTGGGTGGTACCTGTGCTACCTATGGATAAAGCAGGTCTTGTAACAGCTCCACTCTGTCCATCACTCAATCCATCAGTCTGTAAGACCTTGGGTAAAAAGTTTTCATGGCTTCTTTGAAAGGGAATGGTTTAATATTTTGTGTACAGCTTGGTAATGTTAAGTTGTAGTGTTTAATCAATTTTAACATCTGCTGTACAGCCACTTTTCTGTTTGCTGATAGTTTGGAATTTGACAACACTCATAGGAAAGGGAAAATTTTCAACAAAGCTTTCTTGGCTTCAATGAAAGGGAATGATCAGTTATAGTGGGGTATATATGTTACCTCAATCAATTGCATGTGTAATGCAGATCCAGACCTGGTATTGGTCTTATTTCCCAAAGCATAGTCGCCGCAAAATAGCCTTTTGTGCTGATGCGGCGTAAAGCAATCACCAATCAATCAATCAATCAAAAAGCATAGCATGAATTATGCCACATCTGCACACTTGACAAAAGGTGGTAGACATTTTTTATCTATTTCTCCTAAACCAATACCTGGATTTTCAGTTATGGAGAGGGTGCTATGAACTTGTTGGCTCTGCTAAAGTTTTTTCTGCAACATCCTTTGTGGTAGAGTGATCACCTAGATAGCAAGATTAAACCTGTCTTAAAAATTTGTATTTGCTGCATCTCTGCTAAGTATATGGCATTTATGAGCAAGAGAAATGACTGGTCAGCTTGGAGTTGAAAAAATGGTTCTGGGTATAATGACATGTCTTCCTGTGGATTCTTGAATATACAAATATGTATAATAAAAGGTTCACTGAACCCACATGATATACTTATAGACGATCTTGGAAAGTATATGAAGCTATAAGCAGAAAATGATCAACTAAACAAGTTATGCTACTATGGATTCAAACTTGCACACTGAAATTCAGAAATGCTTGTGTGCAGTTATTATTGCCATTGTTTAGTATGAAACACAAATGCAATATTTTTTATTGCAATTTGAGTACTGCTACATACAAATAATGCTTTCATAATTATAAATGTGAGTTTTTATGCCCCTGTTGCAGTGGAGGGGGCAGTAAGTGATACCCTTGTTCGTCTGTACGTCCTGAAATTGGTTTTCGTTCTCTAACTTGAGTTTGCCTCACCTAAATGTTATGAAACTTACACACAATGCTGATTACCACAAAACACAGATCAAGTTTGAATTTGGGTGGCATCAGTTTTACCATTCAATTCATTGCCCTTTATAAATGGAAAAAATGCTGACTTTTTCGTTTCCATTCTCTAACTTAAGTTTGCCTCAACCAAATGTTATGAAACTTATACACAATACTTATTACCACAAAACTCAAATCAAGTTCAAATTTGGGTGGCTTCACTTTTACTGTTCTTGAGTTATGTCCCTTTATAAATGGAGAAATTGCTGAATTTTTTCGATTCCATTCTCTAACTTATGTTTGCCTCAACCAAATGTTATGAATCTTATACACAATGCTTATTACCACAAAACTCAGATCAAGTTCAAATTCGCCATTTAATTTTTCAACACCTTTCTCAAGAGTTTATTGCCTTTTAAAGAAGACAAATATTCGTGCAGGTGAGACATATTTGAGTGTCAACTGTTTTGGTATTCTAGCTAACATGGTAACAATCCACAGAAAGATATGCCACTAGTGGCATACTTTATTGTTATTCTGAACCAGTTTGATATGGCTCTCACTCCTAAATGCTTCATAGCCTTAAATATGCAAATACCAACATTAAAGTTTGACTCAACCAGAGGTTGAAATGACAACATCCTGAACTGCAGACAGACATTCTACCAGAGACCACAGAGTTGATGACTTGGTATGAAGATGCATCTAGTGAGGTGTGATATTGCAATATCAAATAATAAGTCTCAATTAATCAAAATTTCAAAATGTTCATTTGCTTTTTATAAAAATTTTATTTAGTGGCTGTGGTTAGGTTATACGTCTGACCTTGTTGATATAATTGACCAACAATTTTATAACTCTGAATGGTTATGCATCTAACTGATTCCAATCCTTGTGTGTTATTATTGGATGGTATATTATTTTGAAAATAAAGATTCTTTCTTGGCAAAATCACTTAAAATTATATCATCTCCCTTGTCAAACAATATCTCGAAAAATATTACTGAATCCAAATAACAAATATCTGGTTGTTCTTCTGGCTTTTAGCAGTGATTGATGTAAATTTAGTGATAACCAGTAGAAATTTATCGATTGATATTGGTTGCTTAATGTCCATTGGCAAACATTTAATACTTAATAAAGCATACTTAAATTACTTTCTCATATCAAAGGAACGTCTACTGACATAATAGTTCAAATAAAACAAGTCACATACAGTCAATTGCCATATCAAACCTCTAAGATTAAAGAAGAATAAATTTATGAGATAAAAGCCTGTTTTAAAAATCATGTAACTAAATAACTAGTAAAAGAATAAAGAGTGCTTTCAGCTGTTTATTATAATCTTTATATAATATATGTTATAATTTAATGATAACATTTAATAAATACAAAAAGAGTGATAAAACAATTAATAGCATACAACTATAAACATCAGTCATGACATATTCAAATATTATTCTAATATAAAACAATTAAAAAAATTGAGGTAGATAAATGAAATAGTAGCACCAATCTAGAACAGATGGACTAATCTTGATTTTCTTTAAAGTGCTATCTTGTTTGAAAACTTGTAACATTCCAGTATAATATATTTTGTCATTCTGGACTAAACACAGTCTATAAACTGCAATATGACCTTCAGTAAAAGGACTTGTTGAAAAACGAATACACCAATCAATGTGATTCAATAAATCAATATGATAAAAATACATTTCAGATATATAAAGATTGTCAAAGTGCTTTTAAATTAAGAAAATACTGATCTATATAAAATATGACAGCAATAAAATTACGTAAATTATGAAAAATTAAAAATGTTAAAATAACATTTATCTTCTATGCATAATAAGACTAATAATATTCCATAAAGTTGAAAAAAATGAATATAATGAAATGAAAGATATATAAGAAAAATGCACCTTTAAAATCAGTTTTTAAAATTTGATTAGAACTTAAATTCATTAAAGAAATGTGATTTAAATATACTTTATTGGAAATGAAAATAAAACATAGATCATCAACTGTGTATTATATAAAATCAAATATTCAAAGGTTAAAATTAATATAAACATGAAATTAAAATAATTTGATTAAACTTTCTTTAAAAAGATTAATAGTAAACTCCATTCTTTTATTTTTTTGATAGGATGAAAACCTCAACATACATATAATTTGTAGTTCCAAACTTAAATATTAAAATGAAAAAGAACTTACATTAAACACGATTAAAAAGTTCTTTCTATAAAAGTTACAAATATTGTTATTCATACTTAAAAACATGAACAATTAATACAACAGGTCAATACACTGATTCACAATTAAAAAATTCGTAAGGGTTCCGCGGAACCCAGTGTCTCGCCTCCTTTTTCTGTTAATCACAGGCTCAACAAAAATGAGGAAGTAAATCAATAAAAATATTCCTCTTGATACTATCTTTTGATTGTAAGAAGCTTCTGTCCAAGTTTGGTAAAAATCCAGGATAGTTTATGAATCTAATAAATGTTTAAAAACTTTAACTGCAGACTGAATGTAATGTTAACTGGAAGAAAACAAAATTTCCTTCTAGATACTAGCATTTGATCATTAACAAGCTTCTGTCCAAGTTTGGTAAAAATCCAAAATAGTATAAGAACGTTATTAAAATTTTAAAAACTTTAACCACAGAGTGAATGTGTTGTTTCCTGGCAGAAAATCTAAGTCCATTTAAAAGTCAAATACAGAAAAAATGGATTTATTTTTTTACAAAATTTCCTTCTAGATACTAGCTTTTGATCATAAACAAGCTTCTGTCCAAGTTTGGTACAAATCCAAAATAGTATAAGAAAGTTATTAAAATTTTAAAAACTTTAACCACAGAGTGAATGTGTTGTTTCCTGGCAGAAAATCTAAGTCCATTTAAAAGTAAAATAAGGAAAAAATGGATTTATTTTTTTACAAAATTTTCTTCTGGATACTATCTTATGATCATAAACAAGCTTCTGTCCAAGTTTGGCACAAACTCAGGATAGTTTAAGAAAGTTATTAAAATTTTAAAAACTTTAACCACAGAGTGAATGTAATATTTCCCGGCAGAAAAACTAAGTCCATTATAAGTAAAATACGGAAAAAATTGAATTTTATTTTTACAAAATTTACTTCTGGATACTATCTTATGATCATAAACAAGCTTCTGTCCAAGTTTGGTAGAAATCCAGGATAGTTTAAGAAAGTTATCAAAATTTCAAAAACTTTAACCACAGAGTGAATATTTGTGGACGCCGCCGACGACAACGACGACGACGACGACGCCGACGGAATGTAGGATCGCTATGTCTCGCTTTTTCGACTAAAGTCGAAGGCTCGACAAAAAACACTACCGGTTTATAAAATATTATGAAAGCGTAGTATACTGTTTTGATAATTCATCTAAGGTAGACATAAGTTGTTCATCTTGTGCTGGTGTAGATTTGGACCATGCTAAAGGTAGATGTTTTGATACTGATGTACGATCTGTAAAACAAATAAAGTATGTTTGAGTAAGAACTTAAACATAAAACACAACAGAAAATATACATGATAAAGAACAGCACACAACCCTAAAAACATGACTGTTTAATACATACAGCAATATTTTAACTTCCCTTTTGTCTACAATTTGTTTCATTTTAAAGCTCTTACAAGTAACAAAAATAATCTTTATATAATGACAAAAAAAAAGTTTGTACAAATGACACATGAGATGATCTAAAAATCAGTGCCAATACAATAAACTTTTTGTTAATAAACAGTTTCTTCATCTTAAAAACAAAGGGACAGTGATAAAATTTTGAGTCAACCAAAGTTTAAGCTTACATCAAATCAACCAAGGGGGACAACTCAAATTTCCATTTGGTTAAAATTGTTGATCTGATCACACATTATATACTACTGACCGAGTTTCAACATCAGGACGACAAAATATTTTGACCATGTGGTATTACTAGGCAACCAATTGTAGACAATGAGAGTTGACTGTATATGTCAGTTAATCATATTGAACTCTGACTATCCACTTTTCCCCAAAACAATTTGAAATAAACTAATAAACAAAACAAATTCTTACCTTGAAAAAATAATCCACTAGGTTGTTTAAGTGCTGCATCTGATATGGCTAACCATAATAGTGTATCAGCACCTTGTTCTGGTGTCCGTAACCTGTCCTTCATCTTAGCATGAAAACTTGGCATCGACATTTTAACAGCTAAAAAAAAAATTTCTTTAAAATAACAGCTACAACTCTAAACAACTCTTAAATAATATTAACAATTGCTTGGTAACATTGTTCACAGGAATCTCACTTACTTAACAAGTCTACAAATAAAAAAGCCTTTGGCTAGTTTATTATTAATATTTAACTCAAATAACGAGAGTTGATATTAAAAATATCCAACGAGTTGTTAAACCTATTTCTCTTCAATTCTCATGAGTTGTTGAACCTATTTCTCTTATGGTCAACATGCTCATTGTGTTTAATTAAAAATTCCGTGAATCATTGATCTAGTCTTTTGCACATACCAGTATGATGTCATATGTCCTTTTCCAGCATCAAACTTGAACATCAGACAATTTAAAAGTTTATGAACGCTTCAGAATGTAATAACATTTGACAAAAAAGAAGATTTTCAGCTGAAAAGTGTATATTACTAAATATATCACATATGTCCATTGCCATGGACGAAATTTACAGAGTCTTAACCTTTGTAAGTCATCAATGACCTAACGAATACTAATAGCCAATGGAAATGTCCTAATATGTTGTCATGATGCTGGATAAGCCAATCAAATTAACGCAATTTTCATATTGCTTTTTGGTATCACACTCTGTGCAGTCTGATACGAGAAATATGTCTTCATGCAAGAAATAGATAATAGGTCACAACCATAAGAGAATATAGATTTATCTTATTGAACTCATTTGAACTGTAGGAACAAAATTTTTAGACTTCAAAAAAACAATTGGATATAAATTAGAAAGAGTACACAAATATCCACATGACGCCTACAAAATAATAACTGAAATAATTAAAAAACTAAAATTATACTTGTTTTACATAAATTACCTTACAGGAAACTTACAACTTTTACAAAGTAATCAAACTTTCTTTCTCCACTACTTGGATTTAAGAGAAGAATGCCTTTGTTAGTCTTGTATCATTTTTAATTTTAGTTTCTTGTGTATAATTTGGAGTTTAGTATGACGTCCATTGTCACTGAACTAGTATACATATTTGTTTAGGGGCCAGCTGAAGGACGCCTCCGGGTGTGGGAGTTTCTCACTGCATTGAAGACCCATTGGTGGCCTTCGGCTGTTGTCTGCTCTATGGTCGGGTTATTGTCTCTTTGACAAATTCCCCATTTCCATTCTCAATTTTAAAGTGATAGATATACCTTCTTTTTTTTACTTTAAAAGTAACTGAAATTAACAAATATGGAAGCAGTAATTTCCAATAAGAATTATGTTACCTGGAGTATCAGCCCATCCTGGATGCATACATGAACAGTGTATATTTGGATACTTTTTAGCATACTGTTCTGTCATTACAACTTGTTGTCGTTTATTCTGTGCATAAGCCATGGTGCCATCAAATGGATACATCTGTTCAAACTGTAAGTCCTTTAGATCTAACTTTTGTACTAACATTCCACCAGATGTTACTAATATCTATATAAAAAGAAATGCATACTGTACATTTACGTGTATATTCTTTAGTATTTTAAATCTCAAATAGACTATTCAATTATCTTCAAATAAAAAAAAATAATTTTGAAAAAATAATTCAAAGTTGAAAATACCCAAAATGCTTTCAAGATCAAGAGTGCTGCTACAATAATTATAGAACAAAGTGTTTGAGATATTTTGTACTCATTTTACTTGTGTTCAATGTTGTTGACTCTGTTTCGCAGTTAACATGTGAATCAATTAAATTTTACAATTGGTGTCACATATCAAGAAGTTATTACTTGTAGTTGCTGAGAAAAATGTGACAACAACTATGTATGTACATGATTTTGAAATAAACAAGTTTTTAGCAAACAGATAGAAGTAAAAGAAAAATCACACAGGATGACATAACCAGATGAAATTTTGTGCCATATAATTAGAAGCTATGACTTGTAGTTGTTGAGAAATATGTGACAGAAAATTGTTACGGATAGACAGTAGGACAGAGAGAAATCAGAATACAACCCTCCTTAAAAGCTGGAGTAAAATTTTTCCCATTTAGCAAGAAACAACTTTTTTGCACTATTTTAAAATTAAAATCTTAACCATTAATCCAGGTTTATCCCGCAATTCAGATCTTATTCTGTATTTTTGATCCATATTACACAAATCAGGTAAAATCTAATAAGTACAATTAAAATCAATAGCTTAGTTTTGTGCAAACCTGATAACATTTTTAACCTAGAATTCTACTGTATAAAATGTAGCACTGAATTAGTGCAGCTAGAATCACAAATATATTTTGGTAAATTTGCATACAGAATCCCATTGACTAAATTGACTATCCTCAAATCCTAGTATGTTATGTTGTCTTAAATAGTTTTTTCGGGCTAGCTTTGTCAAATTTTTCTTAAAGCAATAGGTACGTACCACTCTTGGTTTTTCAGCTTTGTTCAGCACAGATAACAATGAGGTTGTTAAAACATGTGCACCTGAAATCAAAAAGTATGAGCTACAGTTGGTGTTATGTTAATACTGAAATGACATCAACCAAAAAATCTGACGGAGAAAGTGTTCTTCAATTTCTCCTTATAAAAGAAAACCTTCATTTAGCTTTTCCGCTTAAAAAATAAAGGTAACTAAGAGTTATTTCAAAACTAACTTAATCTGTAAAATTAACAGTAAGTATATCTGTTTTACAAAAAAAATAATAACTTTTATCTTTCAACATAAAGATATTGATGTTTCTAATTTTTAGTAAAATCTAATACAAACCTAAAGTATTTGTAGCAAAATTTTTCTCCAGTCCATCATCTGTCAACTCTCTTATAATTACCATACAACCTGCATTATTTATCTGTTAAATAAATAAATATGAACATAAAAGTTTGATTAAATTCTATCAAAATAAAGTCAATTAATCAATTGCAAAAGATCCTCATATGTCAATTAGTTTATGGTACTAGATGACATTTATCTGTACAGCTGAAGCCTAATCAAGTTTAATATCGACATTTTGGTAGATGTTCAAGTTTTGCTTCTATCACTTGCAAAAATGGAAACATCCTATTACTGTCTGCTATGTGATAGACATTGATTTTCTACCAGTAGTTATGGTGGTTAAACCCTGGCACTCTAGTGAAATACAACTCTAGATAAAACTGACTATAAAAAAATGTACAATTGTAAAGCATTAAACATTAACCTGCAATGTTTTACTACATACTGCCACTGTCTTATACAGTTAACAAGATCCTTGAATTGTATAACATGGGTCAAGTGATATCCCTTTATTAAGTGCCAATTAAATAAAATGCTTCGCTGAGTGCAGCCTGATACGACCGCAGAGGTCAAACCCTGAACACTTGAGGCAAATTTGGACACAATATTCAAGCTTGATACTGTCTGAATTTGGATTGTGATAAAATTTTTGACATAATATAGGTTTCTGACACAAAATAAATGTGGTCAAAGATCTTATAAATCCATTGCGCAATACTGTGCAATTGAAGATTTCTTCTTGAAACTTTTCAAAAATTCGAAATTTTAAAAATTTTGAAAAAAAAATATGAATCCCTTAAAAAAATTGGGAAAAAAATTCCCCTCCCCCCAAACTTTTTGAAACTCCCCTTGGAGCAATAACCCCAAAACTCAATCTCAGCCTTTCCTTTGTAGTATGGAACCTTGTAGTACAATTTCAGAGAGATCCATACACTAACACACAAGTTATTTTCTGGAAACTAGAAAAAATGCTTGTTTTTAGCCCTTTTTTGTCCCCTAATTCCTACATGTTTGAGGCAATTAACTCCAAACTCAATCCCAGCCTTCCCTTTATTATATGGAACCTTGTGGTACAATGTCAGAGAGATCCATACACTTACACATAAGTTATTGTCTGGAAACTAGAAAAATGCTTGTTTTTGGCCCCTTTTTGGCCCTTAATTCCTAAACTGTTGGCCCCCATAACCCCTAAACGGAATCCCAACCTTCTACTTGTGGTATTAAACATTGTGGTACAATTTCAGAGCAATCGTAATACTTATACACAAGTTATTATCCTGAAACTAGAAAAATGCTTGTTTTTTTGGCCCCTTTTTGGGCCCCTATATTCCAAAACGGTTGGGACCATCATCCCCAAAATCAATCCCAACCTTCCTTTTGTGGTATTGAACCTTCTGAAAAAATTTCATAGAGATCCATTTATTTAAACTAAAGTTATTGTCCGGAAACCAATGTGTCTTCGGACAACGACGCAGACGACATCATACCATTATACGATCCCAAGAAATTTTTTGCGGTCGTATAAAAATCTTTGTAAATAGTGGCACTCAAAAAACATGTATAGGAGAGAAAATAGAAACATCTGTATAGCATAATTCCTTACCAAAACATCTAAGTTTTTCCCAGAGGTTTCAAAGTCTGTAGCAAATTTTGCAATATCTTTTGGCTTGGACATATCTAGTAGATGTAAGAATATATTCTAAAAGAGAAGAAGAAAAAATACATGAATTTGATAATGAAATAGTCAGTAACTTCTTATCTTTTTTTACATGTAAAGGTAAAATAAATTTATCTGTTAGGATAACAAATTTTTCTGACTATATGAATATAGTTTCCATTAAATATTATTTTTAAGTTTAAACACAATTCATTTGCTCAAATTACAAAATGGATGAGACATAAGTAAATAAAACTAATAAAGTCTTTTCCAAAATAAATTAAATTCTATTACTAACCAACTTACTGACACCTGCAATCTTACCTGGTTTCCTGTTGCTTCTGATATTTCTTTTCTGGCATCTTCTCCTCTTATTGAGTCTCTACACACCATATGAACTATTCCACCTAAACAGAAATTTCTAAATTATACATAGACAAAAAAAGCAACCTGTATCAAAATTTACTAGTACATGTAGCTTGATTGTACAAGAATAGAATTTGTAATATTGTATTGATGTTTGAACAACAGTCTCCTTACATCAGTTCCAAAGCAAGACTGTGGAAGTAAATCAACCCCCCAAAGCTGATTATGAATTCTTTTAAAATTCTCAAAACTCATTTGCAAAATCATTGTGTATAACTCAATAGAGCTAATATAGCCTTATTGAGCAATATACACTCAAATTGTACATTTTCTAAACCCATTCTGCACCATAATCCTTTCCAACTACTAGTCTGAAGACAAATATTCTGACATTTTTTAATGTGTTTAAACAAATTTTGCAAATACTTACTAGTCCGAACAAAATTTTACTAGTCTGGGGCATCAGATTAGTGGCTAACGGTACAGACTAGGACCTGTTATTGGTCCCATTTAAGACTAGTAAATGGCCAAATGAAAATGAGAAGCAAGAATGATCTTTTAATCTTATTCAGTTGGATGGCATAGTTAACATATCTTTAAATATATATACAACTCTAAAATTGTGAAGTTTATCTCTAACTGACCTCTTTTGGCAATGGCTAAAGCAGTACATTTTCCTATCCCACTGTTAGCTCCTGTTATCATAAAACTTTTACCAGTGACATCAACATCAAGATCACCAGGTCGGAAACTTCTACTAGCATTTAAGTATCCTTGTCTGAAAAACAAAGTATAAGAAATGTAAATTCAGCATAACAAAATATCTGAAATGATGAATGATTATTTGCATAAACCAGTTTATATTGATGCATTTGATAATGTATGGAATTCAATCTAGTATTGGGGAAAAGAGATCTTCGGTGCATATATATATTAAACAATAATACAAGAAATAAAAAAAACACAAATCAAAGAATCATAGCTAAAAAAAAACTCATAGCTTCAGGAAGACCAAAAACAATCCTAGCACTTAGCAAAGAAGTACCATTTTAAATTCACAAAAAGTTCTAAATTTATCAAAACATCATGCAAGGACAGATGGAAGAAATAGTATAACCATTTTTCTCTTGACTGAACAGTCTATAACTGTAGAATCAAATTATAACCATACTACACCTCAAACAAAGGAGATTACAGTCTGATTTGTTAATGGAAGTGTTAAAAGTTTTAACAAATCTACATGTTCGAATCTGACTTTGTTTGAAACTTTGAACTCTTAGATTTCTCTCCTGGAAATAATGTTTAGATGTATTACATGTACATTCAGAAACCAAATTACATATATGTACAATATCTTAATATCATTGAGGTACTCCTGAGTAGGAAAACTAATATATTCAATCTATAAACTACTAACATAACCTTTGTCTGAATAACTTTTCAGTTTTCAGAAAAAAAATTAATATTCCAATTTTTTTTAAATTTATGATATGAGCTGCCTCAGATAGAATTCAACCTTGTGCAAGTGCACCTATACATGTACATATGACTTTGATAGATTTTGGAACATTAAAATACGAAATATAAAATGAATTTTGGTATGATTTGTAGGGTTCTTATATCAACTCAATTTTCAAACAGTTACAGACTTTGCATTGAGATATGTTCAACCTGAAATTAAACAGATGTATTGATATTCATTTGCATAAGGTTTCTATCCAACGCAACTCATATATTTCTTTGGAAATCTTACATCTTCCTTTCAGTACAAATATGCTAGTTGTAGAAAGACAGATGCTGACCTCCATGCTTTTAAGTTTGGAAAAAATAACGTATTACATCTTCCATGGTTTAACAATCTGTTTAAGCTATGACATTTTTTTCATGTAATTTACATTAAACCAAATTGTACATTATAATATTAGTTTTGATTCAATTTACAAATTATCATACATACTTAGTATATTCTTTCAGTCCTTTCATAAACCAAACAGAAGTTCTGTATATAGACATGATTTCTCGTTTAATAGATCGTTTAGCTAAAAAATAAAAATACTATAAATGAAAAATGTAAGAGTAACAACTTTTACATTTTACTCAAAAATCATGATTTTTAATCAAATTAATTTAAACTTTCTACTAAAGAACTTAATAACTGATCATTGCTAAATCTATCAATTATTCATACTTGTTCTTGCAGCCATGATGATCTGAACTCTAGTGTAGTGGGGTGCTGTTGTACATCTATATATATGCAGTGAAGCATCAGCTTTAATATGGCATGTTTTGACAAAGCAATCAATTTTTAATCCAATTAAGGTGAATTTAAATCTTATGACAGAAGATTATCAAACTAATGTCCTCAGGTAGATTGTGTCATTAATTAATTTATTAAACTGACCACTTTTCATTGTAATCAAGGTAAATTATTTATTTGGTGTCTTCAACCCAAGCCAACATTTGAAAAATATATATTCAACCTACGCCTACAAACAAAACACAATAGGTGTTGTTATAACAATTAATAATTAATTACAGGTAAAATACAGTCAGTATTTTAAAGCTTTAAAACTTACTCCTTTAGAATAAAACAACAACAGTTAAATACTTGCAAAATTATATTGCAGTAAAAATATGATATATGAAAAAAAAAGAAGATAAAAATATTACAATAGAACACTCTTGTTTGGTAAAATACTTCCAAAATTTTGTTGTTCTAGATATGCAATTAAAAACAAGAAATGATTGTAACAGGATGCTGTTACGAAGTCTCCCAAACGAAGCTCCCATAATTCGTAATTCCCAGGGTCGCTTGACATTAGGCAACGTCCAGTGAAAATTGGTTTGGTCCAGTAAAGTTATATGCATTAGTGATGCCTGGGGACTAACCTTGTATATCATTCAAATCATCTTGGCATGACACACCAGAATATAAATGGTTTAGGGGTGGGGATCTCGACCATTTACAAGATACTAGAACATTGGGGGTGGGGAGGAACCCCTGGGGACTGGCCCTATACTTCATTCAAATGTTCATTACATGACGAACAGGAATATATATGGTTTAGGGGTGGGGATCTCAACCATTTACAAGATATTAGAACATTGGGGGTGGGGGGAACCCCTGGGGACTGACCGTATACGTCATTCAAATGTTCAAGACATGACAAATAGGAATATATATGGTTTAGGGGTGGGGATCTCAACCATTTACAAGATATTAGAACTTTCTCAAATGGCAGGGGGTCGGGATGACCCCTGGGGACTAACCCTGTATATCATTCAAACCATCTTCGCATGACAAACCAGAATATATATGGTTTAGGGGTGGGGATCTTGACCACTTACAAGGTATTAGAACTTTCTTAAATGGCAGGGGGTGGGGGTGACCCCTGTGGACTAACCCTGTATGTCATTTGATGTGCTTTATCATGACAAACCAGAATATATATGGTTTAGGGGTGGGGATCTCGACCATTTACAAGATATTAGAACTTTCTCAAATGGCAGGGGGTCGGGATGACCCCTGGGGACTAACCCTGTTTATCATTCAAACCATCTTAGCATGACAAACCAGAATATATATGGTTTAGGGGTGGGGATCTTGACCACTTACAAGATATTAGAACTTTCTTAAATGGCAGGGGGTGGGGGTGACTCCTGGGGACTAACCCTGTATTTCATTTGATGTGCTTTTTCATGACAAACCAAAATATATATGGTTTAGGGGTGGGGATCTCGACCATTTACAAGATATTAGAACTTTCTCAAACGGCAGGGGGTGGGGATGACCCCTGGGGACTAACCCTGTATATCATTCAAACCATCTTAGCATGACAAACCAGAATATATATGGTTTAGGGGTGGGGATCTTGACCACTTAGAAGATATTAGAACTTTCTTAAATGGCAGGGGGTGGGGTGACCCCTGGGGACTAACCCTGTATTACATTTGATGTGCTTTATCATGACAAACCAGAATATATATGGTTTAGGGGTGGGGATCTCGACCATTTACAAGATATTAGAACTTTCTCAAATGGCAGGGGGTCGGGATGACCCCTGGGGACTAACCCTGTATATCATTCAAACCATCTTAGCATGACAAACCAGAATATATATGGTTTAGGGGTGGGGATCTTGACCACTTACAAGGTATTAGAACTTTCTTAAATGGCAGGGGGTGGGGGTGACCCCTGGGGACTAACCCTGTATTTCATTTAATGGGTTTTATCATTTAGAACGTTTTCAATTAAAAAGATTGTGTCTATCACAAACGGTTTTCAATTTATAATCATTTGAAAATTTAAAAAAATAGAATCCCATAGGGTTCTATAGTAAAACCCTCTTTTCTTTTTGCCCCTCAAAGTACCCCTTTATAAACCCCATTGCACAAACAAAACCCTGATTGCACCACTAGACATGTTAGTCTAACATATTGTGAAACCCTAAGTTAATCTGACAAGCGGTTTTGGAGAACGGGTGCGGACAAGTTCAAATTTAAAAGCGGCGGAAGAAGAAGAAGAAGAAGAAGAAGAAGAATAATAATAATAATAAGAACTGAGCAAAAACAATAAGTCTTCCCAAACTTCGTTTGGGAGACTTAATAAATGGGGAATGTGTCCATGGGACACAGATGATGCCCCCGCTTGCATTATGCCATATCACATAAAGTTATAAAGGGACATAACTGAAGAACAGTAAAAGTGACGCTACCCAAATTTGTACTTGATCTGAGTTTTGTGGTAATAAGCACATACAAGATTTGCTTACTTATGACTAATAGCTGAGTATCCAAGCTAAAAAGTGTATTAAATCTGACGTATCTAAATTTAAATTTTATTTTGAAAAGGTGCTTTATTATTTTTGGTAACCATATATAAATAAACTGCTTCGCTGAGCGCAGCTGGATACGCCTGCAGAGGTCCAACCCTGAACACTTGGGGCAAAAATTCGGGAGGGCCAATCAAAATTGTCCTGTTCCAAGTATCCTCGATGATTGGAAGTTCGTTACCCTAACTCGAAACGAAAGAAAAAAATCACAAATTTGGAGCAAATATTATCAACTGTAAATGTAAATATTCTTTACTTATTTGCAAACAGTCTGATACATTTAATTGATGAATAGCTTCAGAAACATGGTCAATCTTTCTATGTTTCATGTTGTGACCCGATTCCGTAAAATAAGTAGACATACTTGTAAGTTCGTGACCTTTGTCTTTGGAGGTGGCTTTTGTGCATGTGCAACAATATATAGGTCAGGCCTACTGTATTATGTATTTGAACATTACAGAATAAATTTGAGATCAAATAACAAATGAATATCTTGAAAAAAAAGAGAAATTATGACATACTAACTTTTTATTCTCCCTACAAAGATTATTCTAATTTTTACACGTGACTTTGAATGGTCAATAGGAAAGTCAAGATTTAAACACTTTAAACACCTTAAAGATAAATATAACGATGTCACAATGTCATTAATGCATCAAATTATTTTTTCATGCAATTTGCATTCAATGGCATAGGATCAAATTACTTTTACGAGCCAATATTCGGCAGGTTTTGTTTTCATCAAAATATATCAAATCATTTTCTGATCTTAAAAAATCCGCTCACATACAGACTTTAAAAAATAATACTCTTGGCCTTAAAAAAGGGAATAAGAGGCTGTATAACCTAAAAATAGATGATGACTCATTGTTGAGATGTCAATAACATTGCTGAAAGGATTTTCCCAAGAATTCAACGAAATTCTAGGAGAGGAATAAAACAGTAGTAGCGGAAATAGACGTTTAAACAAATAATATGCTAGAACATACACAACTTCTTTTTTTCAAGCCGATATTAGTGAAAATGCATTGAAAAATATTTGGTTAAGTTTTTTGAAGTAGCACGTTGCCGATAATAAATACTTTTGCATGACGTCACGAATAAAGTGGAAATCCCCAAATGTCACAAACTTGCAAGCATAACGAACTTGCAATCATCGACGATACCTTAATTCGTTTTTGATTCCGTGTCCTGAACAGAGTCTCTGAGGTCGGCCAAATTTTCAGAAAAATTGTCGCTCCGGACACAGAATCTCAAATTCTTGAAATGGGATTACATTATACCAGAAGTCCATTACTAGTATAAATGGACTTCTGATTATACTTGTAATTTGCAGTGCCAGTGCCAGTGGTGATACATATTGACAATAAAGTTTTCATCAGAGATGTTCTTACTTATGATATAATAATATTCCTAAAACTTGATTTACTGCCAGGATTAAAGACAATTACAGCTTAATACTGCTCTGCAACTTATGTAACAATCGTCATGTTTACCTGTCTGTAGACTGGTTCCCGATCGCAATATTCAGTATGTTACACATATACTAGGCTATCAGCTAATACCTGGAACGTAGTACCGGGAAACAGGATAACCTGTCTGCAACCCGATGTGTAAAACGTCACAAATTGTGCGTTCTAAAATACAACTCCAAACCATATATTTCTGAACTAAAATAGGAAACAAACGGTCGATAAAATGTTCATCTTGTCTTGATCTTGTTTTCACGGTTTCATAATGCCGAAAGATAAAAGTTGGCTGGGAATAAAAACAAGAGAAAATGCAGTTTTCTAAATATTGCAATTAAAATTCAAATATTATTAAACTTTTTTTAAAACGATACATACAGAGTGTGGCTATAAATATTTGCCACTTTGGATTTTTCACTATATATTTCATATAAAACTAAGTTTTTTCAAAACAATATTTTGGGGTCCTTTCTGGTCCGATTTTAAGCAATTTGATACCAATAGAAGCAGAATAGTCACAGATTTCTTTGTTTACTTGGTTGTATTTTTGTTGTCGAGCATTTTCATTTTCTCAGTGAGATAAACACAAATATTTTTTTCTGTTCAGAAATTTGTTACATATTTCAACCAAATTAAATTGTAAAACATTATTATACGTGTTCACACCAAGAGAAAACAAAAACAAAAGCATCTGCAGACAAAACTTTGACCAAATTCTGCATCTTTCACTGAACACATTATTTGTAAAATTCCAACCAGAAATGCCTTAAACCTGGGAACAGTATATCTAATGTTCCTGCTTAAACATATATATATATTTTTAATGTGTATTTATATGAATAATATAGCAAATAAATGTAGGAGACGAATATTTTGGCCATGTACTGTATGCGCAAGATTCCTTTGCATGGTTATGCAACCTTGGAATAGTCTACTATGTTATGTCCCTGATACAACTAACAGCACTTTATTATGTGCTTGGACTGGAAAATTTTCTGATGATAAATATATTGAGATAAAAACATGAGAAACAAATACAATTATTATTTTCAGAAAGAAAAAGAAAAATGTTGTCACTAAAAGTCACCCTACATTACTGTAAAAATTGTCCAGACAACACTTAATAAAACGTTTGCTTATTTAAGTTATCATTCAACACTGTAAGTATGTCAACAGAAGAAATGGGATCACCGTACGTTTTGTCCTTCTATATCATAAAATAGAACAATTTCCTGTAGATCCCTTTATCAATATTTAATCTCTCAGTTACTTCCCCTTAACGTGCTAAGTTTTGAAAAATATCTATCTTTGTAAAAATATGAATAATAATAAGATAAAACCACATAATTGATCGAATGATTGGCGTTTAACTCCACTTCAGCAATATTTTGCTTTTTTGTGGCTGTCATTTTTATTGGTGAAGAAAGCCAGACTGCCCGCAGAGATCCACAGACCTTCGCTAGGGAAACTGATAATCATAATCAATTAAAATTGAGTCGAGCCTGGGACTATTTACTAAGTATAATAGTCCCAGGTCGAGTGCACCTGACATGCGCAGGATTTGAACTCACATCAGTGCAACTACTTCGACCATTGGGCCACCGCATCGAGGCTTCTTACAACCACATACATTTGTTCATTTTAATCAATATTTTCATTTGTAAATCGAATTCCTGCATCCAAATTTCCTGACATGATCGAAAATCTAGACCTATTGTGTTCTGCTATTTTACAATCTAAATGGCGGAAGACTTCCATACTACCTAGAAAAGGCATATATCTTTTGCTTAATGAATGGTACTTAAAATAAAATACATCCTTAACAAAATCTACAATATAGTCTGAATGTTGCCTAATACTGCTGCATGGCTGAATATACAGAATAAAACTTACCTTTGGGTTATAAGCTATACCCTAAATAATATGCCGGAAGTGTACATGACGTTTTCACAGGCAGGCGTAGTCATTTACAGCGTTACAATCTTTACCTTTGCAATGCTGTGAACCTTTGCACCGTACAGAGTTTATGAAAATATTTCCAATATGGTATTTATTTGATTAATACTTTGACTTTCATGGGACACGATATAAACATTATTTCAGTCCAATCAATCAGAAATGTGTCCAAAAAAATAATACAGAATCATGAGAATGTCTGTTTACACCGCAGAAGTTCAGAACGATTAACAATTACAAAACCACACAACAACCAGAGAATATCATAGAATATCATAGAACATGCTTTTTATAAAAGTGGGGTCTATTGTCTGTATAGAAGTACATCACTGATAGAATGAAGAATTCCTCTGAATTCCTCTGTAAAATTACCTCCCCTAGAGGCTAGAATAATATATAACTTATAAGGGGTAATCTATACTACTAAAGGAAGTGACCGGTTTCATTGAGCCGCAACTCCTCTGAAACCATACAAAGTCGGAAATATTTGTGGTATGACATATAAATGTAGTGTACTTCCTAAATTTGTCTTTGAAACAATCTTTTTTTTCAACAGAAAACGCCAATTTTTGAGAAAATATCCAAATTCGGAGACTGTTATCGATTCGTGTCTTATATGCTTTCGCGCACCTTTTCATCATGTTCATTTATCGTGTTTAAATAAGATTTCTATTATTGACCAATGAGAAAATTTGATATTTAATTCGTCAAAAATATACATGTAGTCAGATAAACCATGCATAAAACATATGTATTTGTATTTCAATCTTTTCTCTAATTTCTAACCCGGAAACACTAAAACAAAAGTATTCAAGAAAAATATTTATCTATTAGATGATAATATTGATTTAAACAAGTTATTACAGAAAAAAACAGGCATACTGTTGTTATGGGAATTCTGACAGAGTTATCTCCTCCTGTCATGAATTGTGTTGAAATAACACGTCTGTTATTGTATAAAGAAACACCTTTCAGTTATCACAGACATTTTCATCGGGTGAAATGCAAATTGAGTCAGATACTTTCAAATTTACTGCTGTTTGTCGTTCCTGGCAAATTTGACTGTTGCCGATTTTGCGTTACGAAATTCCACCCACATATTGCATTTGAATAACATCTTTGTTTTCTAGCTTGTTATTAATCCAACTTTTCTTCAGTTACTTCTATTTACATGCTTTATATTGCTAAATCGGTGTCAAGACAGATGAAACCGTGCTTGCTTTAAATATAATTCTAATATGATGACCTATATATCGTCAACCAGTATAATCACTGTATATCTACTTTTTGCACAAGCGCATAAATACACAAAACTGACTGTTCCTCGTTATGTCCAACTTATTTATACTACCAGGTATTCTCAATTTGCAACATCAAAACCCACAGTTTACGTACATGTTTGTAGGTCAAGATTCAGATACGATATAATTATCTCTTTTCTAAAGCAAAATAAACAAATCAGTCCATTTCAATTTATTTTTCGGTGTAAAATTTCATAAAAGGAAAATTCTGCGAAATGATGTTATTGTCTTTGCATGGCAACAACAAGGTGAAGTCATATGTATGCTTCCGGCATCAAATGTAAACACCGGGCGTTTTAAAACTTCTTGTACGCCTCAGAATGCAATAAAATTACATATTACGTATTTAGGTGAAAAATGTGATTTTTGAAAAAATTATTATTGAATAATATGATATTACTAATATTATCATATGGGGGTAAAACGGAACAGCCAAAACAGTATCCTGTGTATAGGGCTTTCACGGTTAACAAAATTACCGAATTTGTGCTATTAGAATCGAAATAATTCATGGCAGCCATAGATTTGTTTTCAGTTAACCATGGGTTGGGCATTTATATTCGTATTTTACCCCTCCCATGAATTATTTCTTAATCCAATATTTATGTACCTATTGACAGTGATTTACATGATTAACCTTGAACTTTAGCAACCTATTTTTTTGCACGCAACGTTGTGTGATTTGGCTTATAAAAAGGGTATTTCCCATTGTAAACATGATTATGATTTGAAATTGAACTGAGCATCACGAATACCTATAGGTAAATACTTGACATAAAACAGAAAACCGTTAAGAACATATTTATTGTAATGATCTAATAATAATATAATTTCTATTCCATGAAGATAGTTTAGTTATTATTTTGTAAGAAAATACTGGCAAAGGTATTTATTCAATTATTCAATTTATCTAAAAACTATTGTTGTCCAAATAAAGGCAACAATTATAACATTGGTGGCAGCGGTGATATATTATAAAGAAATTAATATAAGTTACCATTCATCATTACACAGATTATTAGATGACATAAAAGAAATAGTGATTTTCTTGGTTGAAAATTAAATGTACATGGTGTCAGTTATAAAAAAATATGAAATTTATATGATCTTATTTATTTTACAGATGCAATTTATGCTTTTGTTTAGTCGCCAAGGAAAATTGCGGCTTCAGAAATGGTATGAAGCTCATCCAGATAAACTGAAAAAGAAAATCACAAGAGAATTAGTGGCATTGGTGCTTTCCAGAAAACCTAAAATGTGTAGTTTCTTGGAATGGAAAGATCTAAAAATTGTTTACAAAAGGTGAGAACGGAGGGAAGTCACACAAGTCTAAAAAATAAACAGCATTGCTTTCCTTATATCAGACAGAAGATCACAATACATTTTACTTTTTCAAGGCTATTCACTTTGTGGGAAGACCCATCTTGTCATATTCCACAGGTATGGGCACAATACATTGTGGGATTATTTGTCATCATGTGTAGTTTACCATATACTATAACATGATTTTGATTTGACTAATTCTGTTAGAGAACATGTATGATATCCTTTGAATGCCAAGAATCACACGGATAGTTTACAAAAGCTCCTCTCGTCATGAATATGCATGAAATTTTTGTCACAAAAGCCCCAAACTCAGGCAAACTGAGATTATAAAGTTATTTCTGTAGCTGCTGTACATCTTTTCTACTTATTGTAAAAAAAAATAATAGTTCCACCTAAAATTATTTTACATTTTTACATTTTTGAGACTTGCAAGCTCATCAATGTTATTTCATTTGTGAATTAATAACTGCATGTACTTTAGATGTATATTACATGTATTATTAACAAAGAAATTTATAAGGTGTTATTTTCATTAATGTAATGTATATCACAATTCAAATGCAACATACCATTATCTGCTTAAAATAGTAAAGGATTCCTACAGATAAATTTACACCATTCAATGTTGCCATGTTTTAAGACAATCTTTTATTTCAGATATGCTAGTTTATATTTTTGCTGTGCAATAGAAAACGATGACAATGAATTGTTAGCTTTGGAGATTATACACAGATATGTAGAATTGTTAGATAAATATTTTGGAAGTGTAAGTGCTTTGTTCTTTTGCTGTAATCTTTAAAGAAACAAATGAAAAGAGATTAATGGAAGAGGGAAAGAGTCCAATAGTTATTTCAAGAAAAAGACTTCTGTATGCGCTGAATGATACCATTAAGAAATTTAATATGCATAGAAGCAAAATTTGTGCATTCTTAATTAGTATGCTTACAAAAAAAAGTACATACTAATTATACATTTTAAAAGGAATATGTGGGTTAAACTTCAAATAGACAGCAACTAAATAATAAAATGAAACTATAAAAGACTTCATAAATTACAAACGAAAGTGAAACAACGCCTGGTGAATCTGTAGTACGGTAGAGTCCCTTGATGAGGTAAAGACTATGTTGAATATTTTCATTAACATTTTAATTTACAGTTAATATTCCTAATTGTAACTCCTCCATCTGTAAATGTACATTTGTATGTCTGTCTGACATTGTAACATTAGTACTCTCATGTGTACAGTTTTTATGGGTTTCATTGAAATTTATATGATTTATACTACAAACAATATATGTATGATTGGTGAACAAAAAAGTGCTGTTCGATAATTTTTATTTTAGTTATACCTTTTTGAAATGAAAAATACTTCAAAAATAGTCTTGTATAAAGCACTGTCATACTTAAATAACATTTAAAGAACAGATAAGGGATATGTTAGGAAAGATTGAAATTAAGTAAGAAAATGGAAGATTTATGTTAGCAATATCACTGTCAAGTTATAATGATAAGGGCAGCTTGAAAATGTACATAAGAGTTTATGTATTATTATTTTTATGCCAGTGCCATGTTAACATACCAGAAGGTATAATATTTTAGTCAATCAGAATGGCTGGAGTCATTGACTACCATGTTAATTGTATGAATCAATATTTAAATTTTCGGAGAATAAGTTTTAAGTGACACTGAATCTTCTTCGGATGAAGTAAAATTTGATACAATTATTAAGCATAATTCATCATTATTTAGACTTGCATATCACCTTGATATGAAATTAGAATTTCATTTTTTTGTAAATTCAAGCTTCCATGTTGTTTTTATTATTGGTTACATAAGTAGTCATATGAACATGGTCTTGCAAAAAATAAACTGCCAAAACAAATCACCATCCGAAGCACTTTTAACCAATCATAGTCAAGGATTCCTAGTTATGCAAATCATAAAGAATTATTTTGAAATTATTTATCATTTAACTGACTGTCTCTTTAATCATGTATCCTAAAATAGGGATGTTCTTGATTTATCAGATTTACAGTGAGGTAATTTTTAAAGCAGTGAGAATGTAAAAAGTTAAAGATATTCACCAGAAACATTAAACTGTTTTATAAGGTGTGAATTTTAAAATGACTCAGCCAGATACAAATAATCACTTATAAGTTCTTTAAAAAAAACTTGATGATTTCTGTTAATTCTGATTTTAGGTATGTGAATTAGACATAATATTTAATTTTGAGAAAGCCTACTTCATGTTAGATGAGTTATTATTGGGTGGAGAGGTTCAAGAAACCAGTAAGAAGAATGTTCTGAAAGCTATTGCAGCCCAAGATCTGTTGCAAGAGGTAAGATATAGGGCTATAGATCATGCATGTTATTGTTACAGATTTTCAGGAGGTTGAATGTATGGTTTCAACTGGTTTTGTTTGTGAAAATAGGTTGAAGTGTGGTTTGTTTAGTATTATGTTTTATAAATCTGTTTTTTAGAGGTTTTAAAAATAACATAGTAACTGAAGTTATTAGTTTGGTGTAGTGAAACAATAAAGTTCAGTGTTTAAAAATTAGACACCATCTACTAACTGGTACTTGCAGTTCAGTGAAAATTTAGGATTAAGATGAAATAGTTTGCTTTCATTTATTTTGCAATTTTTTATGCGTTTTGCTTTAATACTTTATTTGAAGGAGGAAGCTTTTGATGAAGCTCTCAGAGAATATGGACTGGTCTAAGGCTATTCTAGGAAGATGATCTGGTAGACATTTCAATTTATTACTGTCATGATCAGAATTCTGTACATTTTGTTCACCAAAACATTGATCAGTGTAAAATGAACTACTTAGAAAAAATAATAAAAGGAGAAAGCAGATATTTACTTTTTTTGAAGCAAGAATTTTTAGCTCTGAATAGGATCCAATTGAAAAAAGCATTCAATAATTTAAATAGGATGAAACTTGTTTGACCGGGTTGGGATAAGTCAAAAACCGTCTTAAAGTATGGTGATGTAGGGCAGATGGTTAATAGTGGGTACCTAGTTTGTGTAATCAGCTCCTCCTACAGTTTTCTACCCAGATCCTTGAAACTTCACTGGATGATTGCACATATGTTGAAGTTATGCACATGCTATTATTTGAATTGTTTGAGGAATTTTTCTAGACTTGGGATTTTTGTTTTTATCAGCAAAATTTATGAAAAAGGGTACCAGTTTTGTGTGATCAGATCTCTAAAACTTCACAGGAAGATTGCACAAATGTTGAAATAGTGCACCTGCTATTATGGAATTGCCTGAGAAATTTTTCTCATTTTTGCAGACTTTGGAACTTAGCCATTATTCATCAAAGTTTATGAAAGAGGGTGTACAAGTTTTCCATTCCTACAGTTTTCAACCAAGATTTCACAGAAAGATTGTGAACATATTGAAATTGTGCACCTGCTATTGTGGAATCGTTCTGAGACTTGGGAAATTAGTTATTTTCCTGCTACTTACATTTTGGTGTCAAAAGATCAAGGTGACATGGCTCAGAATACTTACAGATTTGTATACAGTAGCATGGCATTACACAGGCTAAAATTAATTGAAGTGGTGAGAGGAAGAACCATAATTCTAATTGTCTGAGCCAAAGGTCATTGTCTCTGGGAAAAGTCGATTAAAAACTATTTTGATAACATTAAAAATTATTTGAACCAATAGCCTTAAATTTATACAAAAAATGCTCAGGTGACAGGGATGAACCTTCTTTCATAGAAAATATTAAGGTAACTCAGAAAACATCCAAACATTTTCCAAACCTTAAATTGTCTGACATAATTGCCCCATTGGGTTGCTGAAGTTAATAAATGTTAGATTATATACTAATGTCATATTATTGGATGATTAAAGGGGAGTAAGTACTATCACAGAATTTTGATCATGAAAATAAATCTTGCATGTTGTATTCAGAATGGTGATCTGGTTTTGTGGACTCTGTATTTTTCTGTCTGTACTTAAAGCTCTAAAGGAGATTTTTCTGGCTTTTAATCTCTCTTCATCCCTGTCAATGAATGTTGTTGTTGTTCATGATTTTTATATTTTTGCACTTTTTTTTTTATTAAAGAAAGGATCTGATCAATTTTATTCCTATGTCTGCTTGTCAGGATTAAATATCCTTTTACTTGGTGTTTTTTTAATTGGATAGTTTAAAACTAAATTTCTATAGACAACATGAGTTGAGGTAGAAAATGAAATAGTCTTGCATATACCAAGATCACAGTTGCCACATCTAGTTCTAATCAAATATACTACAGGTATGTAAGATGTAGGTTAGATACAAAATGACCTTGAAAAGATCGTAGCAGAGAATGTAGAATCATGTGCAAAACAGTGTAGCCGAGACCATTGATTGGCGCGCTAAAATATCCCATTGACTGGGTCAGATTAGGTGAACGTTCGTCTGTAACGCCCACAACTCACGACGTATTTATTATAGACATTTAAACTGTGGGGTCACCAAAGGGTCTCAACGCCTAAATATTATAATTCAAAAAACTAATCAGGAATAACCTTTGTGTTTTGATTTATGTTGAATACTTAAACGTTCTTTACTTGTGTTTTTGTTGTGTTTTGATAATGATTTTTATGATATCGGACGTTCTTTCAGCAAAAAAGGATTTAACTGGCTTTAAAAGTTACAATGGATGTGTTGATTATTATCTTTTTTTCGGACGTCAAAGCGATTTAACAATTGCGGTTGTCCAATTATGTCATCTTTAAACTTTTATCTGGTCAACATTTTATTTTAGAACGAATGCATGATCAACTTTAAAAAGTGTGCAAACACAAAACATATAGACAAAACATACTTCTTTCCTGTCTTTTTCGTACTTGCAAGTTATTAGACAGTAAAAAGGCTATTTGGATCAAGCCTTGTGAAATTTGCATTTACGTTTTTAATAAGGTAAAATGTATAGTTTGGTGATCTTTTCTGCTAACTACTATACTTGTGAAAAACCCTTGGCAACAGAAACATATTCAGCTTTTTTTTTTAATCGACCCAAGTTACATAGTAATGGACGACTTCGTTCATTTTATGATCGCAAATAAAATATGTATATAATATACTGTGCACTGTAGTTCGTATACATACTGAGACCCTTTGGCAACCCCACAGTTTAAATGTTTATAATAAATACGTCGTGAGTTGTGGGCGTTACAGACGAACGTTCACCTAATCTGACCCAGTCAATGGGATATTTTAGCGCGCCAATCAATGGTCTCGGCTACACTGTTTTGCACATGATTCTATTTATAAATTATAATGATTATATGAGGGTTTGTTTCAGTAGTTCGGTTTTAACATGCATAATTTCAGATTGTTATCATCTTCCTAGAATGCCTTACAACAAGCTTAAAATTGGCGTTCTTAGTCTGCATTGCTATTGTTTGCAAAATGCCAGCATTATGTTTTTATCCCATGGCAACTATTTATACAAAAGAAAATGATTTTCAGTGTCCTTTACATATATATACATATTTTTAAGCAATTTTTAAATGTATGTATGTTTCAAAAAGATAAAGCATGTTTTATCAAAGCATGTGAAAGTACCTAGGGAAGGCACTATGAAAAAGTTATTGTGGGTAGCTGTATCAAAATATTACTCTCATTTATTAACACACATGAAGTCCCAATTTTGATTCCATTAGTTATTTTTTTAAATTATTTTTTTGGGGAATGGCAACATTTGTTTTTCTGGAAACAGTGGGTTTCATACATGTGTAAAGGTAGATTCTGAGCATCCATTGGGGATCTACATCTTTGATTTGTTGCTTGTGTGTTTGTAAATATCTATCTTATGTTTTTAAAATTTGCTAACTTTTTGACTTTTACATTTATTTTCACAAAAATGGACTGGCTTTAAAAGTTTGGTCTTATTAACCACAAATCAAAGATTCTTTGTATTGCTCGAGGAAAAGAACTTTCGCATAAATGTGTACATAAATAGTTTAACTGGATAATTCTGTACACTCACAATAAATCTTTTTAGCTAAAATCTATCATCTTTAAGTTTTTGTGTCCACCCACCTTTAATTCTTTTTCTTTTTAACTTTATAAAGAGTAAGTCAATTACAATTCTATATATTTTGCTGCATATTTAATCTCATTGTTATCATAAAGCACAAAACAACAAAAATTAGTAGTTCCACGAGTAATAATTGTGAAAGTGCCTTCCATGGGTAAATCAAATTTTCAATAAAATTCATTCCTTATGTGGACTAGAAAAATGATGTGACAGTAACTTGTTGAGTCAAAAATTAAAACTTAAAACAAAAACATTGTGTGAATATTTTCTTTTGTATGAATGTTTTACATGATGTTGCTTATTACACTACTTACAGTACAATATGACATGTTGGGACAGAGTCCTTGGTACACTAACAATTATTGTCAAATGTATTTATCCATGAATTAAGTTCAATTCTACTGTGTATTCATTTATTTTTGTGGCTTCAATTTTCCAGGCTATAGAAAACTTTTATTTTATTGAATTTGTAGTTTACCTTTAGCCAAGAAATCCACACAAAAAAAGTACCCCATGATTTGTAATGAATCCACAGTAAAATGAATTTAAAAATTGCAAAAAAACAGAAAAAAAACCTCCAGATTTTTGAAATCACAAACAGAGTGCATGTTTCCTTCCTTTTACTTTAGTCCCTGGCTTTATACACACAGAATTTGTTTTTTTTGTACTTTTTTGTTTAAATTTTTATATATGCATGAGTAAAGCACTTGAAAAAAATCATGAATGCTGATTTTTTTAGTAATTTTTAAAATCAGTGTACTAGAATATGAATTTGGGTTCGTTCAAGAAAGTTATATAATTAACCAATTACTTGGTTTAAGTAGAACTTACTTTTAATGGCAATGTATATGTAATTTGATTGAAGTGATATACGCTGTACTTCAATAATTGGTTAGTAAAGAAGACTAGAAAAGAACTCTTGCGATTCATTTGAAAAAAAAGTAAATACAGTTAATACTTCAGTAACCAGTTACCTTACTGATAAAAAGTAATTTTGAAACAATAATCAAATATATTTCTTTTAATTTTCTGTTAAAATATGTTATATTTGAAATCTATGTGCAAATACATGTCTCACTTTATTTATGGAAGAAAATGCAATAGAAGCTTGTTGCACTGTTTTTTTTGTTTGTAAATACATTTTTTATTTCTTATTGATGGGGGGATATCTGTACCAAACTGTACCTAAAAAATCTAAAGCTCTTTCCATACACAAATTTTCAGTGTGATCATGATGGTCTTCAACATATAAATATTTTAGAAATATTACAAAAGATTTACAGTATTTTGTTCAAGGGAATGTAGACTCAATAAAATATTTCAGCGACTTTTGAACTGGACTTACGATATGCTGAGTGACATTAGACTGTCAGGTCAACTTTTCAGTTTTTAAACAATTTCTTTTAGCCTGAAAACAGATTCTTAATAACCGTAGACTGACTAAAATGTCCTATTGGGATAGGTAGACTTCTGTTGAATTTGAAAGGACTTGGTTAGAGCTCAAAGCTAAGTCAATATCTGATATGTGTGATTAACATTATTTGTCAGCAAAAATAGAAAAGAGGAGGAAAGAAAATAAAGAAATATAACAACAACAAAAATGTCCATTTTTATATTTTTTTTTTTGATAACAGAAAAGTTATGAATTTAGCTGTTGCAATATGTCTTAATTGGTATGAATTATACAATTAAGAATTAAATTATCCAAATTATTGTATAAAACAGTACAGGTAAATTGTTCTTCTATTTTATAGCAACTTTAAAGAGAATTTTCATGTATATTTTTTTTTTTCTAAATAGAAAAAAAAAGAAATTGCAACAGCTTATTTTAGTAACTTTAGATGTTGTGAATTGATGTTGTCACTTTTACTTTTGAATTTGAAACTTAACATTTCCTCCTTTTTTCATTTGATAGGAGGAGACTCCACAAGGATTTTTTGAAGACCATGGTCTAGGTTGATGGACTGCATGTGTAGAGTTGGTGATGTCCTTCCCTTTCAAATCCTGCATTTCCATGGCAACAACCTTTTTACCATAACATTCAACTGACAAAATTAACATTTATATACTCTTATGTATTGTGTGCAATGATGTTTATAAAATGTTCTTTGTATACAAAATGATGAAGTTTAGGAATACATAGTCTGTTATCATCCTGCATTACATATTTAAATAAAAGACAGAGAAAAGAATCATGAAGGAAGATTGAGAAATTCTACAATAGGTCAATTCTTAATTCCAGTACATTTTTTTATCTGCTTGCAACTTATATTATTTATTAGTGTTATTCAGCAACTAAAATTTATTTGTAGAAATAAGTATTTGGTTGGATTATTATCTTTTTGTGTAGATACATTGATTTAGGTTTTGTTTTTATATTTTTACTCCAGAATGGATACATTGATTTAGGCCCATCATTAGTTATGAAGCTAAATTGATATTTTTGTCTGCAAGAATGGAAGTGACGAATGTTGTGCTATCTAACTGAAAAGAGGGATCAACAATGTTATAATTTATTTTTTTTGCACAGAAAAGTGGACCAATATTTATTTATATTATCTATAGGAATTTTTGCTATGAATGCATCAAATTTTTGAAAAAATGACAATACTTTGTAATGGAATATTTGGAAATGTTTGCTCTTTCTCACCTATGATGAAAGTTTTGATATGTAAATGTTGTAAGAATGGTTTTCAGGGCAAAAATTATTTTTCCCTTTTCAAAATTTCAAGAAATAAGATTGAAATTAATGAGGCCATACTGTAAAAGCCAGTTCATCCTCACTTTTCAGTGTAGAACTTGCTTCTTTTTTTATTTTGCTTCTTCACTAGTCTAATCAGTTTTGATAATATTTTTATACGACCGCAAAAAAATTTTTTTGTGGTCGTATATTGGTATGACTTTGGCGTCGTCGTCGTTGTCGTCCGAAGACACATTGGTTTTCGCACTCTAACTTTAGTTTAAGTGAATGGATCTCTATAAAATTTTACCATAAGGTTCAATACCACAAAAGGAAGGTTGGGATTGATTTTGGGGGTTATGGTACCAACAGTTAAGGAATTAGGGGCCAAAAATAAGCATTTTTCTAGTTTCCAGACAATAACTTGTGTTCAAGTGTATGGATCTCTCTGAAATTATACTGCAAGGTACCATACCACAAAGGGAAGGCTGGGATTGATTTTGGGGGGTAATTGCCTCAAAATTTTAGAAATGAGGGGCCAAAAAGGGGCAAAAAACAAGCATTTTTCTAGTTTCAGGACAATAACTTGTGTGTAAGTGTATGGATCTTTATGAAATTGTACTACAAGGTTCCATATCACAAAGGGAAAGCTGGGTTTGAGTTTGGGGGTAATTGCCCTAAATGTTTAGGAATATGGGGCCAAAAAAAAATGAAAAAGGGGTAAAAAAACAAGCATTTTTCTAGTTTCCAGACAATAACTTAAGTTCAAGTGTATGGATCTCTATGAAATTGTACTGCAAGGTACCATACCACAAAGGGAAGGCTGAGATTGAGTTTGTGGGTGATGAATCATAAAGGGGTTCAAAAAATTTGGGGGGGGGGATTTTTTTTTCCATTTTTTTTCTTTAAAATTTTCCATTTTAAGTTGGTTATTTCTGATTTATATATAAAAGCAAATAATATTGATATGGTTTGAATAGGTAAATTAAAATTTTTTTTAAGTTCTTAGACCACATTCATTCTGTGTCAGAAACCTATGCTGTGTCAAATATTTAATCACAATCCAAATTCAGTGCTGTATCAAGCTTGAATGTTGTGTCTATACTTGCCCCAACTGTTCAGGGTTCGACCTCTGCGGTTGTATCAAGCTGCGCCCAGCGGAGCATTTTATTTTTTTAATCATCATAAACTCGCAAAACATAATTGCCAAAACTTGCTTTTTGTTTTGCTTATATTATTTCATGACTTTTAACACGTTAAGATTTCTCCTAGCTTTCCCATGACAATTTATACGTTGTTTGTAGAGAATTTATAAAACTAAGGGAGATTTTTTACATGTATATCAATGCAATATTTATGCGTCGTTTAGGAATCATATTGGAAATCTTTGGAAAGATTGTATTTTTCATTAAACTCCTCCTTTTTTAATTATTGTAGAAGTTAGTATGAAAAAGAATGGGAGGTTATGTTTATATTGTCTTATTTCTACGTGCAAATTTTATTTCAATAGTTATTAAGATTATGATATGAAGATTTTTTTGCAAACAAATAAGAAAGGGAAGGCATATTTACTCATTATAGAAAATTGCTTACAAAGTTTTCATAAGAAATCCATGATACTTTAAATGGTATTTTACTACATTCCTTTTTTACATAGTTATTATATACATAAGTGCTTTGTTCATTTGAATCTCATAATAAAATACAACATCAGCATAAAATGAATTCTGTGTTTATTTTGTCCTCGACATGATGAAATAATGTGGATCCATTATTATTTGTGAGGTACTAATTTTGGTAGGTATTATATAGGTGAAAAAGAATTCATTATTTCACAAAATACTAATATCTTCTAGGAATGAGTGCAGAATTTGTGAAAACTATGAAATCAAGTATTCACAAAAATGCAACTTTCCCTCAATCCACACAAAAAGTGGTACCCACGAATATAATGAATCCACAGAAGGTAATTAAAGCAACCAATACTAAATCTGTTTTTATTTTCTTGTAATAAGAAAAGAAAAATAAGACTAAAAATTCCGTGATGACAACTGCACACTTGCATCTGACACTTTTATGTACACCAATGCACTTTTTAACATGTCTCATAGTGTAATACACATGCACTGAAAAGCAATGATACATCAGGTTTGGTGACTTAGTTAATAGCTAAAGTGTATTTCTTTCTAAGAATTTAATATGCAAAGACTAATTTTTGGAAGTGTATTTGATATTTATTTCAAGTACCTTTCAAATTTTCTATTACTTTTTAGAGATATGTTTTTGTTTAGTTTATCATGTATTTTATGACACACTTCTTGAATATGGGGTAAAAAAAATGCAATAGAAAGAATAACTTGATATTTGAAAAAGTAAAATCATATCCAGATATTTTTTTCTCAAAATATGTTTAATGGGTGTTGTAAACTACTAATAAAAAAATGTTGGCAAGAAAAATTTCCCCGAAATTTTGTGAGCATAAATCTTCTGGATAACAGGTCTTGCATAAATCTTAGAAATAAATTCAATATAAAATTAATTTGGTACTAGTGTAAGCATGGTAACCTCAGTCTATGCATTAATTGTAGGTGTGGATGAATTATGAATCAGCTTCCATAACCAAAACACTCCCGATTTGAAATAATAATTGGAAAAGCATGGATGTATTTTCACATTATTTGGTATGTTGACTAAAAGGGATTCGGTTTAATGTAGCTTGACTACTTTGGTTTTGATAATTAAACATTTAAGATCTCTTTTATATATGCTAATGAACTTGATTTTGGATGAGGTTTGATCCTTCACCTGTGTAACCAAACTTGCTTTTACAATTTTACTGTTTGTTTGTGTGAGTCTGTACTAAAGAATGGAAAATAGTAAAAGACTCACTACACAGTCTTTTTTCAACATGGTAAAATAGAAGAAATTAGTTTCCTATTTATAGCAGCTCTGAAAAACAACACCAGTTTCTATCACCAAGACATTTTAAGAAATACTAGAAGGTTAATATTCTAAGCAAATAGCAAATTCAAGCAAAAGCATGCTCTTTTAAACGAAAATACTGTTTTATAATTTTATTTGCATGAAAGGTCTAGGTTGCACAACTTGTGCTCTAGTTCTGAATTGAGTGGTTTTATCCATGGTTCTGTACATGACATATTGAAAGTTCTGTTTTTGCTGCTTTGTAGCACCTTGTAGTTTGATATAGAACTTTTTTGCTTTAATTACTAGAAATCATGCATGCTTTGCACAGTATTATCATAAGAATTATATATAAATAGTTATATTTCCATTGATATAAAGAATTTAAAATTTAGTGCAAGCATACTTTTTTCCAATATAGAAATACCACAAAGTTCCATGTTCAACATCAAATCAGTTTGGTTTAAAAAAAAGATTTTTTTGAGCAGGTGTCAGCCATCTTGGATTTCAATCTAACAGGAAAGTTGTCCTAATCACCATTTTTGAAGGTATATAAGAAGATGATGATATCAAAAGATGCATACAGTATTAAATTTCAAAAAGGTTTTATTTTAGTTTAATGGCTAAAATGGTTGTAAATGTTGTATAATTTCAAGTTCAAAGATTGTGTTTCAATAGTCTTATGGAGTGAATATACACAATAGACAAACCAGGTTTTCTGGGTTTGGATACACACTGGTCAAACAGGATTTTTAGTCACCCTTTGGTACATGTCACATGAATTGATTGGCTAACAGTAACAATTGTTACTGTTCAATACTTAGTAAACAAATGAAGTCTATGGACCATCTAGCAAACAAGCAAACTAAACTTAATTATGCTATGTATGTTAATTGGATTGATTGATTGTTGGTGCCATGTGAAGATGAATATGGAAAAATAAAGTTAAAAATTCAATTTGAGTTCTTTTGTTTTATGATGCAAGACAAAGTTCTAAAGGCTTTGTATCTAATGGACAACATTCCCAAGCCTGTAGAACAAATTGACTTTTAACAAAGTTTATATTTCTATATTTATCTGATCTATTTATAACTCTCTACTTTCACTTCTCAATATTTCTCTCACACAGAGCAAAACACATTGTGACGTCAAAATTTAATGTACAAAGCTTTGTACTTCAGTAATAATGAAAATTGTCCTGGCAAGCAAAATATGGTGACCAAGTTTAATAAAAGTGCAGTCCCTTTGCAATGTTTTTATCATATATAGGTATTTTATGGCATTATTATTAATTGACAACCCTGCATACCAAGGTATCCACTTAAGAAGGCTCTAAGGAAAGTAAACACATCGATGGTGATTCACCACACGGAGGTATAATTGTCTATAGGCTTGTATACAAACTTTTGCAAAACCACAAAATCAAAAATCCATGAAAAAAAGTTTTTCCTCAACCCAAAAAAATTGATACGTCTAAAATAAATAGATCCACAGTATTGGGTTTAAAATATTTCATAGTTCATAAGTCACTTGTACAAAAAATCAAAAAGAGTGAAATTTTGAATTAAATCGTCCTATGGGAGCAAAATCAGGATAAACATTTGGTGAACTGTATAACCAAAAGCAGCATAAACAAGAATATGTCTTTAGGACACCATGCCCAGCTTACACCATCACATTCTCATGTTCATTCAACTTCAAAATCTGGGTCAAAAGCCTAATTTGGCATAATTTTAAAAGGTTCATATCATAATGAACATGTGTACCAAGGTTCAAGTTGAAGTGACCACAACATCCATGTTTAATACCGTAAAACTAATTTTTAACCAGATCAGTAAATCATGGTCAAACCCCTAATTTGGCATTTATTTTTGTTAAGTTCAAATCATATAAAATATGGTTGATAAGTTTCAAGTTGATGTGACCACAACTCCATGGACCAAAACTTGAACCTGTTTTGGAATGAAGAACTGATGAATGGTCAGATTAACAGAAACAGTCCAGAAAACATAATGCCCCTTACTATCTAAGACGCAGAATAAAAAAAATAAGAGGTATTTAAGGTTAACTTTGTTTGCTACCTTAGTAATGTGAAAAGAGAAGGTGCGCTTAGTGCATTTTTGGCATAGAAATTTAAGTACTACAAAACTAGGTTATTTTTCTGTAGATATAATTGATATGTATGTACAAAGTGTAAAGAATAAGGAATTTAAAATGTTATGAATATTTTCCTAGATCTGGCGGTCAAAAGATAGCATAAACTTGATACTTTTACAAAAAATGATAAAACTTGTATATTTTCAACATATTTGTAAGTCAGAAAAAAATTAAACACATAAAAATACCAAATCAATATTTAGATGACAGGTGTTGTTCATATCGACATACATCATGATAAATTATTTAGTTGTTACTTGCATGAGGGTAGGAATGCCCTTTACCGTCAGGCGTCAAACGGTCATTTTTCGGTTACTGTTAGCGTCAAATTGGTTAAAATGTTACCGTGATTCGTCAAAATATCCTTATCTTGATTCTTCAGAGGTCTCAAATAATTATCGTCACCGTTATTTTTGGAAAAAATTTAGCGTGATGCGTCAAAATCAGTCAATTTTTTTATCGTTTAAAAGAAAGTGTACATTTTATCGTCATGCACCAAAAATTAACGTTAACATCATTTGGCAAGAATTTTTACGGTTATCCGTCATGCATGTACCCCCATTACGACCCTCGTGCATGTGGTCCTTGATTGCTTGTCCAAAACCTAGATGAAAATAGACAAAAAACTATGAATTTTTCACATAAATGCATGGAAGGGCCTTCTCAATGAAATTTTATTGATCATAGTTTAATTTTTATGCCCCCGCCGTAGTGGAGGGGGCATTAAGTTTTACCCTTGTCTGTCTGTACGTACAAACGGAACGTACGTACGTACGTACGTCCCAAAATTGGTTTCCGTTCTCTAACTTTAGTTTGCCTCAAGCAAATGTTATGAAACTTATATACAATGCTTATTACCACAAAACACAGATCAAGTTTGAATTTTGGTGGCATCACTTTAATGGTTCTAGAGTTATGCCCCTTTACAAATGGAAAAATTGCTGAATTTTTCGTTTCCGTTCTCTAACTTTAGTTTGCCTCAACCAAATGTTATGAAACTTATACACAATGCTTTATACCACAAAACACAGATCAAGTTTGAATTTTGGTGGTGTCACTTTAACCGTTCTAGAGTTATGCCCCTTTACAAATGGAAAATTGATGAATTTATTGTTTCCGTTCTCTAACTTTAGTTTGCCTCAACCAAATGTTATGAAACTTATATACAATGCTTATTACCACAAAACACAGATCAAGGTTGAATTTTGGTGGCGTCACTTTAACTGTTCTAGAGTGATGCCCCTTTTGAATTGGAAAAATTGCAAAATTTTTATTTTCTTCTAAATATCAAGTAATTTTTATATGACCGCAAAAAAAATTTTGTGGTCGATATTGGTATGACGTTGGCGTCGTCGTCCGAAGACGCATTAGTTTTCGCACTCTAACTTTAGTTTAAGTGAATGGATCTCTATGAAATTTTACCATAAGGTTCAATACAACAAAAGGAAGGTGGGGATTGATTTTGGGGGTTATGGTACCAACAGTTAAGGAATTAGGGGCCAAAAAGGGGCCACAAATAAGCATTTTCTAGTTTCCAGACAATAACTGTGGAACGGTGTATGGATCTCTCTGAAATTATACTACAAGTTTCCATACCACAAAGGGATGGTTAGGATTTGCTTTGGGGGGTTATGGCTCAAACCGTTTAAGAATTAGGGGCAAAAAAGGGGGAAAAACAAGGTTGTCCTGGTTAATGGACAAATACTTTAGTACAAAACATAATTTAAAGCAGTGTAAGGGAGATAAATCAAATACATCATTGAAATTATCTCCCTTACACTGCTTTTAAATTATGTATAAAGTAATGGTTAATGAACAATTAAGATAATTTAAAACAGTGTAAGGGATGTAATCCAAATACAACGTTTTGGTTACTTCCCTTACACTGCTTTTAAATTATGTTTAAAGAAATGCATATTTATAAAGGAAGACCAGTAAAAATATCTGCAAATGTTGCATCTTTTTTTTTTACAAAAAAATCCATATGAAAGATTTGACACTATATTTTAAATTCTATTATAAAATAGATTAAGTTAGCACTATGGTAAATTTAAATGGGTAATTATGGTTTGGGGGAAAAAAGGGGGGGGGGGGTAAAAAGAAATTGTGGGGGTCAATTTTTTCTCATTTCAGATTTCAGAAATTAAAAAGAATTATTCTTCAAATATTATTTTTTTTTCAAATTTCAAATATTGAAAAATTTCAAGAAGTAATCTTTAATTGCACAGTATGGCGCATTAGATTTGTAAAATCTTTGACCACATTTATTTATTTGTTATGCCGAATCTAACCGTGTATTTAGATTTTTAATTTTGGATCCAGTTTTCAAATTGGTCTACATTAAGGTCCAAAGGGTCCAAAATTAAACTTTGTTTGATTTTAACAAAAATTGAATATATGGGGTTCTTTGATATGCTGAATCTAAACATGTATTTAGATTTTTGATTTTTGGCCCTGTTTTCAAGTTGGTCCAAATTGGGTTCCAAAATTAAACTTTGTTTGATTTCAACAAAAATTGAATATTTGGGGTTCTTTGATATGCTGAATCTAACCATGTATTTAGATTTTTTATTTGTGGACCCTGCTATCAAATTGGTTCATATTGAGGTCAAAACTCGACTCAAAAGGGTCCAAAATTAAACTTTGTTTGATTTCATCAAAAATTGAATTATTGGGGTTCTTTGATATGCCAAATCTAACCCTGTATTTAGATTTTTAATTTTGGGTCCCGTTTTTTAAATTGGTCTACATTAAAGTCCAAAGGGTCCAAAATTAAACTTAGTTTGATTTTAACAAAAATTGAATTCTTGGGGTACTTTGATATGCTGAATCTAAACCAAGATACCATACCACAAAGGGAAAGCTGGGATTGAGTTTGGGGGTGATGAATCATAAGGGGGTTCAAAAAATTGGGGGGGGGGGGATTTTTTTCTCCTTTTTTTTCTTTAAAATTTTCCATTTTAAATTGGTTATTTCTGATTTATATATAAAAGCAAATAATAATGATATGGTTTGAATAGGTAAATTAAAAATTTTTAAGTTCTTAGACCACTTTCATTCTGTGTGAGAAACCTATGCTGTGTCAAATATTTAATCACAATCCAAATTCAGAGCTGTATCAAGCTTGAATGTTGTGTCCATACTTGCCCCAACTGTTCAGGGTTCGACCTCTGCGGTCGTATCAAGCTGCGCCCAGCGAAGCATTTTATTAAAATTGGAGTTATTTTCCTTTGTCCATGATTTATAGTTGAATCAACTACAATCAATGCTTTATGCAATGCAATGTTTAATTTTGACTTCCACTGATAAAACACAGATCAAGTTGAATTTGGGTAGCGTCACTTTAACCGTTCTTCAGTTATGTCCCTTTATAACTATATGATATGCAAGCGGGGGCATCATCTGTGTCCACATGTGGACACTATAAACATTTATTTTCATTTTTGTTCGACTTCATCTTTAGAACAAACATAAAGTTCAAATTTAAGTAAAAAAAATGGCCAAATAAGGGAGCTACCATTTGATTTTTATGGGGGGGCTAGGATGAAAATTTTGCCCTGCATTTTTGTTTAGTTGTAATCTCTGTCCTACCTTTTTATTAGCTCACCGGGGCCTAAAGGGCCCCATGTGAGCTTATGCCATCACTTGGCGTCCGTCGTCGTTGTCTGTTGTCGTCTGTCGTCGTAAACTATTTAAAAAATCTTCTCCTCTGAAACTACTGGGCCAAATACCTTCAAACTTTAACTAAATGTTCCTTAGGGTATGTAGTTTATAAATTGTATCAGAAGTTTTGATCCATCGACAAACATGGCCGCCATGGCTAAATATAGAACATAGGGGTCAAATGCAGTTTTTGGCTTATATCTCAAAAACTAAAGCTTTTAGAGCAAATCTGACATGGGGTAAAATTGTTCAATTGGTCAAGATCTATCGGCCCTGAAATTATCAGATGAATCGAACAACCCATTGTTGGGTTGCTGCCACCGAATTGGTAGTTTTAACAAAATTTTGCATTTTTTATGCCCCCGCCATAGCGGAGGGGGCATTAAGTTTTACCCTTGTCCGTCTGTACGTACGTACGTCCCGAAATTGGTTTCCGTTCTCTAACTTCAGTTTGCCTCAACCAAATGTTATGAAACTTATACACAATGCTTATTACCACAAAACACAGATCAAGTTTGAATTTTGGTGGCGTCACTTTAACCGATCTAGAGTTATGCCCCTTTATAAAAGGAAATGTTGCAAAATATTTAGTTTCCGTTCTCTAACTTAAGTTTGCCTCAACCAAATGTTATGAAACTTATACACAATGCTTATTACCACAAAACACAGATCAAGTTTGAATTTTGGTGGTGTCACTTTAACCGATCTAGAGTTATGCCCCTTTATAAAAGGAAAAATTGCAAAAATTTTATTTTCTTCTAAATATCAAGTTTATATAATATATTTTTAAAATTGGAGTTATCTTCCTTTGACCATGATTATAGTTGAATCAACTACAATCATTGCTTTATACAATGCAATGTTTAATTTTGACTTCCACTGATAAAACACAGATCAAGTTGAATTTGGGTAGTGTCACTTTAACCATTATTGAGTTATGCCCCTTTATAAATAGAAAGATTGCAAAATTTTTTAGTTTCCATTCTGTAACTGAAGTTTTCCCCAGCCAAACATTATGAAACCTAAACACAATATTCATTACCACAAAACTCAGTAAGGATCAAGTACAATTTTTTTGTTTCAGTTCTCTAACTTGAGTTTGCCTCAACCAAATGTTATGAAACTTATACACAATGCTTATTACTACATAATACAGATTAAGTAAGAAATTAGGTGGCAACACTTTTACCATTCTAGAGTTATGTCCCTTTATAAACATAAAAATTGCTGAATTTTTTAGTTTGTCTCAACCAAATGTTGTAAAACTTATACACAACCGTTCTAGAGTTATGCGTGTTTACAAATAGAAAAATTGATGAATTTTTAGTTTCTGTTCTCTACTTAAGTTAGCCTCAACCAAATGTTATGAGACTTACACACAATGCTTATTACCACAAAACTCAGATCAAGTTCAAATTTGGGTAGCGTCACTTTTACCGTTCTTCAGTTATGTCCCTTTATAACTATATGATATGCAAGCGGGGGCATCATCTGTGTCCACATGTGGACACTATCCACATTTATTTGTTATTATTTTGAATATTATTATAGATATATATAAACTGTAAGCAGCAATAATGTTCAGCAAAGTAAGATCTACAAAAAAGTTAATATGACCAAAATTGTCAATTGACCCCTTAAGGAGTTATTGCCCTTTAAAGACAATTTTACACAATTTGTTCATCAAGTTTGCTAACATTTAAAATCTTCTCCTCTGAAATACAGGTGAGCGATTCAGGCTCTTGAGAGCCTCTTGTTTTTCACTCTATTCGGTCCTGCTTTTTTTTTATTAGTTTATCCTGACTTTTTTTTTTACATAAATTGTCATCCTGCCTTTTTTTTTTACTCAAAACTCCTGTCCTGCTTTTTTTTTCAAATTTTATCCTAGCCCCCCATAAAAATCAAATGGTAGCTCCCTAAGGCCCTTTTCGCACCCTGTCCTTTTCAAAATATTTTTAACTTAAATTTTACATCACCTAACATAATTATAGCTAACATGAATCAATCAGAGTTGAAAAATACACACATCTGTTTTAAGATACTGTGCTGCACTGTCAGTCCTCATAAATGATGTCCAAAACAAGGGATCTTTCGTTAATGCATCAAAATTTCTGTATCCATTGCTGCAATGAACCTCAGGAGAGTGAGGATAAATGACTGAAGCACTTACTATCCATTCATGAATTTTACAAATGATTTAGCTAAAAAAAAGTTGGCACAGAATGTTTTTTTTTTATTGCGATGTTTTAATGTATTGTCTTTTCATACAGTGCATAAACATATGTTGTAGTATACATGTATTTGTGTTTTACAGGAGTCTGAAGAGCCCCGAGGATTGCTGGAGGAGTTAGGATTTATTACCGGGAGCTAATAGGAGGAAGTCCTAGAGACAGAAGATTGGATAAGCAGTGCAGCATTTACACTGATTTATAATGTGAATCTGGCTTTATTACTTAACATATCAAAACTTATTTTTGATAACTCAGTATTTTTTATGTCTGTCTTTTGACAGCTTTGATTTTAGCATTTGTTGATGTAGGGTACATTTAAAATTTTTAAAAAATGGTTACATTTTCAATGTATATATATTTGAAAAAGTGACAGATTAAACACATACATTATGCTATTAAAGGTATAAAGTTTGCAATTTGTGCAAACAATACTGTTGTATTCACATGGTTATATAGAGTGTTTGAAAGAAAAAAAAAACATTTGGTTTAAAATCCAAAATAAAGAACAGTTTCAAGAATGTAGTATAAATTTCTAATGATTTCAGTTTTATAAAAAAAATCTGGATTACCGGTTATTACTGTCTTATATTAATTTATCCAAGTTTAAATATATTTACATATGATTGAATAAATTTTCCCATGAATAAAAAAAAGGTGCAATAAGAGCATTATTTATCATATTATTATACTATTTTGGTATATAACTGGTTACCAAAACCAGTGCTTAATAAACTTGAATACCAAAAAAAAAACATAACAAAACAAAACAGAATTAATTTAGTTTAAAGCATGACATTCACTTTTTAAAAAGTAACCACTTAAATTTAAGTTTTTTCAGAGAGTTTTTTCAATTATGTTTTCAGATATCAGACCTTTAATATACAACATGAAATAAAATTCCAGACCTTTAATATACAACATGAAATAAAATTCCAGACTTTCTCAAGTTTAAAGCAGCTTGGATCCCTTAGTCATGAATCTTGTGATGTCACAATAAGTGAACGATGATGATGAAACTTCAGAGATTCAAAATTTCTTTTCATAAATATCAAGTGTAGGTAGAATCGTTACAGACAATTTACAATGACAACATCACTCTTAAAAAATGCAATCCATATTTCCAGCTGACAAATTTATGTCTAAAATAAATAATTTGAATAGTTCATATTTGTGGTCTATTAGAATATTCATGATAGTTTTAGAATTTGAAAGTTCTTTTAATGTGCCAAATAATGCCCTTTCTGCACCTGCTGCCTTATCTATGATTTTCAGTGAGAGGTATTAAATTTTGATTGTTGAATGATTAAAAGGTTTTATTTTTAAGGTTGTATGAATATTCGAATCAAATAATTGTAATTCTAGTCAATGTTGATTTTTATTACAATGATATACAATAAGATTATATATTTCTATAACATCAATAAACTATTAATAAACAACAACAATGTCTTGAAGAAGTTGCATTAGTATTCAACCTTGTGAAGGTATTTGATAAATATTTAAGGTAGCCCTGTTGAAAACAATCATATGTATTCCTTTGGAACTAGACTCCTGATGACTACTTGAAATGTAATAGCCAAATCTTTTTGAAACAGGCTTCCAGTTTACAAGCATTTAGCATCCAGTAATATACAAAACAATAATGAAATGGGGTAAGGTTGCCAATGAGACAACTATCTACCAAAGACTTAAGGCCAAGGATGTAAACAACTATAGGTCAATGTATTGCCTTCAACAGTGAGCAAAACCCAAACCATATTATAAGTAAGCTGTTAAAGGCTCAGGAATAACACAATATGAAACAATTAGAAAGAGAACACCAACAGCCTGATTGAAATATTAGTTCTACTGTTGTGTTGTCATAGTATTACTAGATTAATTTGAATCAAAAACTTGACCAGACTTATTTTCAAAATGTAACTGATATAAGTTTACTTCTTTGGTTTTTTGTCTCAGCTTTGTCGCAGTATGCGAGACATAGGCATTACTATCCAGCAGCAGCGGTGACGTAAACTATATAAAGCTTTATATTTCAAAAGGTTGAAGACCAGGATGCTTCATACCTTGTATGCAGATACCGGTACCTTATGTTTTGCAGTTTCTGTCTGTCATATGTCCATTGTCCTTGACCTTATTTTCATGGTTCAGTGACTGCTTGAAAAAAAATTAGTTATTTTGTCATGTGAATTTCTCACTTATGAGTAATAGGTTAACTATATTTGATATATGGGTTCCTTGCAACGTCTACATGTCCGTCAGACAGGGTTCAACTGACCTCAACCTCATTTCATGGATGAGTGATCAAGGTAAAAGTTACGTGATTAGGTCAGGTTCTCAGATACAATAAGCAGTAGGTCAACTATATGTGTTGTATGGAATGACTATAACGAGTACATGTCAGTCTGGCAAGTTTCATCTGACCTTGACTCCAATTTTTCATGGCTCATCGGTTAATGTTAATTTTTTGTGTTTTGGGCTGTTGTTCAAGAACTATAAGCTAAAGGTCAACTATATTTGATGTATGGAATGATTGTAAGGGGTACATGTCAGTCTGGCAGGTTTCATGTGACCTTGACCTCATTTTCATAGTTCATTGGTCAATGGTAAGTTTTAGTGTTTAGGTCTGTTTTTCAAGTACTATAAGCAATAGGTCAACTATAATTGTTGTTTGGAATGATTGTAAGATGTACATGTCAGACTAGTTGGTATAATCTGACCTTGACCTCATTGTCATGGTTCATTGGTTAATGTTCAGATTTTGTGTTTAGGTCTTTTTATGCCCCCGCTGTAGCGGAGGGGGCATTAAGTTTTACAGTTGTATGTCCGTCCGTATGTAAGTCCCATAGTTGGGTTCAGTTCTCTAACTTTAGTTTGCCTAAACTAAATGTTATTAAACTTATACACAATGCTTATTACCACAACACATAGATCTAGTTTGAATTTTGGTGGCGTCATGTTAACCATTCTAGAGTTATGCCCCTTTACAAATGGAAAAATTGCTGAATTTTTCATTTCCGTTCTTTAACTTAAGTTAGCCTTAACCAAATGTTATGAAACTTATACACAATGCTTATTACCACAAAATACAGATCAAGTTTGAATTTTGGTGGTGTCACTTTAACCGTTCTAGAGTTATGCCCCTTTACAAAGGAAAAATTGCTGAATTTTTATACGCCCGTTTACGACAATAACTCAAAAATGCTTTCAGCATTTTTTATGAAACTTTGGTAAATTGTTTATATCTATTTTTGGAAGCTCCCTTTTGATTTTTATAAATTTTCCATTTTACGTTTCCATGTTATAAGATTTTATTTGTTTATAGTCTGACAACAGATTTACTGAGTATTGCGCATCAGCACAGTGTATTGCACAACAGCAAGAAATCTTTCATATAACCAATTTCAAGTTCTTTGACTACATTTATTCAGAAACCTATAATATATCAAATATTTAATTACAATCCAAAAATCAGACCTGTATCAAGCTTGAATATTGTGTCCATTTTTGCCCCAACTGTTCAGGGTTGGACATCTGCGGGCGTATCTAGCTGCGCTCAGTAAAGCAGTTTATTCATTTCTATTCTCTAACTTAAGTTTGCCTCAACCAAATGTTATGAAACTTATACACAATACTTATTACCACAAAACTCAGTTCAAGTACAAATTTGGGTAGCGTTACTTTTATCGTTCGTCAGTTATGTCCCTTTATAACTTTATATGATATGCAAGTGGGGGCATCATCTGTGTCCCATGGACACATTCCCCATTTATTTTCAATTACCATAAGCAATAGGTCAACTATATTTGGTGTATGGAATAATTGTAAGATGTACTTCTCTGTCTGACAGGATTTATCTTACCTTGATCTCATTGTCATGGATCTTTAAAAATGTTAAGTATATGTGATACTTGTAGTAAAACCTCTCTCTTTAAGACTTTCAACATAAAATCAATGGTTCAAATGAAGTGAGTGTAAGCAATTATAGGCAACCTTACGGCTTTCACTAATGAGAAAACTCCCATTACCATAAATTTGGCTTTAAAAGGCCCAAACATGAAAATTGTGAAACAATTCAAACAAGAAAACTAATCGCCTAATTTATAAAAAAACATTTAACAAAAAACAAATACGACAGACGTGAACCATCAACAACCACGTAACTACAGGCTCCTGACTTTGGAGAGGCACATAAAGCATGAGGCGGAATTAAACATGTTTGTGAGTGCTCAACCCTCCCCCTAACCTGGGACAGTGGTGTAACAGCACAACATAGGAACAAACTAAAAATCATAACTCAAAATATTGGTTAGAGGCCAAAAAAACAACTAACATTTAAACTGTATACACAAAGCACCAAAATTAGAGTACTCATAATTGCTGAAAGCTAGTTCAAAGCCAATTACAACTAATAAATAAATCATGTTCTCCCAGACTAAAGAATCAGAACACATACAACGAATTAAGTGTAAAGACGTCATAAACAAAACAGTCTGAGAAACGCATGACCTTTTGCAATGCCAAATTATAAGTAAACAGTATTGACGAGGTGTAGGATACTAATAATTTACTTTAGATAAAGTTCACATCAAATGTACTACATGTATAAGCTATAGAATTATACAAATTTGCATGTATGTGCTCTCCCAATTTGTTCAAGTTGTGTATGAGATTGAAGATGAGCTTGTATAATACATTTTGTGGCCTAATTTTGCACTTTTAACATACTCTGCACCAAAATCACTATGTTATTAAGGTATATCATTCCATCATAAATACACAGTTTTTTCAATGAAAGGGAATGATCAGTTATGCTTCAGTATACATGTTACCTAAATCAATTACATGCAGCAACAAACTGTTGTGTTTAGATAAAGGACCTTCCTGCTTCCACCTTATTGACACATATTTAGTCAAGTCCTTATCTACTGTTGTGTTTAGATACAGGACCTTCCTGCTTCCACCTGTATGACACATATTTAGTCAAGTCCTGTATCTACTGATCAGCAAGAAATGAGTTGATATTGACTACATAATTTCAGACAAGATAATAAAAAGTCCATGAACAGAGAACATGAAATGATGGAACAAGAGTGCACACGCTGAAATGTCTCGCCTTCTTTACTAACCATTGATTTTATGTTGATAGTCCTAAACATAAAGCTTTACTACAAGTAACACATAAACTTAACATGATCCAAGAAAATGAGGTCAAGGTCAGATAAACCAAACAAGAAATACATGTACACCTTACAATCATTCAATAAACTAAACATAGTTGACCTATTGCTTATAGTTTCTAAGAAACAGTCTTAACCAAGAAAACTTAACATTGACCAATGAACCATGAAAATGAGGTCAAGGTCAGATGAACTATGCTAGACAGACATGTACACCTTACAATCAATGTATGCATTAGATATAGTGCACCTATTGCTTATGGTATAGAAGAAACAAACTTAACCATGAAAACTTAACATTGACCAATGAACCATGAAAATGAGGTCAAGGTCAGATGATACCTGCCAGACTGACATATACACCTTACAATCCTTCCATACAACAAATATAGTTGATCTATTGCTTATAGTTTCTAAGAAACAGTCTTAACCAAGAAAACTTGACATTGACCAATGAACCATGAAAATGAGGTCAAGGTCAGATGAACTATGCCAGACAGACATGTACACCTTACAATCAATGTATGCATTAAATATAGTTGACCTATTGCTTATAGTATCGAAGAAACAAACTTAACCATGAAAACTTAACATTGACCAATGAACCATGAAAATGAGGTCAAGGTCAGATGATACCTGCCAGACAGACATATACACCTTACAATCCTTCCATACAACAAATTAGTTGATCTATTGCTTATAGTTGAAGAAAAACAGACCAAAACACAAAAAATTAACACTCAGAAATGAACAGTGAAAATGAGGTCAAGGTCAAAATAAAACCTGCGAGACTGACATGTACATCATAAAATATTTCCATACACCAAATATAGTTGACCTATTGCAAATAGTATTAGAAAAAAAGACCAAAACTCAAAAACTTAACTTTGACCACTGAACCATGAAAATGAGGTCAAGGTCAGATGACACCTACTAGTTGGACATGTACACCTTACAATCATTCCATATACTAAATATAGTAGACCTACTGCTTATAGTATCTGATATATGGACTTGACCACGAAAACTTAACCTTGTTCACTGATCCATGAAATGAGGTTGAGGTCGAATGAAACTTGTCTGACGGGCATGAGGACCTTGCAAGGTACGCACATACTAAATATAGTTTTCCTATTACTCATAATAAGAATGAAATAAACATTACAAAAAATGTTGACTTTTTTTTCAAGTAGTCACTGAACCATGAAAATGAGGTCAAGGACAAGTGACATATGACAGACGGAAACTTCATATCATAAGGCATCTATATACAAAGAATGAAGCATCCAGGTCTTCTAGCTTCTAAAATATAAAGCTTTTAAGAAGTTAGCTAACGCCGCCGCCATAGCCGCTGCCGCCAGATCACTATACCTATGTCGAGCTTTCTGCGACAAAAGTCGCAGGCTCAACAATAAAACAGAAGAATTTCACTAATAAATGAAAGGTCAAAATAAACAAATCATTTTATTCACAAACAAAAACAAACAAAAATATCCCCAAAACAGTTACTAGCTGTTACCAATAGATGCACCAAATAATAAATATATAAACATACAGTATGATCATGATGACAATTGCCATATAAACATTGGAGCTTTAGACTGTTATAATAAATTTGTATATTATTTTGAATTGTAGCTTGTGTTTCTTACTACTTTGAGCTTTTAAAAATAAAATAAAAATCACAATACAACAAAACAAAAAAAAACATAAATTTCTACAATTATATCATAAAATTATTTTCAACATCCAAAATTTCTGTTTTGCAATGCTTTTTGACACAAATCTGTCAAGACACTGATTTGTATGTGCCCCTCCCCAACCTGAAAGTGGCCTGGGCATATAGTGTTACCCTTGTCTGTCAATATGTTATTCTCAAATCAAAGAGTTTGTATATACTTTTTTTCGGTATGTCTGCAGGAATTGATCTAAATTTTTAATAATGACTTACATTTGTTCCGTTCATATGAATGCAGGGTTGGGGTTGATTTTTTGGGTTAATTAGTGTATAATGATGACATACAGATTGGACAGTGGCAATTGTGTCATACTAACATATATATATAGTTTTTACATATTATATAAACACACAAATTATTAATTCTCAATATTTCAATAATTTGTGGCAAGCTTACAATTACAAATAGAATCAAAAATTTTCACATAGCTTACAATGAAAGTATCACGCTATATTAAATGTTTGTCTTTGATTTCCAAAGATAATTGTCAACAAATCATCAGACATTTACTATATTAATATTACAAAGTTATAATGAGCATAGACAAAAATGTTAAAATTTAAGAAAGATCTTTTCAAATATTATGGAATATGTAAATATGATACATTAATATATAAAAATGATGAAGTGATAAATTTAGAGAAAATAAGAATACCTACTACCCATCTTCTTGAGCATCCTGTTTTCATTTGAAACATAAATCAGTCATTCAGCTTATACTTGTTTCCTTATTTCATACTGATAACAATAGGGTGAAATTTAAAATAACTGTTTCTAAATTGAAGTGAATAATCATTTAACATTGATTTAAACATTAACTATAAAAATAAGAAGATGTGGTATGATTGCCAATGAGACAATTCTCCACCTGAAACCAAATGACACAGAAGTAAACAACTATAGGTCACAGTACAGCCTTCAACAATGAACAAAACACATCTATCTCCCCCTCATTTATACCTCTACAAGACAAACTGATTTCTACAATTAATTGCTGTGTCATAAAACATCCATAAATATGTATTCTACCACTGCATCAAGTGTGATACGATATTTCTCCACTCGACAGTTAAATATTTAGAATTTAACTGTCGCGAGTGGAGAAATATAGTATTGCACAAATTTTGGTGGTAGAATCTGTTTCTCTAATGATTTTTAGAGGATATACATCCTTGGTTTCCAATGATCTTCAAATAGATGTGTTCTTTCTTTGTAAAGTCATCAGGCATGGTCACCTTTTTTTTTATGTCACAATAGGAAAATCAGAGGAAAGCAAGAACATTTTACTTAATAATTGAATTTTGACCAATGAAAAATTGAGATCAAACAAACCACACGTTGATTAAGCAAATATAATCATCAGGTCAGGAAAAGGATAAATCTGCTAAAGAATTAGAGAAACTGTTATTCAACTATCAGAATGCAAAAAAAAGAGATTAAAAAATATGAAATATGCAAAAAAAGCTGTTTTCCTGTAAACAAAAGTAATGCAATAACTGGATATAAGCTGTTACTAGTAAGTTCACAAATCAAAGAAAATGGTGCTCTTAGATTTCAATAAATATAAAATAAAAAGATGTGGTATTATTGCCAATAAAACAACAATCCACACGAGACAAAATGGTGTAGAAGTTAGCAACTGTAGGTCACCTAATGTGAAACATTTTCAAAAAATTCAGCCTACATTTTTAGATGAATTCATGCTCTGAATTCAATATGCACCAAACTTCTACATATATCTTACTTCAGTAAGACATATGTTATAAAACACAACAAAACATGTACCTAAAATCTTAGTTACAAAGGTGAAAAATAAAAAGAATACACTATTGCACAATAAATTATTGTAGATATATTTGACAGCCAAGCAAGTTTTCATACTTTGGGTTTTCATAAGATAATAGAAAACCACAATGGTTCAGTGTCTTTGAGAGTATGTATATGATACTTATGGAAAACTAAAAAAATATTTTGAAAATTGCAAAACACCTATTCTAATAAACAGTCAAAGTGTGAAAAAATATAAAGGAAATACAATGAAAGCTGTATACTTTTTATTCCCTAAGGAATATAAAAAGACTTTTCGATGCATTTGTGATGGATATATTTCATGATTACATATGTGGTCCATAATAACATTGTTCTTGACTTTTTGTTTCCAATGTTAGGATTGCTGTTGTAAAACTAAGGCAGGTTGTACCATTTCTTGAGTTAATTCTATGGGAAACCTTGAAATCAAATTAGCTATTCCACTGGTTAATTGTAATAACCTGAAATTAATACATTTTAAAAACTAATCTTTACTATCTTCTGCTGTAGAAGAAAATGTAAAAGTTAAGTATTTTGAGCTTCCTTTCAGTAACAGGGAGCATTCTCTGTTGGTATTTGATAAAGTTTAATGTTGTTTATTATTGCTGTTTGTACCTATGTTATCTAGTACATGTGTACTGTTATGCTACAGATAAGTGTTTCCTATACTGATTTTTATTTTATGTTCTTCTCTGTAACTATTGTTGGCCCATTGGTCATGTTTTAAAGTTGTTTATCTAAAAAATAACTACACAACATATTCATGAGCCTGTCCCAAGTCAGGAACCACATCAGTGGTTGTAATTATGATATAGCTTAATGCTTTTAATAATTTGGAGAATTTGGTATAAATGGCAATTCATGGATGCTGTTCAACTTATTCACAACGTTTTTAAAATCAGGACAATTAAGAGCTTCACATCCTGTACTGTCTATTGTTGAAGATTATATATTGGCCTCTAGATATCTTTTTAGATTTTTTTGGCATTGAGTTGCTGTCTCATTTACATATACCCCACAAAGCCTTTTTATTTATTAATTCAACTCTGTGCAAAATATTAAGAACATAAAAAATCAAAGGAAAATATGCACAACATTTAGTATTAACATTGATTAAATTTGAAATATTCAGTTCAAAGCATTTTCACAGTAATCAAATAAAATATATTCTTATTTTATAGATTTGCACATTTGTGAGCAATTTTCTATTGTTTGTTAATTACATGGAAGTAAATCTTCCTTGATTTTTTTTTGTTTTAGTTAACTGTGTTATATAGGATCTGAGTCTCAAATAGCCCATTTAAAAATAGTGCCAGAAACAATTTTTGGGGAAACTAGTTCTAATTAACTTTTCTTCTAAATATCCGATTCTCTGAAATACTTCTTCCTTTGTGCAACCACCATGCTTCATTGCCAAAGTTTTCATAAATGTTAAAAATCTACAAATACATTGTGATTAATGAAGTTTTTAAAGGAACAATGTATTAGTGGATTTTTAGTGAATCTTACCATTCTTTTTGTTCTGGTAGTAATTTCCTTGTACCATCCTTATGCTCCTCATTGAGTGTTGTCTTCACTGATTTAAAATTCTCCTCTATACTTTTCTTGTATGGATCAAGGTATGTGTTGTTAATATTATTAACCGATTGCTAAAATATAAAGTAATGCACCACTAAAAGATGTTATATAGTAAACAATTATCTTTTGGGTGAAATATTCTTCCACAAGCATCAAAGCTTTAGGGTTCTTGCAATGTCTCACTATTGGGGGAAACCATTATTTTAAATACTGTAAAAGCAGAAATTTTCGTGGAGGATTTAATTTCGTTTATTTTGCTGGAAAGATTATATCCACGAAATTAAAACCCAATCGAAAGTTTATCCTACATATAATATCACTTCTATTTACTGGAAACCACAAAATTAAATCCCCATGAAATATTATATATAAACCAAACCACGAAATTTTAACCCCACGAAAATAAATGTTTCTACAGTATATGTTAATGAATATTAATAAAAAAAAAAGTGGTGGCCTGATTTATAATGAGGTCATGTTTGTTGAAATACTTACATATAATATTGAGATCTGGTGAGCAATGTATTTGTGCTCAGATAAGTTGCTTAGATCAGAATTTATCTGATGTGCAAGGTATTTTAGTTGATTCAAGCTAGATATATCTGTGTAGTATTCTACAAAATAAAAACAAGAGTTGATATATTAAACAATATCTCTTCTGAGACAGCCTTATTTCAGCAAAAACAATCTTAAAGGTCAATGAACTAAGAAACTGAGGTCAAGATCATTTGAACAGACTCAGTGGACTTGAGCTTTACCCCGCCACATTCTGTATGTGCCTGTCCCAAGTCAGGAGCCTGTAATTCAGTGGTTGTCGTTTGTTGCTGTATATCATTTTTGTTTTTCGTTCATTATTTTGTACATAAATCAGGCCGTTAGTTTTCTCGTTTGAATTGTTTTACATTTGTCATTTAGGGGCCTTTTATAGCTGACTATGCAGTATAGGTTTTATTCATTGTTGAAGGCTGTACAGTGACCTATAGTTGTTAATTTCTGTGTCAGTTGGTCTCTTGTGGAGAATTGTTTCATTGGCGATCATACATCTTCTTATTTTTATATTGACTCTTGTTCTAGCTTGCTGAATTTCAAGTGTCTGTACTTTGTATAAAGTGATAATTTATAAAGATTTATTACAAGTACACACAGGGTTTCCCCTGGGGCAATTTTCTTTTAGCCACCCCTTTCGCCAAAAAAATAATTTTTTTTCGCCACTTTCATTTTTTTATAACCAATTTATTTTACTCTTTGCAAACAAGCTAAATTTAAATTTGCCACGCCATGGTCTCATGTCCATCTGGGTGTAATATTGAGTCCCAGTGTAAATAAATCTCACATCTCTATTTCAAAATAAACATTTTGATAAATGAATTACATTTATGAATTCTGTAAAATTACACTACAAAGTAGACAATAAAACTTTCTTACCATTCCCTTTTTCGTGGTTATCGGAGTGCCAATAATTATATATGTATCGAAAACATCAGCAACTTCGATCCATTTATCGGATAATTTTTGTCTCGTTGAAGGACTTCGAATAAAATTCAAACTTTTCTTAATTTTGTAGATGTTTAAATAAAAAAGCTTTCTTTTCTGGTTCATCGTTAAAAGTTAAATCGTAAAACTATGTTTAAACTAGGATAGCTAAAATGATTGCAAAGTGCTGCAACTTCAAAACTTTTATTTCTTTAAAAGTTGTAAAAACAACTAATTTTTTAAGTGACATATGAAGCAAAAAAAATAAACATGATGGATGATGTCGATCAGCTATAGTTCTTTCTCAAAAAACTTTCGCCAATAATATTTTTTCTCTGCCAAAATTTTTTATTTTTTAATTGCAAAAATTGCAACCTTTTACAGAAACCCTGACACAACTAATGTTGCAGTGGTTTATTCATAAATAGCACTAGTTTTGATCCATTCATACTTTGTTTGAAGCACCACATTAAATGTAGTCAAGGATAACCTTCTCTACAAAAAGAAATATCCCATTAAATTTGTAATTATGCAAATAAAATATATTTATTAAACTGACAGTACATGCTTGTATTATTTATCCAATGAAATAAAGAATGATTTGTACATATCTATGCTTACCATCAAGACTTGTTTTGTCATTTAAATAAACAAGATTGACTGGTGATGAAATAAAAGCTGATGCTCTAGGAAATAATCTATCTAAACCCTTTGCTGCCAAGTATTCCTAGAAAAAAAAGGATAATAATGTTTCACTACTGCATGAATTACTATAAGAAGCTTATCTTGTCTGGTTTCAATATAACCCTTGATGATATTGCTTCATAGATTAACATCATCTAAATGTTATGAGCATAGAAATCACTGGCGATTCCCTCATGTACTATGGTGTCTTTGACGGCTTCAATACAAATAAACAAAAATACAGAGCTGCACCATGAGCGCATGATACGCCCATCGCTTTTTCAAAGAATAAAGTTCCATAACTCCTCAATGTCATATCAGAAATTTATGAAAACTAAAGGGAGGTTATTTTTATAGATATAAACCAGTCACCAAAGTTTCATGAAAACTGCTCAAAGAACTTTTGAGTTTTGTCTGAAAACTGGAAAATCCCCCTTTTTTAATGAATAAAACCCCATAACTCTGAAATGTAAAATCTAAAATTTATAAAAATCAAAAGTGAGCTCACATCAATAGATATAAACAATTCACCAAAGTTTCATGAAAACTGCTCAAGGCATTTTTGAGTTATTGTCCGAAAACTGGAAAATTCCCCTTTTTTAAAGAATAAAACCCCACAATTCGGAAACGTAAAATTCAAATCTTATAAAAATCAAAAGTGAGCTAATAAATAGATATAAACAATTCACCAAAGTTTCATGCAAATTGGTTAAAGCGTTTTTGAGTTATTGTCCGACATGTTGACGGACGGACAACGGTATACCATAATACGTCCCGTAAACGGGCATATAAAAACGTATTACTAAATAATTCACAATTCTTTGCCATAAGTACATACTTACATTTACCAACATTCGGGTTTGTACATTCTTGTGTAAAACTTGATTCATTCTGTCCTGTACTACTGCAGCTACAAAAGAAATGATTCAATTGTGATGATATAAATGAGGATAATTTTTTCATAAACACACTATTTCCTTTATTGCAATGTACACTCTATAATGATAATACATAGTTTAACTTTTCTTATGTTCATCAATCGGTAATAGAAAAGAATTCTTCAATTTTTATTTTCCTTTTGATAAATTTACTGACAAAATCACTTTGGGCATCGCTCATGTACGAGATCATGATATTCAGCATTTGTCAAAAAATGGCTTTAAGAAATCTTGGAAGTACAGCCAACATTATATAAATAGTGTGAAAAGGCATGTTTTGCAATTCAGCAGATACAGTTTTTAACTTCCTTTTTGTATCTGCTAGCTCTTTGATAACTCATCAATCTTTAGTTTTGATTTATAAGTACATGATTATTTTCTTCTCAACATATATATTACAGAGTTCAGTGCCTTGTATTGACTGATTTTGACTGTTATAAGTTGACATATCGCTTGTTGTAAGGTAAGCCCATCACTGAATGTATTTATTCAACATAAAGAAATAGTCAATAGTACCTTTATTTGTAAAAGAATTACTGAATCTTCCTTGTTCTATCTTCTCTTTAGGCTGCTGTAAATATCAAATAAGATTCTATAACTAGTACCAAATTTACCTTCTTACAATACAATTTACAGAAAAAAACTATTATATCTTACATTGCTGACTTTCTTTAATATCATGAACGGTTAACATATGCTGACTTTCTTTAATATCATGAACGGTTAACATATGACAAAATAATCTATTTATCACAATTTAAAGTCACTGTAGAAATCAATGCGACAAGGTAGATAAGACAAACATAGAAAAACTGCAAAAAAATCATTAATATTTAAATTAAGTTGATTCAAATGGTTCTTGTATTTTTTTTTGGCACTTCTTTCAAAAGTTTATGGATCACAAATACAATTTTGCTGGATGGGAGGCAAAGGTGAAGGGGCATTTAGGCTCATTTTTGTCCTAAGAAAATTTGTCTTTTTAAACCATTATAATTTGCATAAAACATAGGAAATGCATACAATAGAGAAATGTAAATGAATTAAACAAGATATTCAAAGTTGTGACATCATATAATGATATGCTCCGACTTCACAAAAATGAAGAAACGGGCTGATTTTGTGCAATTTGGCATCCAATATATCCTTTGTGGAAACATCTTTCACTTGTAACCAAGAAACAGAATCATTTTAGAGAAGCTTTTTTATAACTACTAGTATTTACATAATCTCATCAATTATAAAGTTGTTTTTTGATTGTGCACATACTTAACCAATGCAATATATACTCAAAAGTTGAAATAAAACAAGCAAAATCAAGAAATTTTACAGAATATACAATTTGCTTCATGGTTTATTGCCATGGTAACTTATCAAATGTAAATTTGTTTCTATTTTCTGAACACTTCTTTATTTTTACTTTACTCATCATGCTCTTGTGAGGGCAAAATTTAAAATATTAATGTTATCGTTACAATTTGCATAAAGTAATTTAGCACATAAGGCATGTTACTAAAAATTAAAATATCTATTTTTCATGTTTTTAACTTTTATACGGAGAAATTTAATATTCTTTTGTACTGTTTTGATGTAAAATAAAACCTGGACTTATAGTTTGCTTTTTAAGCTAATTTTAAATAAATTTTTAAAAGAAATTTTAAAAATGCATGTCTTTTCTGTTTTTCAGGTGTTGCTAATTTGCTGTCCAACGATAAATACATGTATGTCATATATCTCCTCCTCTTTATATACTTTTGAAAATCTGAAGCAATGTACTAAATGAGTATATTTTAGACACAACTGAATATTACCTCCTTCAGTTCCTTATGACACAAAATATCCAACTGAGAGCAAAGTGACATCATTTCAATCTCTGTGTCTATAGGTGTTACATCCCTTGATAATAGAGGTTCATGCAGGCGTACATCAACTGTAATATAAATGTTGAACTGTTCACATCGATCATATACTGCAGAAGAATATATTGTACATCTTTTTTCCACTGAAACAGAAATAATATTACTGCTTGTGACCTTCCTAATTGACATTCAAAACTTAAATATGACATTTTAATATGATGAGCAAGAAGCACACAAAGAAAGTCCAAGTTTTGTACACATCTCTGGATAGATTCCTTTCAACATCAGGCTATTTGCTGATGACTGCATGTTTGCTACAGAAAAATCAGTACCATGTAATGTTGCAAAATATTACAGGAAGACATCGACTAGTGTTAGGAACTGGGCAACAACACAGAGTAGGAGATTCAAACCTGCCAAATGTAGTATATGGATATTCTCTGAGGGAAAGAGGTCATGTTTGGTTATACTCTGAAGGATACTACTAAGCACTAGATGGAATCTACAATTAAGAAGCCAGAACGTTAACACTGGTATTATTAAATTGAAATAGCTGTCATCTTCATTATTCTTGGCTTAAAAAAAATCAGAAGCTTACAGAAGACTTAAACAATTATACAATATACTATATTCAAAGACATATATGTTATAATGTCTCTTTTATATGAAATTAAATCATTGTAGGGGATCTCATTGGGGGGTTCTGATCCTGGATCCCACTTATTGTTTTGTCAGATTCCTGTATCCCGCTTATCATTGTAACAGTTGTAATTTCACATGTCCTGGTCGACTTCGTTTCCACGCACAATAATTTGACTTACACGTGTCACGCTTACAAAAAATCTGCCAATCCCGCGTTACGCTTAGACCCCAATGAGACTGACATTGTATATAGGGGCCTTGGTGGCTAAGTGGTCAAAGCAGCTTATAACTACTGAATCACTGTATTAGCCTGTCAACACTGAGGTTGTGACTGTGAGTTAGAACGCCAAACATGGCAGGTGCGCTAGACCCCAATCTTAATTTCAAGGTTTGTCAGTTTTCCTGCAAAAGTTCTGTGGTTCTTTCTTGGAATTCTGGCTTTCTCCACCAATAGGCAATACAAACTGACAGTCATGAAATAGCAAATAGTGCTGAAAGTGGCATTAAACACCAAGCAATCAACCATTGTACATAGGCTAGCTCAAGTTGATACTAAGCTATATCCAATTATCACTTGTTATGACACCTTACTATATCAAGATCAGGACTCTGGAAGTAAACAAAAGGCTACTTGTTGGATCCATCTGTAAAATGGTGTTCTGCCATTATAACTATAAGTGCAAGACATGATTTGGTACTGGTAGGTCATGTTGGTTCTTTTTTCTTATACTTGGTCAATCGACAAAAGAAGCTTGTTAAGAATTTTCAGTAGGCCAATAGATACCTTTGAATGATGCATCATAGTGCAAGGGAAGCGACAAAGGAGGAGTGCAAACTACAGCCATCCAGATGCTGGATCCTTTTCTTAAAAAAAAATCAATAGAGTGACTTCCCTTTCATTGTCTCTTCATTTATCGTAAGAAACAAGACATAGACATAGATGTATTCCGAAGTCTACTTTCACTTTATAATGGGATCCTGGTCCAATCTCTGCTTCGCTCTACTATCAAGCAGTGAGTGATCAAGGTTCCCAGGTAACTTTCACTTCCTTAATTTTTGACAGTCATGGAAACGGTAAGGAATTTTTTAATAAATGATCCTTCACACACAAAATCAGTGGAATGCACAGTATCTGCAATATTTTTACATAAATTTTAACTTGGAACCAGGCAAAATTATAGTTATTCATCATCAGTTGACATGTTTCCTTATTTTATTATACAGGGACACAAACACTTATAATGAGTATATATTATATGTGTTTCCTTTCTTATATATTAATTATGTTTTTTGTCCCTAAAGGCTATACCTAGGATATTTTTCAGTCAAACATTTTTATTAATGTTATATAGGGGTTTCACCCGACTTGGATCCTTTGAAAAGATTCGTTTGCATTAGTTTTTGATAATATTTTAATACATCTATACCCACCATACTTAGGTTTAGATATCAAAGTATTTATTTTGTGAACCTTTGGAAGCACTACATATATGTCCCTCGTTGAAATATGAAAAGGAAATTTTTCCAAACTTCTACTGCTTGAATACTTATTATAAATATATTCTAGGATCCTTTAAATTCGAACAAATAACAGTATAACATCATAATGACTGATATTACATCAGAAAATTCTGTTTGAAGAGGTTTCCTGAAATTTTTTGCGCATCATTAAATGTGGCTACTACGTAGGACAAGCCTGTATTCTAATAACGTCACAGACAAAGGGTTGATGAAGGTAAAAATTTTAAATTCTGGAAGAAAACCTTGTAAACCTCCCAACTTTCCTAAGTTAAAGGGGATTTCCCCATAAGAGGTTCTGACCTGAGACTTGAATTCCTCACTCATATGAAGTAAATGCCTAAAAAAACGAGTTCCAAGGAGTTGAAAATACATTTTAAGTACATTTAAATTCAGTCAACCATGGAATATTAGATTTAAAACACTTATATAGCAACATGTAAAAGATTCATCAGGAGTTCTCTTGTACTGAAATTCCCCCCATGAAGATTTTGAAAAATAGGCAGGTAAGATAGATGTTTAAAAGTTTTCAAATTAATCACTTTTTTCTAAATGAAAGAAATTATCTTTTAAATGCAAAAAATAAAAAAAATTCTCATCTAAATGAAAGAAATTATTATTTATTTTTAGTTCTTGTGTAATGTGTTAATAATTTGCATATAAATACATGTGAAGAAAACTTTTCAAATGAACCCCACATGCATGATTTGTAACTTGATTTTGTCTGTAAATACATTTAAATTAAGATATTCTGCTTTTATATCAATTTATACGTCTTGTAAGCAAAAGTATTCACTCTACTCTGGGACATTATATATCATGTATATTGACTTAGTAAAATAGTCCCAGCTCTTCTGTAGAGAATCATAACTTTAAGTCTGAATTATTTTCATAATAAGGTAACACAAAATCGATATACATACATGTAAAACACTTTTATTGCTGTTCTTCATCTGAAAGTCACTGTGACGACTTAACATGGAGCAAAAACTCCTGCCTCACTGCCAATTGTTAACATATTTTTTAAATATATCTGTGTATATGTATATGATACATTATCTGTGGTATGTCATCTGTACACAAATAAAATTGAGAATGGAAATGGGGAATGTGTCAAAGAGACAACAATGCAACCATAGAGCAGAAAACAGCCCAAGGCCACCAATGGGTCTTCAACACAGTGAGAAAATCCTGCACCCAGAGGCGTGCCCCAGCTGGCCCCCAAACAACAATGTGTACTAGTTCAGTGAAAATGGACGTCACACTAAACACTGAAACATATAAATGAAATAAAATTAAAAAAACATACAAGACTAACAAAGGCCAGAGGCTCCTGACATGGGACAAGCGCAAAAAGGCGGCGGGGTTAAACATGTTTTGTGAGATCTCAACCCTCCTCTTATACCTCTAGCCAATGTAGAATAAACAAACACACAGCATACGCACAGTAAAACTCAGTTTAAAAGAAGTCAAGAGTCCGATGTCAGAATAGGTAACAGAAGAAACTAAGCAAAATGACAATGATACATAAATTAACAAAGGACTACTAACAGTTACTGACATGCCAGCTCCATTGAAAGATTATGTCTTCGTCATATGAAAATCAAAACATGTATCTTTAAAATATATAAAAATTAGATAAAAATGCAAGGTGGCGACAGCTGTTCATTACATTAAATATTTCTTGACAATTATATGCATCTGTCACTATAAGTATATTGATTTGATAGGGTTATTGCACACACATATTGGGAAATTTTGAGAAGAATATCTTATTTTTATTACACAACGTTCAAATGCAAATAATATTCTAAGAGTCTAAGATATGATATGCACTAATACAATGTAATATTCTTTAATTACTGTTGATTCAGTATTCTTTGTGGGATACCAATTATGTGGATTTCCTGTGTATAGGTAAACCACAAATGTTCACCAAACATGACAAAGTACAAATTTTCTTTAGGATTGTACGGCAAAAATCTGCAAAACCACAAAATCAAATATCCACAAAAATAAATCTTTCCTTAATCAAGAAAATTTGGTATTCACTAAAATAAATGAATCCACAGTACCCTTTTATTGTATGAAACTTTTTGAAATGACATGAATCTCATGAATACAGGGTACTAACAACAGCAACATTTTCATATGGGGAGATATTGGTTATGTTCCACCAATAATATTACATTGCAATACAAAAGTTAAGTATATTGGATAAACTTGTTTGACCCTTGTTCGAATATTGATATATACATGTATACAGATGTTTGTGACAAGCTCAATTTTCCCCTGTGAGAAAATGTAAAACTTTGGCTAAAAGAACTATAGTCATTATTTCTGATTTTACTGTAGCAAAATAGACCAGTGAGTATGTCCACTTATACTGTAAGTAGAACAAATAGATAGTTTTATCTGCAATAACAAATAGATATAAGAAGATGTGGTATGAGTGCCAATGAGACAACTCTCCATCCAAGTCAAAATTTATAAAGTAAACCATTATAGGTCAAAGTATGGTCTTCAACACAGAGCCTTGGCTCACACCGAACAGCAAGCTATAAAGGGCCCCAAAAATTACTAGTGTAAAACCATTCAAATGGGAAAACCAACGGTCTAATCTATATAAAAAACGAGAAATGAGAAACACTTATGAACCACATCAACAAACGACAACTACTGAACATCAGATTCCTGACTTAGGACAGGTGCAAACAATTGCAGCGAGTTTAAACGTTTTAATGGTACCAAACCTTCATCCTTATCTGAAACAATAGTGTAACATCACAACATAGAAAGACCCACTATAAAATATCAATTGCAAAGGCTTAACTCAATCAAAAGACATATTAACACCAGTGAACATACACTGAACAAATAAATTTGATCTATGATACAATGTAAATACAAAATAAATAAACTTAGGGAAGAATAATTAAAGTACATGTAGCATGTTATACCGCTGTGAAATGTTAAACAATTTAAGAAAAACAATATGCTTGAACAAAAATATCAGCCATTTGCAATTACTTTAAACACAGGTAAATGAAAATAATTTTGTTGTTAGGTATACGTGTACAGTTCAAATATAGAGAAAGGAAATATTTTTACAAAATAAATAATTTTGATGTTCATCATGTTCATAGTACGAAGAAGTGAAAATTTATAGTAATACCAAACACTTATCAAAGCTGGTATATAGACCAGATATAACCCTGAATAACATTAAATAACAAAAGTCTATTTTGAGCCTTAAAATATTTTGAGCTTTGCTTATAATAGCAAAAAACCCATTGTGAAAAATCACCTGTATAGGGACTAGATGATTAGACCAGTCAATGCCCGCTGGCCCCCCCTTTTGTGGGAAAAATTTGGTTGATTATATAGGGAATCACTGAAGCATGACTGGAGCGGGCCCCCACTTATGAAAATTTCTGTATCCGCCACTGATGTGAGATTGTTTGCTTGTCTTTTGATGGTTGTGTACTAAGTATACATGTAAATTCCATTTTTAGCTCACCTGGCTGAAGGGCCAAGTGAGCTTTTCTCATCACTTGGCGTCCGTCGTCCGTCGTCGTCGTTGGCGTCTGTCGTCGTTAGCTTTTTACAAAAATCTTCTCCTCTAAAACCACTGGGCCAAATTTAACCAAACTTGGCCACAATCATCATTAGGGTATCTAGTTTAAAAAATGTTTTGATGACCCCGCCAACCAACCAAGATGGCCGCCATGGCTAAAAATAGAACATAGGGGTAAAATGTAGATTTTGGCTTATATCTCTGAAACCAAAGCATTTAGAGCAAATCTGAATGGGTAAAACTGATTATCAGGTCAAGATCTATCTGCCCTAAAATTTTCAGACAAATCTGACAACCTGTTGTTGGGTTGCTGCCCCTGAATTGGTAATTTTAAGGAAATTTTGCAGTTTTTGGTTATTATCTTGAATATTATTATAGATAGAGATAAACTGTAAACAGCAATAATGTTCAGCAAAGTAAGATCTACAAATAAGTTGTCATGACCAAAATTGTCAGTCGACCCCTTTAGGAGTAATTGCCCTTAATAGTCAATTTTTAACAATTTTTTGTAAATTTTTGTAATCTTTTACAAAAATCTTCTTCTCTGAAACTACTGAGACAAATTTAACCATACTTGGCCATAATCATTATTAGGTAATCTAGTTTAAAAAAAATTTCTGATGACCCGGCCTTGCAACTATCATGGCCGACTTGGTTAAAAATAGAACATAGGTTTATCTGCCCTGAAATTTTCAGACGAATCCAACAACCCGTTGTTGGGTTGCTGCCCCTGAGTTAGTAATTTTACAAAAATTTTGCAGTTTTTAGCTCACCTGGCCCGAAGGGCCAAGTAAGCTTTTCTCATCACTTGGCGTCCGTCGTCCGTCCTCCGTCGTCGTTAGCTTTTTACAAAAATCTTCTCCTCTATAACCACTGGGCCAAATTTAACCAAACTTGGCCACAATCATCATTAGGGTATCTAGTTTAAAAAATGTGTCCGATGACCCCGCCAACTAACCAAGATGGCCGCCATGGCTAAAAATAGAACATAGGGGTAAAATGTAGATTTTGGCTTATATCTCTGAAACCAAAGCATTTAGAGCAAATCTGACAGAGGGTAAAACTGATTATCAGGTCAAGATCTATCTGCCCTGAAATTTTCAGACAAATCTGACAACCTGTTGTTGGGTTGCTGCCCCTGAATTGATAATTTTAAGGAAATTTTGCAGTTTTTGGTTATTATCTTGAATATTATTATAGATAGAGATAAACTGTTAACAGCAATTATGTTCAGCAAAGTAAGATCTACAGATAAGTTGTCATGACCAAAATTGTCAGTCGACCCCTTTAGGAGTTATTGCCTTTAATAGTCAATTTTTAACAATTTTTTGTAAATTTTTGTAATCTTTTACAAAAATCTTCTTCTCTGAGACAAATTTAACCATACTTGGCCATAATCATTATCAGGGTATCTAGTTTAAAAAATTTGTCCGATGACCCCGCCTTCCAACCATTATGGCCAACTTGGTTAAAAATAGAACATAGGGGTAAAATGCAGTTTTTGGTTTATATCTCTGAAACTAAAGCATTTAGAGCAAATCTGACAGGTGGCAAAAATGTTCATCAGATTTAGATTTATCTGTCCTGAAATTTTCAGACGAATCTGACAACCTGTTGTTGGGTTGCTGCCCCTGAGTTAGTAATTTTACAAAAATTTTGCAGTTTTTTGTTATTATCTTAGATACCATTATAATATTTAATATCTAATACTATTAATTATGGTTTTAACCTTATTTTACATGATTTCCAAAGCATCATTAAATACAGGTGAGCGACACAGGCTCTTGAGAGCCTCTAGTTTATCATTCAATTGGTTCTGGACACAGTCTCACTATTTTTTGTAACGTAACCAGTAGTACTGGTACAGAGTACTATATTCATATGCTCGAAACCTTGATTGTTTATATTTGGCTATTACCCAAAAAAATATTGAAAATATAATTTGTATTTTCAAATTAAATTTTTTAATCTACTACCGGTAATAATTGCTCTACATAGCAGCAAATAAGTACTACTTCCTTGGAATAATTAACTCACACCAATTTATAATTTTACAGTCAGTCTTTCTTTCAGAAAAGTCTTACCCAAGGGGCTGTAGTAATGCACCAAAACAAGAAGTAAAAAACACGTGTTACCATATAGGTCAAATAATTAGTACACATTTGAATGTGCACACATTTCATATGGAGAAAAAAATAGTGTGGGTGGAATCCCGGTGGATGTATATGAGTGAATATTTCCTAGATAAACATTGGAACAACCATATATCATAGGAACAGTGCTGTTGCTGTTCTTTATCTTAATGTTAGTTGTGTCCAGTTATGATGATCTTAAGAAGTCACACCATACTTTATGTCAAAGCTGGGACATGATATATTATATAATTATATTGTTCCCAGGTCAAAATCAAGCGAACCTTGGTACGAGTCTGTATATCATTGTATATAGCATTGACTTAGGAAGTACTCTTTGATATATGAGAAAGGGGTCATTGCAATAATTAATTCACAGCACTTAGAAAAGACCTCAATTACTTTAAATAACTGGAGGGATAAATTTTAGGTTATATTCATGGCAAGTCATCTTAAACGAAACCTTTAACGTGATCAGTGAACCATGAAATCTTGGTCAAAACTCAAATTTGGTATATGATTAAAAAATTTCACATCATAATGAATATATTTGTACTTAGTTTTAAGCTGATGTGACCACAACATCATGGTAAACTAGCTTAAACCAAAATTTTAACTTGATCAGTGAACCGTGAAATTTTGGTCAAAAGCCTAATTTTGCATATATTTTATAAAGTTCACATAGTAATGATCAAGTGTACTAAGTTTCTAGTTGAGGTGACCACAAAATCATGAAAAACTGCATTAGGTAAAAAATTTAACCTGATACAGAACAGACGAACAGACTAACAGAGGAACATACAGGAAAAACATAATGTCCCCCCCCCCCCCCCCCCCTACTGTAGTATTTGTTCTTGTTCCAGTGGAAATAATTAATATTACAGAATATTTCTTCCACTTGGAACTTATTTTATGAAGGAACTTCTAATTCTCTGTGGGTGTATCATAACTCATGTAATTCAAACAGTAAAAAGGACAAGTTCACTTAGTGAACTGAAGAACTAACAAAGTATTATATTATTGATTACATTCAAAAGAACAAAAATGTTGAACAGATTTTATTAACATTTTTCTCTTCCTTGTTCTATTATTTGGTATCATGTTGGAATATCATCCACTAGGTTTAATTTGTTTCTTCCTGTTTTATTTTTTGCGTTGTTTCTTCCTGTTTTATTTTTTGTTATCAAATCTGTGTAGATTAATAAGTTGGAAAGGAAATTATTTGATTTAATATTTTGCTAGCTCAGCACCATTCTCCCTTCCTTTTATTGTTTAGTATAAGGAAGATTTAATCATATCAATTAGAAAATGGCTGATAAAGATTTGCCAAAAAATGGAGAAGGCAGATCAATTTTAAGGTAAAGGGTTTTTCTTATTTATATGAGGGATAAAATAATTACTTTATATCAAATACACATTTCTTTAACTAAACACATAAGTCAATATGTTGCATATTGCTATAATTAATTTACAATATATGTATTATATTTTCAGGTTTGAATAAGTAATAAATGAAAAAGAAAGTTGTGCTGAAAGAGTTACTGTGTCTCCTCCTGCTGCTGAATTTGTTCATTTTGACCTCAAGTTCCTCAAGTTCAAATATGGCTGATAGCAATATGAACAATAACACATCTGCGGCATTATCCAAGTCCAATTTACAGTTTACCTTTAAGCTGCACAAAGAGTTAACAAAGGGTAATTCCAACAATGTTTTCTTTTCACCATTCAGTATATCAACTGCCCTTGCTATGACCTTTCTTGGAGCACGAGAGAAAACTGCAGAACAAATGGCAGACGCACTGGGAATATCAGATATGAAAGATGACGTTCATCAATCTTTCGAAAAGTATTTGTCTATAATTTTGAAGGAAAATGAAAATTTTACTCTACACACAGCTAACAGACTATTTCCAAACCATTTATCCAAAGTTGAGGCTGATTATATAAATAGTTGTATAAAACACTACCAAGCTGACGCCCTTCCATTGGATTTTTCTCAGGGTGAGGTTTCTAGAAAAGTTATCAATAACTGGGTCAGTCAGAGAACAAATGACAAGATTAAGGATTTGATTGGTTCTGGAGTTTTAACACCAGATGTATTTATGGTTCTTGTAAATGCAATATATTTCAAGGGTAATTGGGCTAGCCAATTTGATGAAAAGAAAACTCGTAAAGACCGCTTCCACATAAACCTCTCAGAAGAAGTAGAAGTTGACATGATGTATCAGAAGAAGAAATTTTCCTACACATACAATCCACATCACCTCTGCAGTGTGTTAGAATTGCCATATAAAGGAGACAGCCTCAGTATGCTATTCATCCTGCCAGACACTACTGATGGCTTGTCTGTCATTGAAGAAGCCATGAATCCTGATTTGTTCAATGAACTTCAGAGTACTCTCAGAAATAATTCCGATGTTGAAGTTTTTATACCAAAATTTAAGTTGGAAACCCAATTTGAACTGTCAACAATTTTGTCCAAATTGGGAATGACAGATGCCTTTAACCAAGCAAAGGCAGATTTTTCTGGGATGGATAAAACAAAGAATGTTTTCATTTCTAAAGTCATACACAAGGCTTTTGTGGAAGTTAATGAAGAGGGAACGGAAGCAGCTGCAGCAACAGGAGTTGTCATGATGACGAGAGCTGCTGTTCGAAGGCTTATTTTCAAGGCTGACAAACCATTCTTATTCTTTATTAAGGACAAAAGGTCTAATATTGTTCTGTTTAGTGGTAGATATACTGGTCCAGAAGGAAATGTCGTGAGAACCAGAGAAGACCTCTAGGATTCTAGATTAATTTAATTGTCATGAATATTGGTATTACTTATATATATATATATATAATATTTATAAATTTGATTAGATTATTACAGTTGATATAATATTCTGAAATGTTTTTTTTTTATAAGGTGCATGCTGTGATAAATTATTTAATATTGACATTTTTACCAAAAAAATGTGAATTTAGATTACCTTTAAGAGATTAATGTATTCAATTTTAATGTTTGTAGGCATCAACTGTAGATTTTATTGTTGAAAAACTATTTCATTAGCAAAATGTCAGTAATTATAGCTATCAATTCATATATTGATTCCAACAAATATTGAAATACAACACTGTCATCTTATTTCTAATGAATATTTGAATATAATGGAGAAAATAATATTTATTTTTCGATACCTACAAACAATGCCAAACCTGTTCACTAAACAAAAATGAACACTAATGATATCTACATGATGTATAATGTAATGAAATCCTGTATAATGTTATGAAATTCTGTGTTATATTATGAAATCCTGAAGTACATTGATCAATCAGAGGTGGATTGGAGGGGCAGGAGGCCTGGGACCCTCTTATGGAGTTACATATATGGTTAATGCATAGACTTTTTTACATGTCCCATTCCAAACATTGCCTAGTTTGCTTGTTACATAGGTTTATGATGGTTTTATCCTTAGTGTAACTATGTTATTATAGGTAGTATTGTAAATTGTTATAGTTTTTATCCTTCAAAAAATGTTGGTGACATATTTAGTTATTCCTAGATCTTTTACCATATACCATATTTTTGAAAGGGGGAAGCAGAAATGATTTTGTGTTTATCAAATAATTGTTTAATGAGCGAAAAAAGGTTTCATTGCTCTAATGATACTAATTTTTGGATTATAGGTTATTTTAAATGCTGATATAAAATAAGCAAAGTCTTTTGTTTGACTAATATTAAAAATTATTGGTAGTCATGTATTATTAGTTACATAGTGTGCTAGTGACCTAATACGGTAGATATGGGGTCAGTAAATTCCCTATATGGAATGTACTGACCCCATATATACCGTATTACGTCACTAGCACACTATGTAATGAATTTATCTTACCGACTATCTTAACGTGTGAAATTTAGACTAGTGACCTATCAAAATGAGCAAGTCTGCAATACTGTTAGCATTAAAAAACTACTTCCATTGATCCTACAAAAACAGATGCCAACAATAACAACTTGTTAGGTTTAAATGTGTTTTATGAATTTATTTCAATCTTCATCATCAATTTTTTCGTCTGTTGAAACCTTTAAGATTTTTTCTCAGTACCGTTTTGTTTTTATAAAGGGACGAAACACCACTACTAACTGTGTATGAAATAAGCCCCACCTCCCTACTAACCTAATATGGAATATACACGGTCTCCACATGGACGTTTTAACCAATCATATTCTTAGAAATGTATAGGAGGTAAGATAATACCGTTTATGAACACACTTTGCACAATTACTAGAAATTTAAAAGAAATATATTGCAACAAATATAAGTGTGTTCTTAGTTTAAAATATAACATTCTCCAAATCTTCACTTGGTTGTGTTTTGGAAGAGATCAATTATCATTCAAATAAAAGATAGTATCTTCTTTTTATTTTTGATTTGGTGTTTTACATTATTCTAGCCAATATATTGTTAATGAGATGTAATATAAATGAAAGGTGTTATATGAATTTACAGAGATGTGGTGTATACACCAATGAGACAGCAACCTTTTGACACAAATAACAAAAATACATCTAGTGGTCAACATACAGTCAGCTATAAACAAAATAACAAAACATATTCAGATATAACATAAGACAATAATTGACAAGATTCCTAAATTGAAACAGGCACACGCATATGGAGCTAGGTTTAACTTGTTGTAGCTCACCTTGATCAAAGGTCCATGTGAGTTTTTCCGTCAATTAGTGTGCATCAATGGTGTAAAAAAATGTAACCTTTTCTTCTGAAATCACTGAACAGATTTTTACAAAACTTTGTGTGAATGTTCCTTGGGCTTGGCGTATCGAGTTTATAAATTGTATTGGAGATTGATTCAACAAACATAGCTGCCTTTGCTTAAATTAGAACAACAGAGGTTTATCATATTTTGTAGTTATATGGGATATTATCTTGAAAATTATCTGAACATTTCAGAAAATCTGACAACCAATTTTGGAGTTATGGCCCCTGAAATGTAATTTCGTTCTGAATTTTTGCAATTTTGAAAACTATAGCAGATGGATAAAACAATTTATAAATCACAAAAATTATCAGCAAAACAAGATCTGTCTCTCAAAATTTTACATTGTAAAATGAGATCTATCTACCTTGAAAATTTCAGAAAAATGGAAAACATCAGTTGTCAGGGATAACTTTTTAAAAAATATTCTCTAAGTTTGCTGACTAAATTTGATTTAAACTGTGTGTGAATGTTCAAAATAGTATCTAGTTTATAAATTGTATGAGATGTTCTGACTCATCAATAAACATGACTGCAGTTCCTAAAAATTTGGGGTCCAACTACAGATTTTGGCTTATTTCTCAAGAACTATACGAGATATAAAATGATAGATATAAAAATAAGAAGATGTGGTATGATTGCAAATGAGAACTCTCCATTAGAGACCAAATGACATAGAAAACTAACGGCCTGATTTATGTACTAAACGAAGAACGAAACACAAATATGATATACAGCAACAACCGACAACCACTGAATTTATACTGGCTCAGTGGCGTAGCTTGCCCTCTGTTATTACCGAGGCAGGGGTCTGGGGGACACAGACTCCATAAGCTATAGAGATTTTGCAATTTGAACAATAAGAATATATTAAAAATGATAGTGGTTGTTTAAATCTATATTATTATAATAATGTTAATATGCCTTACACTAAGTTATACTACAGATTATTAGTTGATAACTGGTACATACATCACTTTCAACGTTCAGATGAATACATAAATGTTCTCAAAAACATTTATGAGGGGGCAATACCTTTTTCTGTTAACCTGTTTTGGGCTATTTCAAGGTGTTGTTAACTGTTATTTGAAATATATATATACTGTTAACTGTTTTCAACCCACTGTCTGTTATCTGTTCTGTTTAAATTGGCAATGTTGTTAACTGTTTTATATGAAAATGGGATTCCTGTTACCTGTTACTTGACACTTCAAGTGTTCACTGTTTTTGACATAATTTATCTCTGTTAACTGTTATTTACAAGAATTTTCAAGATTCACACTAATCACATTAAATTTGCTGTTAATCTCTTTCTTTACTGTGCTCTCTCAAAGGAGTAAGGGAGCTACCATTTGATTTTTATGGGGGGCTAGGATGAAATTTGAAAAAAAGGCAGGGCAGGAGTTTTGAGTAAAAAAAAGGCAGGATGAGAAACTTGGTAAAAAAAAAAGGCAGGATGACAATTTGTGTAAAAAAATTCAGGATAAACTAGTAAAAAAAAAGGCAGGACCGAATAGAGTAAAAAATAAAAAGGCAGGACAGAGATTACAACTTAAAAAAAAAGCAGGACAAAATTTTTCATCCTAGTCCCCCCATAAAAATCAAATGGTAGCTCCTTAACATAAACAGCGTATATGTAACTGTCTTTGGAGATCTTTAAGTTTATTTCCGTCCCCTATTTAAAAGAGAGGCGAAAGATACCAGAGGGACATTCAAACTCATAAGTCGAAAACAAAGTGACAAAGTCATGGCTAAAAAGAAAAAGACCAACAGACAAACAATAGTACACAAAACATAACATAGAAAACTAAAGACTGAACAAAACGAGCCCCACCAAAAACTGGGGGTGATCTCAGGTGCTCCGGAAGGGTAAGCAGATCCTGCTCCACGTGTGACACCCGTTATGTTGCTCATGTTAGTACAAACCCTGTAATAAGTCTAATTCAGTAGGTCACATTCGGGAAAAGGGAACAGGATTGTATTAACGACATAAGGAACATATCCGCTATCATCTGTGAAACGGAGATTCCATAAAGGTCAACCAACTCGTGATGGCGTCCGAAAAACTTGCGAAGGGATGATTTCAACCTCACCACTTGGAACTCTTGGTTTAATAGCTTCCTTGTGAGCAGTGACCCTCTATCAAGGAAATCATAATAGGAAATACAAGCCCTGAAATATCGTATCAACTGGGAGATATATACTCCGTATGCAGGTGCTGCTGGAATGTTGCAGCTTAGAAATGGAAAGTTCACAACTGGGAAGCTGAAATCATCTCTTTTGTCGTAAAGTTTTGTTTTCAACCGACCCCCATTGTCAATTTCTAGATGTAAGTCAAGATATGAGGTAGACTTAACTGTACCTGTTGCATCCTTTATCTCAAGTTCGATGGGATAGATGCGTTCAACAAAGTCACCAAATTTTGAATTATTTAATGAGAGAACATCATCTATATATAGCGGAAAGTAAAGTTAAAGGATATTGCTAAGTTCTTTTCTTTATCCTAAGAAGTTCCTGTATGAAGTTGCTCATATGATTAGAGGAACAAGTCGGCAAGAGGGGCACAGTTTGTTCCCATGAGAATGCCGATTGTTTGTTGAAAAACACGTCCTCCAAACGTAACAAATATGTTGTCAATCAAGAAATCAAGCATCTTGATAATGTCAGTTTCAGAGAATTTTTTGTTTAAATCAGAGTTTTTTTTACAAAGTAAAAATGTATTCCTCCCTAAGACAAGAAAGATTCTTGTATCTACGTTGGCCATTCTTTTTTATGAAACAAAACAGGACCAACTCTTTCAATTTGTATTTTAGTTTGGGATGGGGAATACTTGTGTAAAGTGTAGAAAAGTCAAATGTTTTAATTCTATTGCATGATGAAAGAAGTCTTAGATTGTATGTACTCTAAAAGATCTTTGGATTTTTTTAGTATCCAAATCTGATTCACGCCACCTCTAGAATATGTAGTTTCACAATAGCTTTGAAGCCCGGCTTTGATTGCTGATAAAATTGATGTTAATAATTTAGAAAGAGGTTTCGTGGAGCACTTGGAAGACCCAGCAATATACCATTGTTTGTAAGAACACTTATGTAATTTAGGTATCCAATACAATGGTACAGTTTTTAATTCTAAAAACGCATAATTATATGCGAAGTTACGGTTTCTTTCAACATTTCGAAATTCTGTACTATCAATAGTACCTGTTCAGTGAGTACTTTTAAGGTACTTTGTATTCATAATTAGATGTATTTTCGATAAGTTAAGTTGGAAAATAGTTAGAAAGAATTTTAGTTGGAAAATAGTTAGAGAATGGCAGAAAGTTTACGAGAATTACGATCCCGTAAAGGCATTAATTACAAGTCATTAAATGAATATGGACTGCCAGAGTTGAATATAACAGATCCTTTTAAGATTTCTACACCAAGGAAAAAGTTGGAACTCACCACAGCAAAGATCTTAGACAAGGTGGTGGCGGAGGATATGGATTCTGATGAAGATGGAAGTCGATCAGACGAAGAATGAGAACAGTTGCGTAAAAAGTTGAAGAACACTGAAGATAGTATACGGAAGAAGAAAGAGAAGGAGAAAGCAGTTTTGAAAAAGAAAATAGAAGAAGGAGAAAAAGTGTTAAAGTCAATGAAAGGGGAGGATAATACAATAGATGAGAAAGTTAAATTAACAGATCTTAGAAAGATGGAAAAACTTAATTTAAAAGTTGATAAAAAATTGTCAGATATGGGGTTATTTGATAAACCTGAAATAAAAGGAGATGCCAGTAAAAAGAAAAGCAAACTAAAGAATAAACTTAGTTCAACAAGTTCAGAGAGTAGTTCAGATGATGGGGTAAATAGAAAAAAAGGTAAAAAAAGGGAACTGTGATAAAAAGAAATATATAGCTGTTTCTGATAGTTCGTCTGATTCTTCAGATTCGGGAGACGATTCTGAGGGAGAAAAGAAAAAGAATAAACGCAGTAAAAGAAAAATTAAATCTGGTATTCAGAGTAAATCGTCTGATAAAGTTAAAAATCAATTGTTATGGCCTCATTCCGCTCTACAATATGAGTATGTAAACGAATCGACTTCCTTTAAAAGTTTAGACATTAAACTGTTTACCGCGCGGGAGAGCTTGAAATTATTACAAGTCATGGTATTTCAGAAACAGAGAGATCAGGTAGATTAAATCTTTTAAAGAAAATTACTTATTACAGTAATATTTATGCTTGGAAAGGTCTTCTTGCCTTTTATGCAGCATGGCTACGTAAAATAGAATTGGGCCAAAAAACTTGGAAAGATGACCCTACATGCATTGAAGTTCCGGTTTTAAGTCCATAGATATAAGAAGATGTGGTATGAGTGACAATGAGACAACTCTCCATCCAAGTCAAAATTTATAAAAGTAAACCATTATAGGTCACAGTACGGTCTTCAACACGGAGCCTTGGCTCACACCGAACAGTAAGCTATAAAGGGCCCCAAAAAATTACTAGTGTAAAACCATTCAAACGGGAAAACCAATGGTCTAATCTATACAAAAAACGAGAAACGAGAAACACTTATGAACCACATCAACAAACGACAACTACTGAACATCAAATTCCTGACTTAGGACAGATGCAAACAAATGCAGCGGGTTTAAACGTTTTAATGGTACCA